TACAACCTGCGCAGATGTTCGATTAGTTGGGTCCATGTTTCACAAGCACAGAAAATGAAGGGCATGACTGTGGCCTAGAAGACCCGAAGCTTCGTGTGGAGCGACAGACCAGGTAGCTGTCAAACCGGAGATAGTCATAAGGTGCCGTCCATAAATGACGTCACAAAAAGTCAGACCCCCCCTCAATTATGACGTCACAAAACTCTGCCCCCCCCCCAAAATATAAAACATGCTTCAAATCGCTTTAAAGTATTGTCATTGTAGTGCGTATTTAATGTGGCGCTGCACTCTGATGTTGTAGGATTATTATTATTTTTTATTAAAAAGTCTATTTAATTAAGTAGAACGTGTTGTCTATATTTATTTAAAGTTGCGCATTTTGATGTGACGTCACATTTCTCAAACCCCCCCTCCCCCTAGGTGCGTGACGTCATTTATGGACGGCCCCTAAGCATGAACGAGGAGGTACCGGCGGTGTCAAGATCGGCCTCCGTAGAGGAGGAGGCTCGTGAAGGACTCCACTGGGGAGTTGGGAAGCAGTCGCCCTGCAGCAACCAGCGGAGGGCAGAGGAGCGACGCTCACAACAACGAGCAGAGCGCCGGGCCGATAAAACGCACAGAGTCATTTAAGTCAAACCGCGGCACGTGGGTCTGTTACGTGGCTCTCCTTGACTTCGACACTTTGCGTGACCTCAAAGTGCACCTAGCCTGGCACAAGCCCCGTGGTGACGTCACCGCCACTTAGGGGCCGTCCATAAATGACGTCACGCACCTAGGGGGGGGGGGGGGTGGTCAGACATTTGAAGACGATTTGTGACGTAGGTGGGGGGGGGTTGAGAAATATTACGTCACATCAAAATGCGCAACTTTAAATAAATATAGGCAACACGTTCTACTTAATTAAATAGACGTTTTAATAAATGTTTTCTCCTACAACATCAGAGTGCAGCGCCACGTTAAATACGCACTACAATGACAATAGTTAAATTTCGATTTAAAGCTTTCGTGACTGCAATGATTCATCTTCTTTGGTTCTTTCGGTAAAGTCACGTAGAATGATAATAAAATAATAAATTGATAAAATAAAATAACACAATAATATTCTCACGACGTTTCGGCCACAACACAAGCGGCCTTCATCAGGTGAAGGGGGGCGAGACTGTCTGGTAGGACAGCGCTGGAGTGAAAGAGCCACGTTCAGATACGGCCTTTAAGCTGTGTGAGAGGAACAAAGCGCCTTGACAAAGGAATTAGCATATAATTTAGCATTGAAATGGCTGAATGGGTGCCTCTGCGGGTGTGTATGCTTTAACTTTTAACATAGCTATTTCTGTGACCAGTCACAAGCTAATTATTCAGCCATTTCAATGCTAAATAAATATGCTAATTCCTTTGTCAAGGCGCTTTGTTCCTCTCACACAGCTTAAAGGCCGTATCTGAACGTGGCTCTTTCACTCCAGCGCTGTCCTACCAGACAGTCTCGCCCCCCTTCACCTGATGAAGGCCGCTTGTGTTGTGGCCGAAACGTCGTGAGAATATTATTGTGTTATTTTATTTTATCAATTTATTATTTTATTATCATTCTACGTGACTTTACCGAAAGAACCAAAGAAAATGACAATAGTTTATAGCGATTTGAAGCATGTTTTATTTTTTTGGCGGGGGGGGGGGGGGGGGCAGAGCTTTGTGACGTCATATTTGAGGGGGGGTCTGACTTTTTGTGACGCTGTGTGACGAAGGAGGGGGGGTCAAAAATCGTCCAAAATCGCGTGACGTCATTTATGGACGACCCCTTAGTGGTGAAGGACGGTTGTTGTTGTTAATGAGGCCACGGTACATTTCTGGGTCGATAACAAGACCCACGGCCCTCCACGGTGTGTAGAGGGCCCCGCCCAGCAGTAATTTGACCATAACGGCCACGCACGTATCACAATCAACGAACACGCGCGCGCGCATTCGCACGCCGTTCATGTCGCTGAGAGAAAGGAGGAAAGGTAATGGGAGTATTATGTGCATTCGAATAATGGGATCTGCACAAGTTTAGACTTTAGAACAATTCCAAGTTGCCACCAATCACCAGTTGCATGTCTGTAGTCGATGCAAGGTCGGAAAGTAAAATCCGGATTTAATTTCATCCGGGTCTTCTCTGGGCAGCATTCCGGGAAATGTTTTTTTGTTTTTCCTGCACCGAGTACGCAACATCCAGAACTCCTTCTCGCCATGACCGTGGTGGCTACTCGTCGCACGCCTACTTCAAGTGTCTGCCAGCGACCCGAGAAAACGTTCCGTGAGCAATGTAAGCTCCGAGCAGAGAGCTATTGCAAACATTTACATTCGGAAGCTCGCGTCGCGATGCTGTCCAACAGGGGGATTTTGGTCGGAAGGAAGCAATTTGAAGCGATGGTCTTCACGGGGTCAACCGCGTTCATAATGGCCACCACGTCACTGCCGACTTCACCCGTCTGTTGATGCCCCCAGGGTCTGGAATGCTATTGCCCATAAACTGCAACTTGAATCGCTACCAATGAGATCCTCTTTCATAACTGCTCTAGAGGAGTTGTACACCCCTAGCTGCCACTGCTATTCATTGGCGTAAAGTAAAATAAAATGTTTCCCTCCGGATGACGCTGCAAAGTATTTTCTGTATTTTGATTTAGCGTGCTGATCTTAAAGGTGCATTGAAAAATTTGATACGCCGACTGATGCTTCTGTTGTTGTGGAGTAACTCATGCAGCCAGCTATGGCTCTAGGATTAGGTGTTACATGTTATTTATGTAGTTTATTGTAAAAAATCGGTCACATTCCCTATGATCACTGTTACGTTGCAATTATGGCTTTATTTTTTGGTGATTTAGAAAACGTTTTTGGTTTGGACATGCTTGTTTTGTTGTAGTACGGAGTTAGACTGATGACCTTAATCTAAGTTTTCTTGTGATTGTTGTTGTTTGACTTGTATCCCACTGGGATTTTTTGCACACAGCGTTGGTGTACGGTGCTTTTTTAAGGAATATTTTGCTGGTTTTTTTCATGGATTTTCTGTTTGCACAGTCACATAGTCACTTTAAGATGTTTTTCTTGTTCGTGTTTTTTGTTTGTTGTGGTTGCACCCGAATGGCTCACAGGGCTATACCAAAATAAATAAATTGAAAACTGAAACCCAGCCCTCACTTATCTAGCACCGCCCATAGTTCACGTAGCTCCGCCCACTCAGCAAATATCCCCGCCTACTGGCTGGTTGGTCCCGCCCACACAGCAACGCCCACTGCTCAGATGCCACGCCCACGCAGCGAGTGGCCCCGCCCACAAACGGAATAGCCCCGCCCTCTCCCCACATGGAGTTGTGCGAGAGGCGGGAGTATTTTAAATCGGCGACAAACATCCACATTTTTACAAAATATAAGAATAAATAATATTTGTTTAGATCGCAGGAGGAATCCCATGCGCTATAAAGCAAAGTATAGGACAGGTAAAAAAAAATACTTAACAGAAATATGACAATGAAACTAAACAATTTTTTTTTTATCTTACCAGGTACGAGCTTCTTTCTCATAAGCGACTTGACCGCAAATGTTAGCTCAACACAGTGGCTTTATCATCATCGTGGACATTTCTCGCAGCAAAATAATCGTGCATGTGTATTTTTAATGTCTGTACGTACATACCGTACAACATATGCACGACATATGTTGTATGGTATGTATGTTGAACCTCTTTCGCACCGTACGGCCCCCAACCGCGCTAATCGTAGGTGCGGGGGAAGGACAACAAACTAAACACGAACAGCAGTTCTAAAGAAATTAGTTTCCAATCTAGATGATGTGAAGGTGCATCGCTCTAGTGGCTTGATGGTGAGGTGGTGATGGTGATGATGAGGTGGTAATGATGATGATGAGGTGATGATCGTGAGGGGGAACAATTGAACACAAACCTGGACGATCCTAACCCGGTTTAAATGGAACCAATTTGGCGGCAACATTTAAAACTTCTCCTATGGGAATGTCGTGACGTCACCGCCATGTATCCTAAAGGGTGACGTCACGGTTATTAAGTGCGGAGGGGAGGTGGGGGTTTGACCACGTGATACGCGCGTGCGCACCGGAAACGGGAGGAGGGGCGCGGAGGGGAGGGGGAATGTGAAGGCGTGGCTTAATGACGCTCGCCCCCCCTTAACCCCTCCCCCCCGATTTCCTCAAGGTCCCCACCCTCCCCCCCCCACTCCCATTCAACACACTGAGAGGAGGCGACGTCATACCCCCCTCACCCCCCCCCCTTACGTATATATGAAGAGGGCGGGGCAAATGACGTGTGTATTGGCACGCGCGCGGCGGTTGGTGGATTTGGCGGGAAATGGGACCAGAGGGGCGGGGCGCTTGTGTGTTGGGGGGGAAGAGTGGGCGGTGTGTGGGGGTCTATGTAGAGACAAAGATCCCCCGTATAGCCTCCACAGACGTTTTGGAGCAAGTGCTGTTGGCGACCAGCACCTGTGTAAAGGCCAGCACGGCACACCAGGAGGGGGATGGGGGTGGCCAAGCACCACGCCCACCCGGCCGCCTTTGTCTCCCTCGCGGCGACGTTAACACCGCCACGAGGTACACATTTAAGGCTGAGTCGACCTAGGGGGGGGGGGTAGGGCACAGGAGCGGCGTCAAGACAAACCTCGCTGGGTGCTGACCACGCGCGGGAATCGAACCCGGCTCGGGTGGGCCAAGTTTCGTAGCGCGTCCGCTAACCGCTGCACCACCGCTCCCCACGTATCGGAAACTCCCCCAACCCCCACCCCCCAACACCTGCAAGCCCCTCCCCCTACAGCCCCGCCCCCTCCTTCTCCCCCCCACACCCCTGCAATTTAAAGCGGTGGGTGATTGTAAATGGTAGCATTGACGCGTGCAGGGCCTCCCACAGCCCCCCCCCCCACACACAGCCCCCCCCCCCCCCCCACAGCCCCCCCCCCCCACACACAGCCCCCCCCCCACACACACAGCCCCCCCCCCCCACACACAGCCCCCCCCCACACACACAGCACCTGCGCTATATAAGGCCGGGGAGATTGCATCTCCTAGCATTGATAGGCGCGGTGTTGAGGAGCAACGGCGGGGAGGGTGAGAGGAGGAGGAGGCGGAGACGAGAGGGAGAGACGCCGCCACCACCACCACCACTGAGAACATCACCAGCAGCTGCTGCAGTAGCAGCAGCAGCAGCGACAACCATGGGCTTCGCTCATCAGCTCGGGCTGCTGCTGTGGAAGAATGTCACCCTCAAACGGCGCGGCCCGGTGAGAGACGCACAGCGATCCGCACAGATGGATTTAGCAAAAAGCCCCTCAGCGGCGGCTGCGCCGTTTTCTCGTTGAGTGACGCGCGCTCGACTGCTTGAGGGGACGATCGATCGGGCAAGTTTCTGCAACGTGTCGCGTCGCCGGATTGTCTTGGGTGGACGTTGCGAGTGAGTGGAGCGTGGTGTGTTTGACATTTTTTTGCATTTGTATGAGGGGGAAATCGCCGCCCCCCCCCCCCTTATCCGCGGTTAATCCTCTTATCCGCGATGTGGCAGATAAGGTGACCGTGCCTGCGTTTGACACCTGTGGTGCCGTCAATATGTAACGGTGGTAACGAGGTGCGTGTTTGGTTTTGATGGGTGCCCACCGTGCATAACAGGTGCTATAGGCTACATCATCAGGTATGCGTTGGTTGTTGGGCAGTGCAGAACACCTCCGTTGTATTGCACTTCTGTGTTCTCCACCTTCGTCAGTCAACCCAGATATTAACAGACGACCCCATATAGACTCACACGGAGACCCCAATAGTCTCGCACAGATACCCATATCCTATCACGTCAATCTATGGAGCTCTCATCGAGAGATTTGCAACAAACTCGCACGGAGAGCCGCAGGCTGACACGGAGAGCCTCTGGGCAGTGGTGCATGTGACCTGTAACTAGCGCTGTGGAGGCAGCAGTGAGGGTTAGTGGATCGCACAAATGTTGTAAAGCTCCCTTCCCGTGGGCGTCGAGATGCCATATCCTGACTTGCCAGGAGAAGGCGGTACACCAAGTTGATTAATTGCCGTCTGTTTCCATCCGTATGGGGGACCGGTGTTGTTGCCCCAATCACGCTTGTGGGTTTTCTGGTGTATAATAAACGTGTATAATGAATACAATTCGTCACTAATTAGCTGAAAACACCTGAGGATATCAACAACAAAACCCCCAATTTAGTCGCAGGATCCCCCAGGAAAACAGCCCTGCGAAATACTCTGAATTTAGTGGCCTCTGGAAGCTGGAACAGGTCACGTTAACGTTGACACCACCAACAACAACCACCACTCGCCACTAAGGGGTGGTGACGCCACCAAGGCGCTTGTGCCAGGCTCGGTGCACTATTAGGCCACGTGGAATGTTGAATGATTGCTGACAGGAGGTCACGGGACAGACCCAGGTGCCCATGGGTCGACTGACCTAGATGACTGGCCGATGCACCAACCGTGCCCCCTACTATGCCAACTAGCCGTGTTTTACCCGCCCGGCGTTCCGCTCGTTGTTGTGAGCGTCGCTCCTCTGCCCTCCGTTGTTGCTGGAGGTCGTCTGCCTCCAACTGCCCAGGAGCGTCCTTCACGGTGACACCGCCACCATCATCCACATCACCAGCTGATGATGATTGTTCTGGTCATGTTGCGAGCTGTGTCTACTGCACATCATCATCCACACCATCACCACCATCATTAGCTGATGATCGTACTCGTGGTGTGGGTGATGTGTTGTAATGTGCATGTATATTTGTACACATCATCACCATCTGCGTTCTCATCATTATCTACCACCATCTTCAACATCAGGTCATGATGATGTTGGTATTGGTGGTGTCTTATAAGTACCTTGTGTGCACAGCCTTCATCACCACCATCAAACATCAGTATCATCATCCACACACCCCTTCCACCACTACCATTATCCTCATCAGCTCTCATGATCCCGGTACTGATGATGGTATTGGCAGTGTCTTGTAAGATGCTAATGTGTACAGCCTGCATCACCACCATCCAACATCATTAGCATCAACATCATCCACATCATCCACGCAGGACCACGACCACCATTATCTGTGTGTGCCCACACAATTGAACATTGCCGTCTTCACCCATACAGTCGTCATCGTCGTCATCATCACCCTGATCAGCTGATGGTCATGACCAGCTGATGATGTGTAGGGAGCTTTGTGTAATTCACATCATCCACACTACCATCATCATCTTCTTCACCAATGATGATGATTGTGGTATTTCCTGCGTTGTGAGCCGTGGGTGCTGCACACAAACCTACAACACAACCGCAATCTACATTATCATCATTGTCATTCACAGCATCACCACCAGCACCACCACCATCTGATGACGGTGATTGCTCGTATTGGCGGTGTGATGGTGTTCACCGTGTGTGTGTATGCTGCGTGAGTGCTGCGTGTGTGCTGTGTGTATCAACCGACGTCGTTGACAAATATCTGAATCAGTCCTGGGCCTCACCTAGGTCGACTCGGCATTAAACGAGTGCTTGGTGCAGTGTATAAACATGAGCAGTGGGGAGGCATAGTCGCCCGGGAGGTGTGCTGTGCCAACCTTGATAGGTGCTCGCAAACAAAACTTGCCCTGACACTCTGTTAAAGGCGACCTGGAGGATCTTTGCCTTGTTATTTTGTTCTGTGTGTTATGACGAGTGAAGTATTGCTCCACGTAGCAGCAGCAGCAGCACACACATCAGCAGCAGCAGCACACACATTCCCTGCAGAGCTACGTTTCTTGTGTGGTTGTGTCGGGAAAACATTCTTTGAATGACGTTCCAGTAAAATTACCTCCTGCTCTGCGTCTGCCTGCTGCTGTCACGATCGCAAGTGTTTATTAGCACGGTGCCATGCTCATTGCTGTAGCAGTAACGTACAATAAACACGATGCCGATTAATATGAACATGATGATAGCGATTAAATCGGCCCGTGTGTGTGTAGGCTGCTGTATTAACTCTGCTGATCGTGTAAACAATACATCTTCCATTGTGTGTCGGACACTTGTGTACATTTTCTTTTACATAACGCCTTATACGGTTCGGGAGCATTACAACCTTGCAGGGATCGCGAGGGACGGCGACGACGACGACTATGGGAGGAGGCCTTCATCCAGCAGTGCGTGATTGATGATGATGATGCTGCAGTTGGCACGAGCGACTCTTCTACAAAACTAACCATTCGATTTTTTTTTCTTTCTATCCCAGCACCCGGGCCCCCGCCAGCCTGTGTGCCTCAGAGCAGTTGCACCGCCTGCACACTCAATAGCTATGCCACTGCCCGATCCAATAGGGAGGCAAGACTCGCTCCTGCCCAGTTGTTGCGGTAGGGGGGAGACGTTACTGCTTCAGCAATGAGTGATCCCCATTGGGTCAGTTGCAGTGTCACTTTTCAGCATTGGGATGATTTTATTTCTGCTATTACCAGTTACATTGTATGGCAGTGGTCTTCGTTGCAAGGCCACGCGGGGCTAGTGGCGGGGCCTTGGTGGCCTTTAGTGCGGGGGGCCAACTGATGTGCGGCCCCCCGACAATACAAACACCCCCACCCATCATCATCATCGTGCTGCTGTCAAACCCCAAATGGTTTCAAATGCGTGGCGGCCCCTTACACTGATGATGTCTTGTCGGAGAAAGTACCCCCCTCCCCTCTCAGAAAATGAGTGAAGAACGCTGTTGTATGGGGTTTTCCTTTTAGCTGTTTTAAGAAACTGGAGAACCCAGAGGGAACCCATGCAGAACATGGGTTCGAGAAACGCACGAACTCCACGGTATAAAGGCACCAGAGTTGGGAATCGAACCCGGGTTCTTGTTGCTGTGATGGCATGGGTTTTCACCACTGCGCCACGCTGCCGCCCACTGGCACGATACGTGCCGTGCTAAGCGGTCGTGTGAGACAGTCGGGGGACTCGTAGGGTCGCATGAATAATGAATTTCGCCGGAGATGTGAGTGAGTTTCTGAGCCGCTTTGCACACTCACCGGACTCCGCTGGCCGGCTACTGCTGCTGTGTTGCTCTCCCCGTATGAGAACGGAAGGGCGGATACGCGTGGACGTTGATGATAATGATGGTGGTGGTTGTGTGTTGTGTAAGCGCCATGGTGGCGAGATGTTAACTACCTCGCCTGGTATACAGGAAGTTGTGGGTTCGATCCCAACCCTGACGCCTGCTGTATATTTGGAATTTGCATGTCTCTCCCTGTGGTCGCATGGATTTTTCTCCAGGTCCTCCGGTTTTTTCCCTCCGCATTTAGAATCAACGTGAGTTTCGAGTATTTGGCTGCGATTAAATTTCAATACGATGATAAGCTACTTCGTTCGGCTATCATTTGTGGCCAGATCGCTTCTGAAAACGTTACCTGGTAAATAAAAAAAATAGTTTAGTTTCACACACAGGCATTCGCGACCAATATTATTCATAATAAAGGTTTTTTGGGTTAGATCACATAAGTACACGTCTGTACTTATGCGATCTAACCCAAAAATCTTTATTACAAGCTGTGTGTGCAGTGAACACTGATAATGACACATCACCACGATTCGGTATCACACCGATTCAATTCTATTTCGGTCTGGAAAGGGTGCTGTAAAATGCAAGTCGACGGCGTTCAGTGGGGGAGTTGATGGAATGGATGGAGAGACAGGGGCTGGGAATGCAGCTGATGTTGCTGGGGTAGGTAAAGCAGAATAAGGTGGAATGTGAGGGTGTCTGATGGGTGCGGCGTGGACAAGAGGCAGTGGGGTATGGGGGCACGTGCTTGAAGTGGTGAAATGGGCATGGATGAGGGTAGGCGAAGGGTGGCTGGATAGTGGAGCTGATGGAGGAGCACATTGTCGTGCTGGGAGAGAGATGTGGTTAGGTGCATACAGAAAGTGAGACGTCAGGAATTGGGGTCGTGGAAGGAAGATGACTGGGGGCTGGGAGTAGTTAAGAAGAGAAAAAGCAGTTGAGACGAGAAAGGAGCTGAGGGCCGAGCAAAAGGTTGGAAAGCGTGGGTGAGAGTCTGGCGTGGGTGAGAGTCTGGCGTGGGTGAGAGTCTGGCGTGGGTGAGAGTCTGGCGTGGGTGAGAGTCTGGCGTGGGTGAGAGTCTGGCGTGGGTGAGAGTCTGGCGTGGAGTGGGATTTTGTTCCATGGTGCAAAGGGGGAAGAAAAGAGGAAGCGAGACTGGGCACAGGGAGGTGATGGAACGGTGAGGAGACTGGAATATTGAGATCGAAGTGAGCGTGAAGGGCAGGGGTGGAGCCACAGGGGGGGCTGGGGGGGGGGCTGGGGGGGGGGCTTAGCCCCCCCTGAAATTTTGGGAAAGTCGGTAATCGGGATAACAGGATATCCGGCTGCTGCAAAATGCTGGCTGTCACCTCGTGCTGCCACCTTGTGCTGCCCTGCAGGCTGCTTGAGCGGCAGCCTTTCGAACTTATCGAACTTATTAGCCACATCAGCGGCTCCGACCTATTAATAAATTCCGCGTTCAAATCCAATAAAATTTGTTTCATACATTTGTGGCGCCCAGTGGAAAATATAAACTGGATGTCTCAGAATATTGAAGTCCGCTCCCCCAAAGTCAAAATCCTGGCTCCGCCCCTGGTGAAGGGACATTTAAAGAAATCAGAGAAGAGAGGTAGGGTGGGGCAAGACCGTGCCAAGCTTTGAATACTAGTGCGAAGAATTTAAAAAGACAGCGGTGATAGACAGGAAGCCAGTGAAGTTGTTGAAGGGGAGGAGAGCAGTGAGATGTGTACGGAAGGTTGAGTACAGTCCGTGCAGCTGCGTGTTGGATGTGTGGGAGAGGGACAAAGGCGTAAGCAGGGAGACCGACCAGGAGTGAGCTGCAGTAATCCAGACGAGTGAAGACGAGGGGGAGTGGACGAGTAGTTTGGCAGCAGTGCTAGTGATGAGTGGGTGGATTTTCCCCTGATGTTGTACAGATGGCAACGGCGCGCGTGCGAGTGGTGATGGCAATGTGGGAAGTGAAAGTGGAACCAAGAGTTTGGGAAGAGGTCAGGGGGGGGGGTGAGCGAGAGGATGGAAATAAGAGCACCGAGGTTTTGGAAGGATGTAGGGGAAAGGCAATGTTCGGTCATCCATGGCTGTCGGGCAGGATGAGATGCGGAGGGGAAGATCGCGGGTGAATGTTTTGAAGGAGAAGAAAATTTGAGTGTCATCGGCAAAGAGGTGAAAGGAGATAATGGAAGGGGCTGGCTTCCGAGGCAGTTTCATCAATTGGGCAAGCGTCTTAAATCCTCTCCCGCCTCCGTCCAGCCAGCAACATGAGTGCAGACCCCACGAGATGTTTGGTGGGTCGCATACGGTTGGGGTAAAGTGGTGCGGATAACTCCCCAATCCTGCAAGATGTCTGTGCAGCATGGAAGAGTAGGCCAAAAACACCTTCCAGTTGGACCCCCCTCCTCACGAGCAGTGGAGCGAGCGATCGATCGCAAGAGGGGGGAGGGGGGCTGCGTCCCTTCGTGCTGCTCTACGCGAGCAGAAGTTGAGAAGCGTGCTGCGAGCGGGCACGCGTGGACTTGGACTCCCGTTCCCAGGACGACCGATAACTCCGCTACGCCCATTGGCGAGTGTGTAGGCAATAAAACCAAGAACACACGAAGCAGCTCGCGTGCGGTCACGTCATCACCTGCTTTAAGATGGCAACAGCATCGTTGCCCGGTTACAAGGTGGTGAACTTTGAACTTCCTTATCGGTACCTTTTCTCAGTGGACGTTTTTTATACAAGGGTGCTTTGGGTGCCGATTTGTTATCTCGCTCGCCTGTTTGCAGGAGGCCGTGTTCGATCCCGACCCTGACGCCTGCTGCTGTATATTTGGAGTTTGCGGTGTCTCTCTCCCTGTGGTTACGTGGATTTTTCCCTGGGTTCTCCGGTTTTTCCCCTCAACATTTAGAATCGACGTGCGCTTAGAGTATTTATTTGGCTGCTATAAATTTCCACATGATGATAAGCCAATTTGTTGAGCTATCATTGATGATAGCCAGGTCGCTTCTGAAAAAGAGCTGTATACCTCTGTGGGCCTTATCTGGTAAAATAAAAAATAGTTTAAAAAATATATAAATCAGGGCTCGGCAACCTGCGGATCTGGAGTCCTATGCGGCCCTTTAAACACCGCTGCGTGACGTTATTTATTAAGGGCCAACCGCTGATATAAATGTTCACGACATGGTAGGTGTCCGTTTTCATCTGCTTCCCGTGGCTGATGATGTTGACGTGGAGAGCAGCAACAGCTGTAAATGTACGTTGAGGTGGTCAGTGAGCCAGACAATTGTGGAATAGTGAGTGCATCGCTGTGATAATAATGATGATGATGCCGCCTCCTTTCAGAATCAAAATACTTGTTCATGCTGGAGGAATCCGATGAGCTTTAAAGCTCTTATTTTCACAGATGCCCGGTCGGGGTGGGTCACCACGTTATAACAACAAACAGTACAAACACACGATAGGAGTGCGAAGTATAGGAAAGTTAAACAAATCGTAAAAAAAAATACAAATATAACTAAACTCTTTTTACTTCAAGAGGTAAAGCCCACCGAGATATTAGCTTCTTTTTCACAAGCGACCTGGCCACAAATGATAGCTCAACGAAGTGGCTTATCGTGTGGAAATTTGTAGCAGCCAAATAATCTCAACGATCTAAACGCTTCAATTTTGACTTAACATTCGTGACTGCAGGAATTAATATTCTTTGGTTCTTTCGGTAAATTCACGTAAATAGAAAAATAATAATAAATAATAAAGCGAATAAAAATAAAAAAGTATATAAATTACCTAAAAACCACGACGTTTCGATGGCAACGCAAGCGGTCGTCATCACGTTTCGGACGCTTGTGTGGCGATCAACACGTTATGGTTTTAGGTTTTTATTTGTATTTATATATTATTATTATTTTTCTTCTATCTACGTGACTACCGAAAGAACCAAAGAATATGATCTAAACGCTTGTTGATTCTAAATGTGGAGGGAAATACAGGAGGACCCGGAGGGAAAACACAAATCCATGGGACCCTTGAAGTGTGTTACATGCTCTGTGGTTTTGTTCTGGTTGACCACCGTCTGTGCACCCTACCGGAGAGGTTTAATGAGAGTATTTGTTCACGGTGTATTTTCCACTATCATATGAACTCAACATTTTTTTAATTATTTTACCGGGTAAGACTCGCTGAACTATATAGCTCTTTTTAAGAAGCGACTTTGCTATCACAAATGAGAGTTCAACGAAGTGGCTTATCACCACGTGGGAATTTATAGCAGCCAGATACTCTAAATGCGTGACGTTGATTCTAAACGTGAAGGGGTAAAAAGTGGAGGACCCGGAGAAAAATCCATACGACCACTGGGAGAGAGACACACACCGCAAACTCCAAATATACAGCAGGTGTCAGCGTTGGGATCGAACCGACAGCCTCCTCCATACCTAGCGAGGTAGTTCTCTTCTCACCACCGAGATGCAATGGGCTGCTGGATTGAGGTCTTTGTCCAGCAGTGGTTGAGCATGATCGGGATGATGTTGGTCAAGATCTCAACTTCCAGTGCTCCCTATCCTCCACCATTTCTGCATTTAGCAATCTTTTCTGTTCATTCTAAAAAGAAAACAGCCACTGAAAACACTCCAATGCCCTTGATGGTTGGTAATTGCACAAAGCTGTACTGTAAGTGTGAGGTAGCGAGTACTGGAGTTGAAAAACCATTGGACCAGCAACATCATCATTGTCAGCCACGATAAATCCACTGCTGGATAAAGCCCCCTTTCTAATGCCGATGGGTAGATGGGATTGAACTTGTACCCTGCGACGATGACATTGGCACACTATTGCACTTGAGTAGGGAGATGCGAGGTGAGACAGCAGTTTTATTTTGTACAGGAATTTAATTAAATGCCCCATTTACCATACATCGATAAGTGCCGGGACATTCAGGCAGAAAAAGTGCACACGTTTGTTATTTTGGGGCTGTGTTTTTCATGCGAGCGGAGTGCGCTCGCAAATTACAATGAGCTTGGCCGGTGGTGGCTATGCTGCACGTGGCGTGGCCTGTAACCCAGGACGGTGGAGGCAGAGCAGCAGCAGCAGCGAGGGGTTGGTGGATCACACAAATGTTGCAAAACTCCATTCTCGGCGGCGTTCTGGGAGGGGCCGCTGCACCCTGGCTCGCCAAGAGAAGCCAGGGAAGGAATAAAAATGTGGTCTCCACTTTTTCCCATCTGTATGGGATAGTGTGTTTCCCCCTTGCACGTGTGGGTTTTCTCTGGGTGTTTCAGTTTATATCCCACATGTATAAGGTCTGCACTCATTAAACACAAAGTGCTTGCCATAAGTGAACCACATTAACCTGCTGATCTCGTCAGGGAGCATAAACCATCACGCGAACTCCGGTCATCCTCGCAGCGGCTTTTGGCTAGCCATCAAACAAAGACGGTTACTGCATCACACGCTCTCAGATGCTCTTCTGCGGACGTCTGGAATGCTCTGCCTTCCGATATGAGGAAGCCACTGGAGATATGCATTTTTAAATATAGATTGAAAACTAATTTCTTCAGAACTTTTTGTGTTTGGTTTGTCCTACCCCCACATCTCGCATACATCACGGTTGTCTACGTATGGTGTGAAAGAAGTTCAACATGCGTACATACATATCCCCACCGAGGCGCCCCTTGTAGCAGTGGATAGACCATGGGTGTGCCCGGGGATGTGTGTGTGTGTGACACTGTGTGTGTGACACTGTGTGTGTGACACTGTGTGTGTGACACTGTGTGTGTGTGTGACACTGTGTGTGTGACACTGTGTGTGTGTGACACGGTGTGTGACACAGTGGGTGTGTGTGTGACAGTGTGTGACACAGTGCGTGTGTGTGTGTGTGACACAGTGGGTGCTAGCTTGTGAGGTCTTCATACCGCTGGCGCTCTTCTTCGTTCTGCTTGGACTTCGGCAGAAGAAGCCAACCATCTCTGTCAACGAAGGTAAAGCGTGGCCGGTACCTGCCGATACCCGGTGATCCCCGGCAAATAACCCGGCGATACTCGCCAGACCGTCGTCCGGTGTTGGACGCATCCCAGGTCGTTTTTTGCCCGCATTTTATAAACCATTCCATCGCCATATTTTCTTACGTTTGATGTTTGTCACGTTTCATTTTGCCACCATTGCTGCTGCTGCCACCGTTGTGTTTCCGTTAACAAGGCCACCTCTGTCTCGTGTTTCGTGTTTTTTAATTTTTCCATCATTTTATTCTGTTTTTTTTGTTTGCTTCCGTTTCATGACCATCACCAACCACCAACCTCCACCTCCGTTTATTTCTGGACGTCTGCGTTGTGGGGCCCCGCGGCAGTCTGTAAGTTTCTCCCGAGGTGCCGCATGAACCTTTTGGCACTCCTGTAAGGATGAGCCGACATCTCTCGCGTTCAGAGCTGGCAGAATGTCATCATAGGAGGACACACGGCCGCTCGTATTTGTAGCACTAATTATTACAATGATGATCTCGCCTATTCGTAATGATCAATAATAACGATACCAATTATATCCCTGCTGTGTTGTCAAGTTGTACCGCTACGTGTTGTTGTGGTTGTTCGACACACGACCGTCTGACGTTTTTGACTCTTGGTGGGGGCGGGAGCTCCTTTGGGAAGAGAATTCGGTCGTCGAAGGAGCCTCCCGGGGTGTCGTGCCACACGGCGCACGGTGCAAACCAAACGCACAGCCGGAGAGCTGCACAGCAGCTGACCGTGAACGCCCCATGCGCGATTGATGCCAATTAATCTCGATAATAACAATAATGATGATGATGTCATTTAATTACCCAGGAAGCCTCACTCAGACTTAAAACTCCTTTTTTTTAGGAGGGTGCTACTGCATTGTGCTTCCATGAGTGATAGAGTTTGGATTCGTGTTTGGAGGAGGAATCCATAGACACCGCAGAAACCCAGCACCGCGCTGCTGTTGTACACGAGGGGGGAGACACTCGGGAAACCGGAGACCCCAGAGAAAACCTAGCACAGGGCTGCTCCATATGAGGGGGAGACACTCAGCACCGCCACCTCCTTGGCACCACCTCACTGCAGCCCCGCCATGCCTACCACACCTGGCAAGCCCTGGTGGTGGTGGTGGCGGTGGTCCCTCATCCCACACATAAGCAGAATTCAAATTCCCACTTAGCCTCCGAGGTCTGACTATGTTTGATGCATTAAGGGTGGCTCGGCTCATCTTCGTCATTCCTGAGGGGCAGGTGAATAAAAACAAGTACGAATTTGTGGGCAGTCAAACGCTCATTGTCCTCCTCGAGGTCCTGCTCCCCTGCCAAGGGAATGTGGAATGTTCACTTCCTTCTCAGGGCAGTCGGTGAAGATGAGCATCGCACAAGAACGGGTCCGGTGACGGCCCAGCACCCACGCATTAATTACACATTGCCCCCCACCCTACCTCCCCCCAACAGTGCTCCTGTTGTCCTATAATTAATTAATACGCTGCTCATGTCACCTGCAATTAAGAAAACCTGGAGCGGAGGGCACTGGCTGCCTGGCTTGGAGCCACAGAACTTCCTTGCAAGGCACTTTGGCCATTGTCGTGCTCTCTCTCTTACTGGGCGACACTTGGACCCATGACCGCTTCACCTTGAACAATGCGAATTCAACCGCGATGAAGCCTGGAGAACCGAAATGGAGTTCAAATGAACTCGCAAACAAGCAGCCTGTTGTGAAAGACCCAATGTAGAAGATCCCTGGGTTTGATCTTTGACGAAGCTGCTCATGGTCCACCCTAAATCGCATCCACTGCACAAACCATGGCAGATGCGGATACCTGATGTACAAATGCAACATTAAAAAAAACTCTCCAGTGCACGACTGCGATCGTCAAGAACAGACCATACAATATATAACAAAGCAAATACCCAATCCACAGATACGAAGGAGACATCGCAGCGATGATACACTACTCCGCTGCGCCCGGCACGGTTATCTGGCTTGACCACCTGAATGTGAAATCATCAGCAGCCATACAAAAGAAGAAGACCGGCTCGCACTAAAGTCACTTGAGTCCGCAAAAGCCATTTCAACCACATTGCACACCATCGCTCCTCCGAATGTCACGTGTGAAGCTGCCCAAGGGTGCCAGATTTTTTTTCGGGACAATCCTGGTGGTTTCGGACAGTGTTTCCCCCCCCCCCCCCCCCCCCCCCGCGCCAAAAGTATTTTGTCAAGGTCGGGATGTCGTCAGGTTGTTTCAAATGTTCTGGTACATTTAATAAACTTTCCGAAGAGTGCCATAGCTGGAGACACGATGACGAAGATGATTCTGCAAGGCTAGATATATATTGCATCTCAGCTGGACCCAACGAGTGACCAACGTAGAAGTAAGACAAAGGTAGCACATAGAAGAAGACAACCTGATGATGCAGGCAGGAAGGCAGGCGTGGTGAGAAGGAAACTGGCACTAATTGGACACATGTAGGATGGCAAACAGCAGGAAAAATACAAGTGTGCTCGCGGAAAAATGGAAGGAACCGGAAAGAGGGTAAGACCAAGTGAAGAATGGCTTGACGAGGATATTAAGAGATTGGTGCCAGAAAGATGTGGCCACTACTTGAGCCACATCGGTACAAGACAGAGGAACGTGAAAACCAATGACGAAATGTTCAGTGGACACCTACGGGCTATCTGCCCATGGATCGTGATGATGATGAGATATACAATAGACTCTGGATTATCAACGTGCGGTTTATACTGCGCACCTGAGATTTTGACGTGAATTAATAACTCATGGATTTTTTCTTAAGCTCAAATGAATAATCTGAAAACAGTTCTATATTAAATCTTGACTGCAGGAATTCATATTCTTGGGTCTTTCGGTAAAGTCACGTAGATATACAGTTCTATATTGTTATTCTACAAGTCGCGTGTATTAAACCGAACAAATACATGCTCCGGTTAATCCAAAATCCACGTTATCGCTTCTACAGTACAGTACAGTAGTTGAATGATGTTTATTGGCGTGGCTCTGCTGTCCACTTAGTAGGCCGAGTCTTCTGCGCGGGAGCAGGAAAGTGTTGTCACTGAGCATGCGCATTGATCGGTCGATCGATCGTTAGCATTCGTTCTAAATCAAAAGGGTAACAATTGAAATCGTCAGCTGTGCATCATTTTGAGTGGCATTGAGATTCGCGGAAAATGGTTATATTTTTTATCCGCGATTTTGAATTCTCCACGGCCATCCTCTCCATCATTAGCGCACATAATCGAGAGACTACTGTATATAGCGGGATAAATCTCCTGATACCAGTCTGTGTGGATGCTATTACATCACAGATGTAATAGCATGTAATAGCAAGGCTATTGTAGCACACCGTCACACGGCGTTGGCTCACTCTCGAAGAGAGATGAACACTCGGAGGCACGAGGAGGAACCACGAGCGAGCGAGGAGGCAGCAGCCACACGCGGTGATCCGGAGCTGCCAACAGGTGCCCAAGCTCTGCGGTCCTCTACATATATTTAAGCATTGGCCAATACGACGAGCGATTTATGCACGTGGGAGGAAACTGAAACGCCCAGAGAAAACCCCACGCGTGCCAAGGGGGAAACGCGCCTTCCCAAACGGATGGAAAAGGTGGAGACCACATCTTCGCTTTCCTGCCTTCTTATGGCGAGCCAGGGTACGGGCTCCTCATCGACGCCCATGAGAAGGGAGTTTCGCAACATCTGTGCTGTGATCCACCAACCCCCTCGTTGCTGCTGTCTCCACCGTGCTGGGTTAGAGGCCACGCCGCGTGCGGCGTAGCCACCACCGCCCAGCTCGTAATTTGCGAGCGCACACTACTGGCTCCGCGGTCCTCAATATATCGGGGCGTTCGCGGAAAATTAATGAGCGGTTAGGCGTGTGGGAGGAAACGGAAGCGCCCGGAGGAAACCCACGCGTGCGAGGAGGAAACGCTCTCCCATACATGTTCGCCGAGTACCACCTTGTCCTAGCGAACCAGGGCTCGGCCGCTTCTCTACGCCCCAACCCCACCGAAAGGGAGTTTCGCAACAGTTGTGTGCGTGGTGATCCACCAACTCTTGCTGCTGCCCGCACACCGCAGAATAAAAGGCGTGCGCCACCACCGCAAGGCTAAAGATGATTCACTAAGGGTAGATCTTTATATATGTAGCTGGAGAAAGATCCTGAAGCCAGCCTGTGTGGGTGGCTTGTTAAAACAAAAAATGAAACTATTTTAGTTTACCAGGTACTCTTTTTCAGAAGCCACCTGGCTATCACAAATGATAGCTCAAGGAAGTGGCTTATCACGTGGAAACTTATAGAAGTAGCCAAATACTTTAAATGCTTGACGTTGATTCTAAATGTGGAGATAAAAGCCGAAGGACCCGGAGAAAAATCCACGAGAGCATGCAAACTCCAAATATACAGGAGGTGTTGGGGTTGGGATTGAACCCACGACCTCCTATATACCAGGCAAAGAAGTTAACATCTCTAGCCACTATGGCGCCTGACGGTAGCGAGATCGCCTGTACTCCTCGTTCAGATCTTCGGTACGACCCAAATGGACTGCACATTTCATGAACGCGAGCGATTTTTTTTTCAGAGGCCATTAACCCCTCGCTCGGCCCCCCCAACCCCCCGGCCTGGCTTCAAGATTTTCAAGAGCGCCAACTCGGCAGGGCCCATTCGTGATGTCGCCAGCAGCATTTTTGCCTCCGTTCCCCGCAACCTTTTTTCCTCGCTTGGGGGGGCCCCGGAACAGGACTTGCAGATAACCCGCTTTTTGCAGGCGAGGGGAACTTTGCCCGCAGTGCACTCGTGTGTCGTCCCCAATAGTCATGCGCAAATCACAATAGGAAAGTGCATGTCGGAGAAGTGGCAGAAGTGACCTCCGATTGGCACGGTTGGCTACGTGAGATGCGAAAGAAATTCAACATATTACTGTGTCCTATATTTAGAAATGTAGTGTTGTTGCGGGGTGGAAAATACCCCCCCCCGCCCTTCCCTCTAGAACACTGAGTAGTATGGCTAAGATACTCACAAGGACTGATAAATATCAGTCCCCGCGGCATCTTACAACTCGTAAAATTGCCGTATAAATTTTCGGTCCCTCAAAAAAAGGAGTTTTATTTCCATTGGGAGCTCACCTGGTTAAACTATACACGGGGCATGTATCTCGTCACGCCGCACACGCTGGATCATTGCTCAATGGACCTCCACTGCCCAATCCTCCAGTGGTGCCGTTCTGCAGCTCTGTCGAGGGGCTTTGCTGTGTTTGCTGTGAACTCCTCATCTCGCCCCCCCCCCCCCCACCTTTTGTACAGCACAGCGTCACATATCCGACTCTGGGGACTGAGGCATAGGCGGATCTGTAAAAAGGTCGCATTTGTGAACGTCTACACCACTGGACAAATTCTGGCGGTGGGCGGTTAATCGATTTGGCCGGACATGTGACGGTCGGACATGTGACATTGTACTGTAACTCGCACTGCTGTGATGTTGCTCCTGCCCTTGATGATCACCCATCCCTCAATCATTGAAACAACAACAACAACATTGATTTACAGCCCCTTTATCAATCCTCCCCCTGCCCTGTTTCGGCTATGGGGGTAGTTTGACTATACATGCTAGTCAGTGTTGGTCACTGAAGGCAGGAGCGGGGGTGCCCAGGACTGGTTCAGATATCGCTTGCCACCGACGTTAGCCATAACCAGGAATCGAGTTTGGGTCGCCGGATTCATAGCCTACGCGGTCTCTTTCCCAATTGTATTATAATTGTGCTAGCGTTGTCATGTCATGTGACGAATGGCCCAATCGGATCTCTTGCAGTATTTATGTTGAACTTCTTTCGCACCGTACGTGGCCAACCGCGGTAATTGGAGGTGCAGGACAAGGAAAACAAACTAAGCTCACAAAGCTGTTAGAAAGAAATTAGTTTGTCAATCTAGATTTGAAAGTGCATAGCTCCAGTGAAGAGCGTTCCAGACGGCCGCAGAAGCACATCTGAAATCCCCGCACGATACATTGACAGTCTTTGTTCGATGGCCAGCCAAAAGCCACTGTTGCTGCTGCGATGATGACCGGAGCGTGATGATGGTTTATGCTCCTGGATGAGATCGGCAAGGTAAAATGAATGGCCCGTGGAGGGAGTTATCACAGAACTACTTCTGAGATCCCCTTCGAGTGACCTCGTTGTCCACAGACTAGGGGGTGCTGCACTTTCCCCTGCTATGAGGGGAATGTCGGTATCATGGACAGAGCATCCTGTATAATGACTGGGCTCACGGCGTCGACTCTTAGTCGGGAGCGCCGGTGTCGATCGGACGGCTTGAAGTGGGATTGGAACCCGGCATCTCGGCGGTGCCAACTCTTCGCTCTGGCCCCGAAGCCACCCGGCCACCTCTCGGATTCACTAAATTAGTAAACTCTCATGAACCCTTTAGCATTCCGAGACGTCTGCAAGTTGCAGGGTGTAGGTCCCGTCAACTGCTGCATTTTGGAACGCACAAGCGATTCGGCGTTGGTTTTATTTGGAGAGGCGTAGTAGTGCCGTTGTTTTTAAAAACATGGCACTCGCCATGGAGAACCGTAGTGACACAACTGCACTCTATGATAGTAGGCTCCCAATTGTGCCCCGCAGGGAGTTGCTTCTCGAGTGTGTTGCTCAGGAAGAGAGAGTTAGAAGAAATTGAGACTGGGAATATAGTCGGGGGGTGGGGGGGGGAATTCCTTGAAACAATCAAATCGCAATCCTGAAGGGCAAGACACAGGAGGCTGAACCTACTGCTGTACAATGTAGAATGGGACACCAGATGTGGGGACACTTCAACGAAGAAGCTGACCTTGGGCAGAGACTTACCGGATTCTGATTCTGCTGCTGGCGCCTTGCTCGGCGCCCTGCAAGCGCGGGTGTCGCCTCTGCGCTGAACGTCTGCCTGTGGCCGTCTCCTCCCTTTCCGCGTTTGGATATCCTCTGCTTTCTGCTTTGCCCCCCTCCTGTCTGTGTGCGCATGTGCATGTGTGTGCACCTCCCCAATGTCTCGCCCCCCCCCCCCCCTCCAAGCGTACTACTCAGCCTCGCCCTTAACCTCGGCGGGGATCGTGCACATCATGCAGTCCATCTGCCCCGATGGACAGAGGGATGCGTTCGGCTTCCTGGAGTACCGCAACTCCATGTGAGTCCGCAAAGTGTTTAACGTCCTCCTTCTTAAAACCCACGCTTCTGTTGCTTCTCTCGGGTCTTCTGTAATCGCACCAGCATTCGCATCCGTGCAGAGAAAACGGGCCCGACGTACATAACGCTGCAGTGTTTTAATTTTTCCTTGCCATAAATAATTATTAAATCCTCGCAAAATCCGCACTCATTCTGAATCTGGCCCTCGCTTAACCTCCATCGAAGGAGCCGCGTGCGCTCTCGCGTAAGCAGATGCTCAGCGGGCGCCGTGGCGATGCCATGAATAATGGAGTGGGGGTGATTTTGGCAGCGGCGGCGTAAACGCTATCGGTCGGCCGATGCCCTTGCATGTGATGTCGCGCTCTCGTAGAGACAGCGAGAGAGAGAGGACGACTCGGAAGCACCAGGAGGCGGAACCACAGACGAGGAGTGGGAAGGCAGCAGCCGTGTGGTACACTGGTACTTCCGACAATTGCCCAAGCTCTGCGGCCCTTTATATGAAGGTGTTATCGGCCAAATGATGAGCGTTTCCAAGTAGGAGGAGGAAACTGGAACACCCGGAGTAAACCCACGCGTGCGTGCGAGGGGGAAACACGATATCCCGTACAGACGGAACAGGTGGAGTCCACGCTGTTGTTGTGCCGCCTTCTCTGGGCAGAGCCAGGGTACGGCTCCCCTTCGATGGCTACCCACGGGAAGGGAGTTTTGCAACATTTGTGCGGTGACCCAACAACCCCTTGCTACTACCTCCAGATTACTGGATTACATGGCACGTGTGTAGCCACCACCACCTGGCTAAACTTGACCATATTCTGTGGATTATTGGGCGTTGTGACATGGCTCAGTTGGTAGTGCGTTCGCCGCTTGTTGCACAAACACGATCGGAGTGCAAAGTATAGGAAAGGTAAGCAAATCGCAGAAAATATATATATACAAATATATTGCCAGATAAAACCCACTGAGCTTATTATTATTCTTCTTTCAGAAGCGACCTGGCCACAAATGATAGCTTAACAAAGCAGCTTATCACGTGGAAATTTCTAGCAGCAAAATAATCTAAATAACCTAAATGCATGTTTCTAAATCCATTGACATGTATGAATGTTGAACTGCTTCTGCACTGTGCGTTGCCAACCAGGCTCATCGGAAGTGTGGGAGAACAACAAACCAAACACAAAAAGCAGTTCTAGAGAAATGAGTTTGGCAATCTACTTGACTTAAAAGTGCATAGCTCCCAGTGGCTTCCTAATATCGGACAGAAGAGCGTTCCAGGCGGCCGCAGAAGCGCATCTGAAAGTGTAATGCGGTGACCGTCTTTGTTCGATGGTGAGCCAGAAGCCGCCGCTGCTGCGAGGATGACCGGAGTTTACGTGATGATGGTTTATGCTCCTTGATGAGATCAGTGGATGCAACCGCATTGACCCCTTGACCTCGACCAAACGGTTACGGTTCACCGGCGAGCCGCTTTCACGAGGGACCGCTTGCGCCCTCGCCACGGCGAGCGGGTACCGTCGTCGCCGCCGTCGATCCGTGCCGTCGTCTGCCCCCGCGCCCAGGGTGACTCAGCTGCTGGAGCGGCTGGGCGAGGTGACGGCCGACACGGACTTGCTCTCCCCTGAGCGCGCCAGCCTGGACGTGGAGCTCGGGGCGCTGCGGCAGCACGCGGCGGAGCTGGGGGGGCAGCCCGGCCCCCTGGAGCGCAGCCTCAACGCGGCCCACAGTGAGTGGGGATGGGGGTGCCCGGGGGGGTGGCTAGGATCGGGTCATTATGTGTCACTCGCCACCTCGCGTTAGCCATTACCAGGGATCAAACTCTCGTCGCCGGATTCGCAGCACGCGCCCGCGCGCGCGGTCTCTTTCCCAGTTGTGTTCTGATTGTGCTTTTAGTGTCGTGTCGTGTGACGAGTGGCCCAATCGGATCCCTTGCAGTAAGCAGTGCCAATCACCTTGTGTTAGAGTATATGTTTTGAGCTTCTTTTGCACCGTACGTAGCGAACCCTGCTAATCGGAGGTGCGAGGGAAGGGCAACAAACTAAACACAAAAAATAAATTAAAAATTGATGTCAATTAGGGGGCCACAAAATATCGTTCCGCGGGCCGCGAGTTTGAGACCCCTGCTCTAGGGGATTTTAAAAGTGCATAGCTCCAGTGGCTTCCTAATATTGGATGGAAGAGGATTCGAGATGGCCACAGAAGCGCATCTGAAAGCACGTGATGCAGTAACCATCTTTGTTCAATGACTAGCCAAAAGCCGCTGGACGTATGATTGGCGTAAGCGTGATGACGGTTTATGCTCCTGGCAGTCAACGTGTTCACACAGGGACAGCTGCCACTGGGGGTGCCCTTTCAAATGATATTGAGATGACATAACGATGCAAGTAGCTTATCGTGTGCAAGGCACTCTTGAGATGCCCTGGATTAAAAAACGGTGGCGCTATAAAACACAAAAAATATTATAATAATAATGCTTTCAACTTCAACGCTTTAGAAAGGCAGCCACGCAGCGATCTGTATATTTAAGGTGTTATCGGCCAATTAGCGCCGTGCGAGAGAGCAATGCTCGATCCTTTAAAATCGGTGGAGTGTGCCTTTTCTGTACCGCCTTCTCCTGGCAATCCAGGGTATGGCTCCTCCTCGATGCCTACGGGATTAGCACGGTTGGATACGTACGGTGCAATATAAGTTCTAGATACATACAAGAGAGTTCAACAACATCTGTGCAGCAATCCACCAACCCTCGCTGCTGCCTCCACAGTGCTGTGTCACGGGTCACGCCACGTGCAGCAGCATAGCCACCAACACTGCCCAGCAAACTCCACGTACACAGCAGACGTCCTATATACCAGGCGAGGTAGTCAACATCTCTCCACCGCGGCACCCCATTGTTGTGTCTCGGAGCTGTGAGCCGCCCGTGATCTCCCGTGTCCTGTCTCAACCACCGGCCCCTCGCCCCTGTACAGACCTGACGCTCTCCACACTGCTGAGAGACCCGGAGACTTTCCGTGACTTCCTGAGCCGGAACCTCTCGCTGAGCGATGGGGCGGCCGCCGCTCTGCTGGACTCGCCGATAGACACACGAGAGGTGGGCACACACAAGACAAAGGTCCCCCGTGTAGCCCTCGCGGGACTGTTGGGGCAAGTGCTGTTCGTGGGATGGCAACCGTGAAGGCCTGCACGGCTCGCGAGAGGGTGGTGTGACCAGAACTACGCCCATCCGCCTTTGTCTCTCCCCAGTGCTGATGTTTTACTCACTGCACCAGGTACTCATTGAAGGCTGAGTCGACCTAGTGGAGGCTCGGGACCGATTCGTAAAGTTGTCACCGGTATTAGGCATGAGCGGGTATCGACCTCTGGTCGCTGGGTTTGTAGCGCAGTGCGGTAACCACCACTCCCCACTCTGGGAACTCCTCCGTTCTTTCCACAACTGCCCCACTCCGCTGTTTGCGAGTAGCACCTCCCGAAGGCTCAGGCGCGCACACGCACGTGGAGGGCGCTCACCACACAGAGCTGACGACCGTGTGATGGCTCTCCTCCAGCTGTACCGCCTCTTCCTGGGCTCTTACCCTCTGGTGCCCAAGGAAGCATGGGACAAGGAAGAGGGCGACTCCTCCAGGGACTCCACCAACAGCATCCCGGCCTTCCAGGTAAGTGGACAGCTCGACACAAAGACAAAGATCCCCCATGTGTAGCCTGTAACAGACTGTTGGGGCGAGTGCTGTCAGCGAGTACCACCTAATGAAGGCGGGCGCGGTACACAATAGAGTGGGTGGCCAGCACCACGCCCGACCGGCTTTGTCTCCCCAGTGGCGATGTTTACACAACGCACCAGGTACTCGTTTTAGGTTGAGTCGACCTAGGGGAGGCCTAAGCCACAGGAGCGTGATTGTGGCCATGCAACCCAAACTATGAACTGTATAAGTAATATATTGTAGTCTGTGCTCCTTGAACGGAGGAGAAGGAGCGGTAAAACGACACCAATTCTCTCCTGGAGCCCTCCCGTCATGGCAAGCATCGGCAGACTTCGATATTTTGCATCGAGCTCCTGAACATCGCTAGCGGGAGGATGTTCTAAACAATGGGGGTGTGGCAGCATTGGAGAATGAGTGACCTCCCGCTGACCCCCCGTTGACCGGTTGCTGTCCTAGGAGCAGCTGGTGTCCAAGTGGAGGAACCTGCACAGGGGGCTTCTGCAGCAGGCGCTGCAGGACCCGGCGCTGGCTTCGCAGAGACCAGCCCTGCTGTTCGCCCTCGCACAGGCGCTGGGGCTCGCCAATGCCAGCAGCAGTAACGGCGGCGGCAGCAGTAACGGCGGCGGCAGCAGCAACAGCAGCAATCGGCCAGGGGGGGAGGATGGTGGCGATGGTGACAGCAGCGGCGCCTCGCTCGTGCGCGCTCTGCAGGTCGGTGGAGCTTCGTAGCGCCGGCGGCGGCAATGGTAGCGATAGTAGTCGGTTGTGTCATCATCGGCCGGGTGGTGGTGTCTACGCTGCTGCTGCTGCACGTAGCTTTTAATCCATAACGTGGCAATTCGTTACTAGTACAGCACACAGGTGTGTTGGAGAGCAAATCCAAAATATGTAATCCAGCCCTGTAGAAGCAGCAGCAACAGCAGTGAGGGGTTTGTGGATCACCGCACGGATGTTGCGAAGCTCCCTCTCTACCACATGGGTGGGTGTAGAGGAGGAGCCCGTACCCTGGCTCTGCCAGGGAAAGGTGGCACAGCGGAGTGTGGATGCCACCCGTTCCATCTGTACGGGATCGAGTGTTGCCCCTTTGCACGGACGTGTGAGTTTTAAGCGACAGTAGCATCAATATCGGCAGCATTGTTGTCATGATGGGCGAGTAGCAGCTTGTGTTTTCCTCTGGCCCTTTGAGGCATGTGAGGGTGGCCGTGCAGTGTTGGGACACATTCAGATCGAGGTCTGGACACCTTTCCTGCAACCCATGTGGTTGCTTGGGTTCCAACTTGACTGCTAACAATTGAAGTGAGAGGGGGGCCTGGGCAGGACCCAGCGCGGTGGTTCGAGGACGACTGCCGCCGGTTTCTGCGTAACGACCGAGGAGCGGCAGCCCAAGGACGGACCGCGCCCGAGGTGGATGGCCACCGGGGAGAGAGACGGAGCGATGAAATCGGCTCGTGCCGTCGCTGCTACGTAGATCGGAATCGTGGGACCGTGAGACACACCGACGGTTTAGGAGAGAGGTCTTCGTCCAAACAGTCCACGCCACGAGATGTTTAACGAACCCGCCTGGTAGACAGGAGTTCGTGGGTTCGATCCCGACCCTGACGCCTGTATACGTCTCTCTCCCCGTGGTCGCGTAGATTTTTCTCCGGGTCCTCCGGTTTTTCCCTCCCCAAATTTAGAATCGACATCACGCGTTCAGAGTATTTCGCTGCTATACATGTCCACGTGGTGATAAGCCACTTTGTTGGAGCTATAATTTGTGATCGCCAGGTTGCTTCTGAAAAGGAGCTTTTTAGCTCAGTGGGCCTTACCTGGTTGAGTTTAGTTTTAGTTGACGGATCACAGCTCACGCACGACAGTAACGAAACTAACCAAACAACCAAACCAAACAACGCCTCCCTCTCTCCTCCCTTCCTGCGTGCCGCCCCGCAGAACGTCCTGCTCACCCCAACGCAGCTCTTCCGCCTCGCTTGCGCCACCGACAAAGGGGAACCGCCACGGCCGCTCCTGCTGCGGCCGTCTGGCGCCGCGGCCCAGGGTGGCCTGCGCGAGGTTCGGTCCCGCCTGTGCCCGGCGGGGGCGGCGCCGCAGGCGGCCGATGGCGCGGCCGGCGCTCCTCCGCGGCGGAACGACGGCGGTGGCGCCGGCGGCGAGGCGCTGGCGGCGTTCTCGAGCCTGGCGCTGGAGCTGAGGCAGCAGGTGGAGCCGGCCAAGGTGGTGCAGCAGGTAGGGTAGCGAAATGGCGTGGGGGGAAAAGAAGCCGTCATGGACGGTCGCTTATAATGATGGTGATAATAATATAATGCTCTTTAGTTCTTTCGGTAAAGTCGCGTAGGTAGAAAAAATAATCGTCTTCAAATAATCTTCACCTGAAGACGGTTGCTTGTGTGGCGATCGAAACGTCGTGAGCTGTTATTTTTTTCCTGCAGTCACGAAAGCTTCAAATAAAGAATAATATGATAATTTCGACTTGTAATGCTGACGTACAGACATAATGGTTCCGAGGCACAAGGAGGAGGAGCCACAGGTGAGTGGGAAGGCAGTGAGCCACGCACTGGTGAGAAGCCGGCGCTCCGACAGTTTCCTGAACTCCACGGTCCTCTATATATGGAGGTGTTTATCGGCCAACGAAGTGCGTGTTTTGTACGTGGGAGGAGGAAAATCGGAGTGCCCTGGAGAAAACTCGCGCATGTGTGGGGGACAGCACTTTACTCCACACGGATGGAACAGATGGCGATTAGTCCGCACACTTTGCTGTGCGGTCTTCTCCTGTCGTGCCAGGGTGCGACGATCCACCAACCCCCTCGCTGCTGCGTGCTCTCCCGGTGGTCACGTGGATCTTTTTTCTCTCCAGGTCCTTCAGTTTTTTTCCCCTCCTCATTTATGATCGACGTTCACTTCGTGTAGTATTTTAAGTTTTTGGCTGCTATGAATTCCCACGTGATGGGCCACTTCGTTGAGTTATCATTTTTGGCCAGGTCAATTCTGAAACGGAAGCTAATTGCTCAGTGGGCTTTACCTGGTAAGATAAACATAGATATATATATTTTTAGTGATTTGCGTTCCTCTCCTATATTTTGCACTCCTATTATGTTTTCCTATTGTTTGTCGTCGTAACGTTCTAAACCTCGCCCCTACTGGACACCTGTGAAAAAGAGCTTTACAGCTCATCGGATTTCTCCATTTGTAGACGAAGATTCTGATTCCTGTGGTCGATCACGGGCCCCACGCCACGGCAGCAGCCGCGCCGTTCGCTGACGCGTCGCCACCCCCTCCCCCCACCACCCCCATGCGGCAGCTGGACCTCGAGCGCATGAACGCCAGCGGCACGCGGCAGCGCCTGCAGGAGCTGCTGGAGGACGTGGGGCGGCTGCACAAGCTGCTGCGGGACATCCATCTGCTCTCGGGGCTAGCTCGCCTCCTCCCCAAGGGCGCCTGCGCCACCAGGCGGGGGACCGGCGCCACCTCCTCCTCGCAGGACCCCGACGGGCACGTAGCTGGCAACGGGACCACCTTCGGCACGGGTGAGAAGCGGCGTGGCTGGCCCAGGTGGTGGGTGGCGGGGGGGGTGCGGCGGTCGCCCTTCTTGAAACCCTCCCAACATTGGTATTATTCGTGTTGATATCTACCTAGAGAAAATATAGTTCACGTAAAAATGTATACCGATTGTAGGGGGCCCTGTTTTAACAAGCGTGGCATTTCAGGACAGCCGACTTTCCCCCCTTCCACACACTCCTTACGTGATGAAACGGGGGGTGGCGTTGTGATCAGAATGGGAGTCTTTATTTAGACTGGAGGAATTCGATGAGCTACAAAGCTGTTTTCCACAGATGTCCAGTTATGGGCAGGTTGTGATATGTGGGGTGATGACGCCGCTGCTTCCGTGCCCGAGAAGTTACTCCTCCCACCGCGCTTCCCTCCTTGCGACGTCACCACCGCGCCTCTGATTAGCGCGGTTGGCTACGTGCGCTGCGAAAGAAGTTCAACATTCATACTTACTGCCCATAGACTCAACACTACCCATAGACTCAACACTACCCATAGACTCAACACTACCCATAGACTCAACACTACCCATAGACTCAACACTGCCCATGGACTCAACACTGCCCATAGACTCAACACTACCCATAGACTCAACATTACCCATAGACTCAACACTACCCATAGACTCAACATGACCCATAGACTACGTAGCTCCGATTATCACAATTGGCTACGTATGGTGTGAAAGAAGTTCAACATATGTGCGTACGTACGTGCGTGTGCCGGCGGCGGCAGGGAATGCAACAACGACGGCGGTGCCGCCGAACGGCACGGAGGGAGCGCCGCGCGAGGATGCGGTGGCCGACGACGCCAACGGCGATGACGCCGACGACGCCGACGACGACGCGGCGGATGACGGCGGCGGCAAGAACCACTTCTCGGGATTTGTGCGGCTCTGGGCCGGGCTGCAACCCATCCTGTGTGGGAACAAGCGGTGAGTGAGCGCCGCGCCGGCACGAGCGGAGACGCGGAGCGATGACGTCGGCTTTCTTGTATGGGGGGCGGGGGATGCTGTTTAAGGGGGTGCCGTGGTGGCGAGGAGATGTTACCCGACTCGCCTGGTGTGCAAGAGACGTGGGTTCGATCCCGACCCCTGACGCCCGTTGTATATTTTGAGTTTGCGTGTTGTCCCCGTGGTTGCGTGGATTCTTTCTCTGGGTCCTACGGTTTTTACCTCCACATTGAGAAGCAACATCACGCAATTCTATTATTTAGCTGCTGTACATTTCCGCATTTTAAGCCCCTTTGTTGAGCGATCATTTGTGGCCAGGTCGCTTTAAAAAAATGATCTAATAGCTCAGTGGGCTTGACCTGGTAATAGTTTAGATTCATTTATGTGTTTTTCTAGAACTTTTATGAACCGCCTTATCCTGGCAGAGCCAGAGTTACGGCTCCTCCTCGACATCCACGGGGAGGGAGTTTCTCAGCATTTGCGCGGTGATCCACCAACCTCCACGCTGCTACCTCCACAGCGCTGGATTACAGGCCACGCCACGTACAGCGTCACGGCCATCGCCAGCGTGGTAGCCCCGGCTGCGATCTCGTTGACCTGCCGCGTTCTGCTGCTGCTGTGCTCGCAGAGAGATCAACCCGGAAGCGCTGAAGCAGGGGAACATGAGCTCCCTGGGCTTCACAAGCAAGGAGCAGCGCAACCTGGGCTTGCTTGTGCACCTAATGACGAGCAACCCCAAGGTTCTGTTTGCGCCCGCCGGATCGCAGGCCGACCAGGTCATCCAAAAGGTGATGCGGAGTGCACCGAGCAGGGGTCTCGCCGCTGACACGTCCGTCCACGCACTCACCGCAGCGGTCGGCATTGCACAGACATCCCCCGATCCCTCTGAACCCCAACCCAATCCTAGATCAACGACAACATCGCCCTCCTCACCATCTCCAACATACTCCGTGGACTCATCCCTGGCTGGCTCTCCCCTCACATCTCACTCTACTCCCCTCCACGCACTCTCCTACCTCTCCCCTCTCATCTCACTCTACTTCTCTCCACGCACTCTCCTACCTCTCATCTCGCTCTACTCCCCTCCATGCACTCTCCTACCTCTCATCTCGCTCTACTCCCCTCCATGCACTCTCCTACCTCTCATCTCACTCTACTCCCCTCCATGCACTGTCCTACCTCTCATCTCGCTCTACTCCCCTCCATGCACTCCTACCTCTCCCCTCTCATCTCGCTCCACTCCCCTCGACGCACTCTCCTACCTCTCCCCTCTCATCTCACTCCACTTGTGCTGAAAGAACTATAGCACCAATACTACGTGTATTCAATTTCTATTATTCAATATGTCCACTCGTTAATTCACCACCCCCACTGTGTCCCTGTGTCCCCACTGTGTCCTGTCTCCCCACTGTGTCCCTGTGTACCCACTGTTTCACCATGTCTTTATGTCCCCGTGTCCCCACCTTGGTCCCCGTGTCCCGACCGCGTCCCCGCCGCATCGTCCGCAGGCGAACGAGACGTTTGCGTTCCTGGGGAACGTGACGCGCTACGCCCAGTTGTGGCTCAACGCCTCGCAGAAGATCCGCGCGGTGCTGCACGGGGGCCAGCTCCACGACCACATGGGCTGGGGGCGCCAGGTGAGAACCCCTAATACCGTACCCCTAACACACACAAACACAGCCCTGTAGCCAGGAGAGTTCCTAACTCGCACAACAACAACAACAGACATTTGCCACGAAGTGGCAGTAATGTCACCATGGCTAGGTGCACTCTAAGGTCATGTGGAGTGTCGAATGATCGCTGGCAGGAGGTCACCGAACAGACCCAAGTGCCATGGGTTGACTGACTGAGATGACTGGCAGAAGCACCATCAGTGCTCCCGACTTTGCCAACGCGCCGCGTTTTTGCCGCCCAACGCTCCGCTCGCTGTTGTGAGCTTCGCTCCCCTGCCCTCCGCTAACATTGGAGGGCGACTGCCTCAAATTGCCCAGTAGCGTCTTTCACGAGCCCCCCTCCACTACAGAGGCCGATCTTGAAACCGCCGGTACCCCGTCATCGGCAAGCCTCTAACAACAGGCCATCGCGTCGCTATTCCCGGTGTGAGCGCGTTTTGGTTGTTCCCGCGTGCCACTGCGCCGCAGCTGGTGGAGGAGTTGTCGCGTCACCCGGAGCTGCTGAACCTGTCGGGCAGCCACCTCCGACAGGGCCTCTTGGATGGCGCCACGCAGCCCCTGCCCAATGCCTCCGTCGTGCTCAAGCAGCTGGACGTCATTGATAACGCGGCCTGCGGGTGGGCCCGCTTCATGTCCAAGGTGAACGACGGTGGCTATGGTTGTGATGTTAAGTTAACACGTAGGCTTTCGCGACCAATATTATTCAGACGACGCACTTATATTAACGCGATATAACCAAACAACTTTACTATGAATAATTGTGATGTTCATGATGGTGATTTGTCTGAAATGGTTATGGGGATGACTGGTCGATAATGCATGTACCGTACGTAGCTAACCATGCTGATTGGAGGTGATAATCACGTTGGTAATGGTGATGAATTTGAACTTGATAATGATGGTGCTGATGATGATTGATTGTCCTGTGTCTCTGCCTCATTAATGCAATTGAGAATGATGAAAATATTGTCAATTTTGGTATTTAAGTTGTTGATAATGGTAATGTGATCCCAGGTCCGTGTGGACTTATTCCACGGATGATGATGACTTGTCTACGGTGATGATATTGATGATGACATTGATTTATCTCCGGTCATGATTGATTTGGGAATTCAATGATTGCCAGCCGTGAAGAACTTCCATTCACTCCTGAAACTCAAGTTCCTTTCCCGCACCTCCGATTAGCACGTTTGGTTACGTACGCTGCGAAAGAAGTTCAACAGACATACATGCATATAGCATGTGACGCACAGATACCAATACTCGCTGGTTGTATTGCGACCCTGCGTAACCATGCTCGCAACTATCTATACTGTTCAACATCGGTACCATCGCAGGACGCCCAGTTAAAATAGAGCCTAATAGCTCATGGGGCCCTGCTTGCTGAAATACACAATATACAATCAAAATTTTGACGGTGGTGATTTTGTCTATCGTTAAGATGATAGGGGTGCCACGGTGGCGAGATGTTAACTACCTCGACTGGTGTGCAGGAGGTCGTGGTTACGATCCCGACCCCAACCCTGACGTCTGTATGTTTGGCATTTGCGTATCTCTCTCTCTCCCTCTCCCCGTGGTTGCGTGGATTTTTTTCTCCGGTTCCTCCGGTTCTTTCCTCCATATTTTGAAAACATGGCTGCTATAAACGTCCACATGATGATAAGCCATTTTGTTGAGCTATTATCTGTGACCAGGTCGCTTCTGGAAAATAGCTACATATAGTTCAATCTTGATTTGAAGCTTTCGTGACTGCAGGAATCCATACTCTTCGGTTCTTTCGGTAAAGTCTCGTAGGTAGAAATAAAATAAAATAAAACAAATCACGACGTTTCGACCGCTTGTGTTGCGTTCGAAACGTCGTGATTTGTTTTATTTTATTTTATTTCTAACTACGTGACTTTACCGAAAGAACCAATGAGTATAGCTGTATATAGCTCAGTGGGCCTTCCTCATTGTTGGTAGTGCTGGCTATGGTGCGAAAGAAGTTCAACGTACTCTACACTACGACACGCTACACTACTACACTATACACGGCACTATTCTACACTATGCAACAATTACCTGGTAAAATAAAAATAGTTTAGTTTTCATATTGATGATGACGACAATGACGATGTTGTCGTTGCGTTGTGTCTCTGCCTCATTAATGCAATTGAGAATGATGAAAATATTGTCAATTTTGGTATTTAAGTTGTTGATAATGGTAATGTGATCCCAGGTCCGTGTGGACCTATTCCACGGATGATGATGACTTGTCTACGGTGATGATATTGACGATGACATTGATTTATCTCCGGTCATGATTGATTTGGGAATTCAATGATTGCCAGCCGTGAAGAACTTCCATTCACTCCTGAAACTCAAGTTCCTTTCCCGCACCTCCGATTAGCACGTTTGGTTACGTACGCTGCGAAAGAAGTTCAACAGACATACATGCATATAGCATGTGACGCACAGATACCAATACTCGCTGGTTGTATTGCGACCCTGCGTAACCATGCTCGCAACTATCTATACTGTTCAACATCGGTACCATCGCAGGACGCCCAGTTAAAATAGAGCCTAATAGCTCATGGGGCCCTGCTTGCTGAAATACACAATATACAATCAAAATTTTGACGGTGGTGATTTTGTCTATCGTTAAGATGATAGGGGTGCCACGGTGGCGAGATGTTAACTACCTCGACTGGTGTGCAGGAGGTCGTGGTTTCGATCCCGACCCCAACCCTGACGTCTGTATGTTTGGCATTTGCGTATCTCTCTCTCTCCCCCTCCCCGTGGTTGCGTGGATTTTTTTCTCCGGTTCCTCCGGTTCTTTCCTCCATATTTTGAAAACATGGCTGCTATAAACGTCCACATGATGATAAGCCATTTTGTTGAGCTATTATCTGTGACCAGGTCGCTTCTGGAAAATAGCTACATATAGTTCAATCTTGATTTGAAGCTTTCGTGACTGCAGGAATCCATACTCTTTGGTTCTTTCGGTAAAGTCTCGTAGGTAGAAATAAAATAAAATAAAACAAATCACGACGTTTCGACCGCTTGTGTTGCGATCAAAACGTCGTGATTTGTTTTATTTTATTTTATTTCTAACTACGTGACTTTACCGAAAGAACCAATGAGTATAGCTGTATATAGCTCAGTGGGCCTTCCTCATTGTTGGTAGTGCTGGCTATGGTGCGAAAGAAGTTCAACGTACTCTACACTACGACACGCTACACTACTACACTATACACGGCACTATTCTACACTATGCAACAATTACCTGGTAAAATAATAATAGTTTAGTTTTCATATTGATGATGACGACAATGACGATGTTGTCGTTGCGTTCGCTGCAGGTGAGCGTCGATGTATTCCGCGGGTTCCCCACGGAGGACGCCATCGTGAACTACACGCTCAACCGCGCCTACCACGAGAACGTCACCGTCTTTGCCAGTGAGCTCCCGAACCTCCTCGCCCTCCGCGGCCCCTCGCTGTAGAATGCGGACGAAAACGTGTTGCAGGTCCCAGGGGAGAACGTATACACGCACTCAATACCGTCACCAACCGTGCTATTCAGAGGTTTGTACAACGTACAAACCTTTGATCAGCACGGTTGGCTATGTGCGGTGCGAAAGAAGTTCAACGTATATACAATACGTACGTACAAACTCCGCACCAAAAGGCGCCCGAGTTGGGAATCAAACCCGGGGGGACCCTTCTTTCCCTGAGGCATGAGCGTCACTACTGCGCCACCACCACCACCTATGCTATTGTCGTCATCGTTGTTGTCGATGTCGTTGTTGTTCTTGTCACCTTTGTTGTTGTGGTTGTTGTCGTCGTCATCGTTGTTGATGTCCATGTCCCCCCCCCCCCACCAGGTGTCATTTTCCAAACAGACCGGCACGGCGCTCTGCCGCCGCACGTCATCTACAAGATCCGTCAAAACTCGAGCTTCACGGAGAAGACCAATGAGATCCGGCGCGCCTACTGGAGGCCCGGACCCAACTCCGGTGGGCAGTACTACTTCTTCTATGGCTTCGTGTGGATCCAAGGTGAGAGAGAGGTGGGGCAGCAGCATAAGCGGTGTATGTACTTGCGTATGCACGTTTAATTTATTTCGCACCACCGTACGTAGCCAACCGTGCTCATCGGAGGTGCAGTGTTGAGTCTATGGGCAGTACATATGTATGTATACTCTTTGGTTCTTTCGGTAAGTCACGTGGGTAGAAAAATAATAGATCACGACGTTTTGATCGCTACACAAAGTAATCGTCATCAGGTGGGACAACCACAGCAAGAAACAACTGCTGAAGTAGGCCTACTTCCGCAAGAGACAACTGATAGATTCCTGCAGTCACGAAAGCTTCAAATCAAGATATGTATGTATGTTGATCTTCATCTGCACCGTAGCTGGCACTACCAACAATTAGGAAGGCCCACTGAGCTATATAGCTCTTTTTCAGAAGCGACCTGGCCACACATGATAGCTCAACGAAGTGGCTTATCATGTGGAAATTTATAGCAGCAAAAATATGTAAATGCATGTTGATTCTAAATGTGGAGGGAAAAACCGGAGGACCTGGAGAAAAATCTACGCGACCATGGGGAGAGACATGCAAATTTCAAATGTACAGGCGTCAGGGTTGGGATCCACCCACGACCTCCTACATACCAAGCGAGCTAGTTAAAATCTCGCCAAGGTAGTGAACATTTCCTGCTCACGTTAGTTTTTAACGGAGACCCTTTGTGCCGTTGTGTGCGCGCTGGCAGACATGATCGAGCGAGCGATCATCAACACGTTCGTCGGGCACGACGTGGTGGAGCCCGGCAACTACGTGCAGCTCTTCCCCTACCCCTGCTACACGCGTGATGAGTGAGTGCTCCTGCTCCCAGCTGGTTACTGTGAGGGTTGTGAGTGCTCCTGCTCCCAGCCGGCTACCGTGAGGGTTGTGAGTGCTTCTGCTCCCAGCTGTGAGTGCTCCTGCTCCCAGCGTGGTTGAGTCTGTTCTCCGTATCGGTTTGTGTTTGTAGCCGTGAACGCGTAGCCGCCTGGCATCGGCAGTGATGCCGTTCCCCTCACTCTCTCTCTCTCCCTCTCTCACGTGCAACTGCGCCACAGTTTCCTGTTCGTCATCGAGCACATGATGCCGCTGTGCATGGTCATCTCCTGGGTTTACTCCGTGGCAATGATGATCCAGCACATCGTGGCCGAGAAGGAGCATCGTCTGAAAGAGGTAAGGGTTTGAGCACCGGCGGGAATGCTGCGGGTGACTCCGGCATGCCGCCGGGGAGTGGACGGGAGTGGAGGCACACAGCCGTTGCCCTACTCGGTGGGCAAAGTGGACGATCATCCCCTGAGTAGGCTTGTGGGGATCAGTGGCAACAATGATGATGATGTTGATGATGCTGATTCCAGGTCCCCGTCGCCAGGCGATGATGGGGCTGAGTAACGCGGTGCTGACGATGGTGACGACGATTATGATCTACATACGTTGAACTTCTTTCGCGCCGTGCGTAGCCAACTGTGCTCATCGGAGGTGCGGGGGAAGGACAACAAACTAACGCACAAAAAACACTGTCACAGTGATGGTGACGATGATGCCAGATCCCTGAAGCAAGGTCATTTAAGATGGTGGGGCTGAGTAACGCGGTGATGCTGACGACGATGACGATGCTGATGACGATGACGATTGTTTTGATGATGACGATGACGATGATTGCCACGATGCCGGTTTTCCCATCTCCAGGTGATGAAGATGATGGGTCTGAGTAATGCGGTGCACTGGGTGGCGTGGTTCATCACGGGCTTCCTGCAGCTCTCCATCACCGTGGCAGTGCTCACCGTCATCCTCAAGTATGGCCAGGTGCTCATGCACAGCGACATCTTCATCATCTGGCTCTTCCTCACCATCTACGCCCTGGCCACCGTCATGTTCTGGTGAGTGGCAGTAACCAGCAGTAGCGCCAGCGGCGGCAGCGGGCAAACACGGTCATCGGCGACGTTGCAGAAAATAGAAATAACTAAATTTAATTAATAGAAATTCATAATAAAGATTTTTACCTTAATATGAACGTGTCGTTAACCCACCACCACCCGACACAGCCCATCAGCGAGCTTTGTCACGTAAACAAAACGTGCCAATTAGTTACTACTTCAGCACACCGGTGTGTTGGAGATTGAACCCTCAACATTTACTATTTGAGTCCTTTTGACGATTCGCTGGTAGTTACAACAAAACCAGTTTCATCAGGCGATGAAGCTGAAGCACTGCGCAGCCGCTGCACGGTAGTCGCTCCGCGCTCTCGTAGAGAGAAAGAGAGAATGGGCGACTCGAGAGAGAGAACGGGCGACTCAAGAGAGAGAACGGGCGACTCGGGAGAGAGAATGGGCGACTCGAGAGAGAGAATGGGCGACTCGAGAGAGAGAATGGGCGACTCGAGAGAGAGAATGGGCGACTCGAGAGAGAGAATGGGCGACTCGAGAGAGAGAACGGACGACTCGAGAGAGAGAACGGGCGACTCGGGAGAGAGAATGGGCGACTCGAGAGAGAGAATGGGCGACTCGAGAGAGAGAATGGGCGACTCGAGAGAGAGAATGGGCGACTCGAGAGAGAGAATGGGCGACTCGAGAGAGAGAACGGGCGACTCGAGAGAGAGAATGGGCGACTCGAGAGAGAGAATGGGCGACTCGAGAGAGAGACTGGACGATTTGGAGGTGCCAGCAGGACGAGCCACAGACGAGGAGCGAGAAGACAGCCGTTGCACGATGAACCCAGCACCAACAATTGCCCAAGTTCTGCAGTTCTCTGTACATGAAGGTGTTATCGGCCAATTTATGAGCATTTACTTGTGAATTAAGCAGACAGTCTGTTGTCCCCACATATTTATCTCTCAACGTAAAAAAAAACGGTTTTACACATCCCAATTCAAGGTTTTGGCACACAGGGTCTCGCTTGCAGAGTCGGGTTTGCTGACTATATTGGTTCAACGCAAGCAAAAGCTCTGGACCGGTTTCGACATTCGTTGTTTCATCGACAGAATCGGGCTTTCTGGCAATATTGGTTCAACACAAGCAAAATCCCTGGACCGGTTTCAAATGAGTGCCTTGCCAGCCTTCACAGGTGCTACTCGCTGACAGCACCTGCCCCAAAAGTCTCTTGAGGCTATACGGGGGATCTTCGTCTTGTGTGTATACTCAGCTTCCTGGTGAGCGTGCTGTACTCGAAGGCGCGCATGGCAGCAGCGTGCGGGGGCATCATGTACTTCCTGAGCTACGTGCCGTACATGTACGTCGCGATCCGTGAGGAGGTGGCGCACGACAAGATCACGGCCTTCGAGAAGTGCATCGCCGTGAGTCTCACTGGGGCGGCGGCTCCTGGTGTGGTCCACACGCACGGCCACACCACACACACGCTCAGACCCCTGCGGCCAGACTACACATGCACAGAGTCCATGCAGCCACACCACACACGCACCCCACGTGACCACACCACACACGCACAGACCCCACGTGACCAAACCACACATGCACAGACCCCACGCTGCCACACCACACACTCGCACATGGCCAGAAGACATCACACACACAGCCAGACCTCACACACACACGCGGCCAGACTACACACACACTCGCACATGGACAGACTCCTCTTGCCTCCTCTCTCCTTCTGCCACACCACTTGCATGCACCATGTAATGATGACGGTGATGCAACATCCAAACTGTGAATTTCTCTCTCTCTTTCTCTCTCCCTCCTGCTCAGTCGCTCATGTCCACCACGGCGTTTGGCCTGGGAGCGAAGTACTTTGCACTGTACGAGGTGGCGGGCGTGGGCATCCAGTGGCACACCTTCCGCCAGTCGCCCGTCGAGGGAGACGACTTCAACCTCTCGCTCGCCCTGCTCATGCTGCTGCTGGACAGCGTGGTATACGGCGTGCTCACCTGGTACATCGAGGCCGTGCACCCAGGTACGTGCGTACGCGCGCGAATGGGTAGCGGCGGTGCAGCAGTTAGCGCTCGCTGCGCTGTGACACCGTGTGTGTGTTTGTGACCCTGTGTGTGTGACCCCTGTGTGTGTGTTACTCCTGTGTGTGGGGTCGCGGTAGTGTATTGGTTAGCGCTCGCTGCACTGTGACACCGTGTGTGTGTTTGTGACCCTGTGTGTGTGACCCCTGTTTGTGTGTTACTCCTGTGTGTGGGGGGAGCGGTAGTGTATTGGTTAGCGCTCGCTGCGCTTCGAACCCGCTGACTAGTTAGATTCTCTCTCACCACGACCAACAGTGGTGACGATATTCTGAATAGGTCCTGAGCGCCTCCTAGGTCGACTCAGCCTTAAATGAGTACCTGGCACGGTGTGTAAATGCCGCCACTAGGGAGACAAAGGTGGCCTGGTGTGGTGCTGGCCACCCACCTCTCAGTGTGTCGTACCGGCCTTCATAGGTGCTATTCGCTAATGGCACTTGCCCCTACAGTCTGTTAAGGCTACACTGGGAAACTTTGTCTTTGCCTTTAGGCACGTACGGGCTGCCCCGGCCCTGGTACTTCCCCCTGCAGCGCTCCTACTGGCTGGGCAGCGGCCGCGCCGACGCCTGGGAGTGGAGCGGCTGGCCGTGGGGACGCGGCGGTGGCGGCGGCGTCGCCGGTGGCGCCGCGGGGCTAAGCATCACCGAGGACGACCAGGCGTGCGCCATGGAGAACCGCCACCGCGGTGAGACCCGTGCCTGGCTGCGCGACTCTCGGCAGCGTGCGACTTGCGGCCGTGCGCGCGACCCCCGGCTGCGCTCGTGACTCCTGGCTGTGTGCCGCAGACGAGGCGCGTGGGATGGAGAAGGAGCCCACGCACCTGCCCCTCGTGGTGTGCATCGAGCGCCTCACCAAGGTCTACAAGACGGGAAAGAAGCTGGCGCTCAACAACCTGTCGCTCAACCTCTACGAGAACCAGATCGTCTCCTTCCTGGGCCACAACGGCGCCGGCAAGACCACCACCATGTACGACACGCGCACAAAGACGGAGACGCTTCGTTTCGCCTTAACAGACCGTTGGGGCAAGCGCTGTTCGCGAGTAGCACCCATTGAAGGCCGGCACGGCACACGAGAGGATGGGTGGGGCCAGCACGACGCCAAGGTCGCGTTAGTATTCTCAGTGGCGATATTTTACTAGACGCCGCACCAGGTGCTTATTTTAGGTTGAGTCTACCTAGGGGAGGCCCAGGACCAGTTCGGATAATAGTCACTGGTGCTGGTGGCCGTGAGCAGCAATCGAACTCGGGTCGCCGGGTTTGTCGCTCAGCATCCTAACCGCGACACCACCGCTCGCACACACGCACGCACACACGCAATGTCTTCACCTTTGCTGCGCCCGTCCCAGGTCCATCCTGACGGGGCTTTTTCCGCCCACGTCGGGCTCGGCGCGGATCTACGGCCACGACATCCGCTCGGAGATGGACGCCATCCGCAAGAGCCTGGGCATGTGCCCCCAGCACAACGTGCTGTTCGACCAGCTCACCGTGGAGGAGCACCTGTGGTTCTACTCGCGCCTCAAGGGCATGCAGGCCCATGACATCCGCATCGAGACCGACAAGCGAGTGTCCCACTCTCCCCACCCCCCTCCTGGCCTCGCTCCGCACGCACACGCACGCACGTGTACCCGCAGGCGCGTACCCGCAGGCGCGTGCACGTGTACCCGCAGGCGCGTGCACGTGTACCCGCAGGCACGTGCACACGCATGCACACGCATGCACGCGCGCCCGTAAGTGCACACGCAAGCGTGCACCCGCACATGCACGCACGCGCACATGTGCATGCGCGCTCACAGAGAAAACGACGCCTCCTGTTGAGATGGGACGGCACAGACACACGGAGTGGTGATGATGATGGGAGCAGATGATGTTTCCCTACAAATCTACAACGGCTCAGTGGTGGGTATATGTTTATATAAGACAAAGACATCCCCCCCCCCATCACTGTAATAGCCTTTAACACGTTGTTGGGACAAGTGCTGTTTGCAAGTAGCGCCTATAAATCTTCCTTGGTTCTTTCAGTAAAGTCATGTAGAATGAGAATAAAATAATAAATTGATAAAATAAAATAACACAATAATATTCTCACGACGTTTCGGCCACAACACAAGCAGCCTTCATCAGGTGAAGGGACGAGACTGTCTGGAGGACAGCGCTATAAAGGCCGGTACGGACCACAAAGGGGTGGGTGGCCAACACCACTCCCAGCCGGCTCGCCGCCTTTGGTCTCCCCAGTGCCGATGTTCGGACAATTCACCCTGTGATAATTTAAAGCCAAATCGACCTTGGGGAAATCCCAGGACCGGTTCAAATATTCAAATGTGTGAACTGCAACGATGATGATTTTCTCCCCCCCCCCCCCCAACTCCTCCACCTCCTAGGATGATCGAGGACCTGGAGCTGAGCAACAAGCGGCACAGCAAGGCGCTGTCGCTGTCAGGAGGGATGAAGCGCAAGCTGTCGGTCGCCATCGCCTTCGTGGGCGGCTCGCGCGCCGTCATTCTGGACGAGCCCACGGCCGGCGTGGACCCGTACGCACGCCGCGCCATCTGGGACCTCATCCTCAAGTACAAGCAGGGTGAGGTGCCCGCGATCGGCGAACAGAGGAGGAGGCTGGTAGGCCTTAACCCGCTCCCAAAGCATGTCCGTGGCGGACGCAGCGGCGGTGAGGAAGGGGGCGGGGGGAGGCCTTACGCCGGTGGGACAGGTGGCTCGGCCTATTTGCTACGGGGCTCACGTTCGGCAGTGGTAGGAGCTGCGCACATTGGTTGGCAGGGCAGCATCTCGCACGATCTAACCCTTTCCCATTCCGATGACGTATGTGTACGTCGTCAGTTTTTCTTCCGGTTCCGTTGCGGTGACGTACACAACATCAGCTCCGAGATTCGGGGGTGAACGGGATCCCCCCCCCCCCACCCTGCAACTTGCAGACGTCTCGGAACGGGAAAGGAGTGAACACGGTGCGTGTCCTGATGGCACTGGGCCCTGAGTGTGCGTTCCATTGAACTTTTCTTAGTAAGTATGTACGTTGAACCTCTTTTGGCAGTGTACGTAGCCAGCCGTGCTAATCGGAGGTTCCTTATGGTGTGTGGGGGGGGGGGTGGTTTGCCGTCTCCGGTGAAGGCCGCACGATCCTGCTGTCCACGCACCACATGGACGAGGCGGATCTGCTGGGGGACCGCATCGCCATCATCTCCCACGGGCGGCTCAAGTGCTTCGGCTCGCCGCTCTTCCTCAAGAGCACCTTCGGCGACGGGTACCACCTCACGCTCGTCAAGCAGCAGAGCGGCGGTGAGAGGGGGCGGAGGAGAGGGGGCGAGGGGCGGTGGGGGTGAGAGTGGGGTTGAGGGGTGAGCGGAGGGGTTGAGGGGTGGCGGAGGGGGGAGAGGCGTTCAGGTTCCTTTTGGAGGGGGTGGGGGAGGCCCAGGTGGCAGGGTGGCAGCAGTGGTAACGCTCTTGCCTCACATGGCCTCGAGTCATGATTCGGGTGCCTTTCTGCGTGGAGTTTGATTTGTAGATTAAAAACGAGTTTCTTTAGAACTGATTTTTGTGTTTAGCTTGTTGTCCTTCCTCCGGTTAGCATGGTTTTCTACGTACGGTGCGATTAGAAGTTCATCCGTATGTTCCCCTCCCCCTGGTTTGCAGAGTGAGTGAATGTACGTGGGTGTTGTGCCTTTGGCTCGTCACGTGAACCTCATCTGGGAGGCGGGGGGGGGGCCTACTCAGCACAACCAGCAGCAGCAGTCTCTGAAGTGTTGCCATTGAACCACATGTGGCTCATGACTAAAACGATGGTGATGATGACAATGAAGATTCATGATTACGATGATGATGACGACGATGAGGCACGATGATGACAAGGATGACGACGATTGACGATGACAAGGATGACGATGACAATTGCGGTGGTGGTGATGATGACGACGATGATATCTGTTGCCAGCGGAGCCGCAAGGCTGCACCACCGACGCCACCGCCGCCACCTCGTCGGCCTCTTCGTCCTCCTCCCCGTCGTCGTCGTCGCGCGGGAAGGGTGGCGGAAGCTCCCCGGTGGCGGGGGGTGCCGGTGGCGGCGGTGGCGGCGGCGGCGGGGGGGGCGAGAGCCCATGCCGGGAGTCGCGGGTCACGCGTTTCATCTGCCGCGTGGTTCCCGCCGCGACCCTGCTCTCCGACTCGAGCACCGAGCTGTCGTACGTGCTGCCCGCCGATGCCGTGCGCAAGGGCTGCTTCCAGAAGCTTTTCCAGGTGGGTGAGCGGCGACGGCGACGCCGCCGTTATTGTCGCCGCTGCCACGATTCCGATCGTTCACGCGGGGAAATAAATGAAAAATAAATGAATTACTAGGTAAGGCCAACTGAGATCATCATCATCATCATTCACAGCGGGCTTTGGTTGGTCTAGCGGTAGCCGGCTTGGAGCAGGAGCACTCGCTTGTAGCTCGTGTAGCAGGGGTAGGCAAAGAGCTGCGCGTCGTTGCCGGGCTCCACCACGTCGTGCCCGACGAACGTGTTGATGATCGCTCACTCGATCATGTCTGCCAGCGCGCACACAACGGCACAAAGGGTCTCCGTTAAAAACTAACGTGAGCAGGAAATGTTCATGATCTTGGCGAGATGTTAACTCCCTCGCCTGGTGTGCAGGAGGTCGTGGATTTGATCCTGATCCTGATGCCTGCCTGTATATTTGGAGTTTGCGTGTGTCTCTCTCTCTTTCCGTGGTTTTTTCCCTCCACATTTATAATCAACGTCATGGCTGCAATAAATTTACACACGACGATGATGATGATGATAATGTGGTAAGCCACTTTGTTGAGCTGTTTGAGGCACAAGACGAGCGGTACCACTGCGCCGCCGCTGCCACCACCCTGCCATCTCTGCTCTCTTGATGCAACATATGCTTGGCGTTGTCTGTGTGTGATCCCTTATTGGGGGAGCGGTGGCGCCGTGGTTCGCGCGATGCACTACGAAACCCAGCGACTGGAGTTTGATTCCCGTTCATGACCAATAACGATGATATGTTTTAACCGCTCCTGGGCCTCTCCTAGGTCAACTCGGCCTTACATAGGTACCTTGTGTGGCGTGTAAATGTCATCTCTGTGGGAGACCAAGGGGGCCGGGCGTGGTGGTGGCCAGCCTTCATAGCTTGCTACGTGCTAAGAGCACTTGCCCCACAACGTTCTGTTGAAAAAGCTATATGGGGGATCTTCGTCTTTGTTTCTTATTAGGCCCTGGAGGAGAATTTGATTGACTTGGAACTGAGCAGCTTTGGTCTGAGCGACACCACGCTGGAGGAGGTGTTCCTGAAGGTGTCGGAAGAGGACCTTTCCCAGGAGGCGATGGATGGTGAGATCTCCGACCACACACACACACCACCACTACCGTTCCCACTGCTGCCCACTGCCATCATCACCATCACTGCTGCAGACGAGGAAGTTGTACCTTGGCCCTGCCAGCAGAAGGCGGTACAGCAACAACGTGGACACCATCTGTTCCGTCTGTACGGGGATAGAGTGTTTCCCCCTCGCATGTGTAGGTTTTCTCCGGGTGCTCTAGTTTCCTCCCACATGTGAGTGCTTATTAATTGGCCGATAATACCATAAAACTATTTAAACTATATAAACTAAATTTATTTTACTAGGTTAGGCCCCACTGAGCTATATAGCTCTTTTTCAGAAGCGACCTGGCCACAAATGATAGCTCAATGAAGTGTCTTATCACGTGGACATATATAGCCGATAAATACTCTCAACACGTGATGTTGATTCTAAATCTGTAGGGGTAAAACCGGAGGACCTGGATAAAAATCCACATGACCACGGGGAGAGAAAGTGACACACAAACTCCAAATATACAGCTGGCGTCAGGGTCGGGATAGAACCCACGATCTCTTGCGTACCAGGCGAGGTAATTTACATCTCGCCACCGTGCCGCCCCACTGTCACCGCCACTACCACTAAAGACGAAGATCCCCCGTACAGCCTTAACAGACTGTTGGGTCACGGCGGTATTAGCGAGCGTCACCACCATCATCGCCAGCCTTAGTGCGATGCTGCCGCGTGCGGGGCCGAGGCGCTCGGCGTTTTGTGCGAGGCACCGCTCTCGTCCCTCGGCCGCTGTCTCAGAAGAGGACGCGAGGAGCGGCGGCGGCGACGACTCCGCTGCCGCCACCGCCGGCAAAACCGGTGCTCGCTCCGCACGCTCGCCGGGCCGTGGCGCCCGCGGAGCTCGTCCTGCGGCGGGGAACGACGAGGACGACGACGAGGAGGACGACGAGGGAGGGACGAGCGGCACGTCGCCCGGGTCGTCGTCGTCGGTGGGCTCGGTGCGCGGGGACGAGTTTAGCGCCTACACCGACGTGTCTGGCGAGTATGGCCCGCTGTTCGCCCGCGCCGAACATGACGATGACGACACCGCCAGCCTGCACGGTGAGAGGGCCCCGGCTATTGTGGGGGGAGGGGGGGTGGTCGGCACGTGGGTGTGCCACAGTGACGAGATGTTTACTACCTCGCCTGGTATACAGGAGGTCGTGAGTTCGATCCCGACCTGGTCGCTGGATTTTTCTCCGGGTCTTCCGGTTTTTCCCCTCCACGTGATGATAAGCCCATTTCGTTCAGCTATCATTTGTGTTGGTCTCTTCTGCAAAAAGAGCTACATAGCTGAGTGGTGCCTTACCTGGTCAAGTAAAAATTGTTTAGTTTTATAGTTTAGTTTTTATTATATGTACATCACTGTACATCTAATATATGGGGGAGTGGTCGTGTAGCGGTTAGGGCGTGCTCCCGCTATGACGACCCGAGTTTGATTCCCGGGTTTCCGGGCCTCCTCCCCTAGGTTGATTCGGCATCAAATGAGTACCTGGTGCAGTATGTGAACATCACCGCTCGGAAAACAAAGGTGGCCGGGCGTGGTGATGACCACCCACCTCCTCTTGTGCTGTGCCGGCCTTAATAGGTGCTACTCGCTACCAGCACTTGCCCCAACAGTCTGCTAAAGCTGAATGTGAGAGCTTTGTTTTCTCTTCGTTATGGGGTGTTGAGCAGCAGTCGCACACAGCGCACCGTTGTACCGGAGCCTCGTCCGGACCTCTCGTAGGTCAGCTCAAAGTCAACAGTCTGTTAAAAGCTCCACAGGGATTGGGGAGGTGGGGGGGTACACTCTGCATTCGTACATCTAATATTTCACGTGTAGCCACCTAATTGTGTTGTGTAATTGCGCTTACCGTGTCCGTGCGCCGCCGCTGTCGATCCAGAGCCGGAGCCGCGTGCCACGCCATCTCCGGAGCTCGACGGTCAGGGCAGCTACTCGCTGGACGAGTCGTGGCTGCGCCTGCGGCAGTTCCACGGCCTGCTGGTCAAGCGGCTGCACCACGCCAAGCGCAATACCAAGGGGCTCTTCTCCCAGATCCTGCTGCCCGCGTTCTTCGTCTGCGTCGCCATGACGGTGGCGCTGTCCGTGCCCGAGATCAGTGCGTGGCCTCAACCCCCCCCACCACCCACTCGCCTCAACCTCCCCAATGCTAGCCTCCCCTTAGTACCTGATGTGACGTATAAACATCGGCACTGGGGAGACGAAGGCAGCCGGGCGTGGTGGTATGACCACCCCCTTGTGTGCCGTGCCAGCCTTCATCGGTGCTTCTCGCTAGCAGCACTCACCCCAAGAGTCTGTTAAGGCTACAAGTGGAGATGGGTGGCCAGATGTTAACTACCTCACCTGGTACACAGGAGGTCATGCGTTTGATCCTGATCCTGACGCCTGTATAGTTGGAGTTTGTGTGTCTCTTTTTCCGTGTTCATGTGGATTATTCTTCGGGTCCTCTGATTTTTCCCTCCACATTTAGAATTAACATCACGCTGATGATGATAAGCCGCTTCGTTGAGCTATCATTTGTGGCCAGGTCGCTTCTGAGAAAGAGCTACACAGCTCGGTTATGGGCCTATAATAGTTTATAGTTTAATCTTGAACTCATCCATGCGCCGTCTCCGCCCGTGTGACCCCAGGCGACCTCCCCCCGCTGGTGCTGACGCCGTCGCAGTACCACAACTACACGCAGCCACGGGGCAACTTTGTGCCCTTCGCCAACGAGGAGCGCAAGGAGTACCGGTGAGGGGGGTGGGGTGGGCATGAGGGGAGGGGGGGGTGGTCTCAGTGGGGGGAAGACTCTGAGAGGGAGAGACAGAGGGGACGACTCGGGGCCATCAGGAGGAGGAACCACTAGACGAGTGGAGGCAGTAGCAGCAGCAGCCACTCGGCGCTGAGCCGGCAACAGTTGCCCAAGCTCTGCGGTCCTCTGTACACGGCGCTGTTATCGTCACACGTGCTGAGGTGTGGTTAGTGATCGTGCTTGTCCATCACTGCTACCAAATACCGTGCGTCGCGGGGGTCAGAATCGATCTTTCGTCACGGAGCCGAGTGCATCCATCGTCAGAGATGGAATTCGGCAAAATTAAGCGTGGAAAATAATTTAATTTGAGGTGTTTATATATTTTTTTGTTTTTTTGTGTAGCCGTTGCTAACCAGGCTGAGTTTATCAACTCCCACTGCGCTTGAGAATCCGATCTAACCACAGCTTGGTCTGCGTGAGTCCATGGCATCTGCTGTGTGATACTACAGGTTCCTATGTAAGACTGTGAGTCTGTGGAACATGCATGCGAGCCCGTGAGGTCTCTGTTCCGTGAGACCACCACACTTGAGAAACGCGGCTTTGATCGCGGTGGTCGAGCGGCTAAAGTCCGGATTGTAACCCAGGATATATCAGGGTGCCGGCTCGGCACTCTGACCCTCTGAGCCCAGCATGCGACCCTTTACGCAGCTCCCTCTTTAACTAAAATCTTGTTTTCCTCTCACGCCACCGCTGCCCAGCCTGGCTCGCTCCCCCGACGCCCGCCCCCAGCAGCTGGTGTCCACCTTCCGCCTGCCCTCGGGGCTGGGCGCCACATGCGTCCTCAAAAGCCCCGCCGGCCCCGCGGCGCCGGCGGCGACGGCGGCGTCCGGCGCCAACGGCAGCAGCGCGGAGGCGGCGGAGGTGGCGGCGGTTCAGACGGCGAACCTGAGCGAGGCGGCACGCTCGCTGGCGGCGCGCCGCTTCGAGTCCATGTGCCTCGACTCGTTCACGCAGGGCGTGCCGCTCTCCAACTTCGTGCCGCTGCCGGTGGCCGAGCCCAGCGCCGGTCCGTCGCTTCCTCCGTCGCCGCCGCCGCCGGTGCCGTTTGGCGGGACCGCCGCGGCTGCCGCGGCTCCCGCGGCAACCGCGGCGGTGACCGATCGGGGGGGCGGAACGAGCGGTGTTGGACCTACCGGCACTACCGGCACCTCCTCTTCCTCGTCCGGTGAGAGCGATGGGGACGGTTGCGGCCAGGGACGTTTATCGCTCACGGGAGATTTTCAAGGTCGCTGGTAGAAGATTGTAAGGTGGCACGCGACTAGGAGCGCGGTCATTATGAACCCCGCGAGAGAGACACACACGCCCGTGTCGAGGGCTTGGACCCAGGAACTCGGTGAGCCCAGTTCTGGGCTCGGTGTTTCGGACACGGCCGTTGTGAACGAGGCACACTTGCCCCAACAGTCTGTTAAGGCTACACGGGGGATCTTTGTCTTTGTGGTGGTGTGGCCGCGTGCCGTTCGCCCCGCCGCAGGCTCGGTGCACGAGGCGGTGCGCTGCGTGTGCGCCCCGCACGGCACCGGCTTCTACTGCCCGGCCGGCGCCGGCGGACACCCGCCCAGCACCACCGTGGTGACGGGAGACATTCTGCAGGACGTGACCGGGCGCAACGTGTCCGAGTACCTGCTGTTCACCTCCAACCAGTACCGCTTGCACAGGTGCTCCAGGAAGTCTCTGACGGGGCGTCTAGACAGTCACAGATAGGTCTATGATGGGGGTGTAAAGACAGTCACAGACAGGTCTATGATGGGGTGTCTAGACAGTCACAGACAGACAGGTCTATGATGGGGGTGTAAAGACAGTCACAGACTGACAGGTCTATGATAGGGGTGTAAAGACAGTCACAGACAGGTCTATGATGGGGTGTCTAGACAGTCACAGACAGACAGGTCTATGATGGGGGTGTCTAGACAGTCACAGACAGACAGGTCTATGATGGGGGTGTCTAGACAGTCACAGACAGACAGGTCTATGATGGGGGTGTCTAGACAGTCACAGATAGACAGGTCTATGATGGGGTGTCTAGACAGTCACAGACAGACGGGTCTATGATGGGATGTCTAGACAGTCACAGACAGACAGGTCTATGATGGGGGTGTCTAGACAGTCACAGATAGACAGGTCTATGATGGGGTGTCTAGACAGTCACAGACAGACAGGTCTATGATGGGGGTGTCTAGACAGTCACAGACAGACAGGTCTATGATGCAATGCTGAGACGTACAGGGCAGTCTCTGGTGGAGCCTTCGAGACGGTCAGGAATCGACCATTGGCAGCTGCAGTTGGCTGCACTGATTATTGGTGTCTCGTCAGGTATGGCGCCATTACCTTCGGTAACATCCGCAAGTCCATCCCACACTCCTTCGTCAACAAGGCCCCCGCCTCGATCCGCAAGATTGCCGTGCGACGGGCAGCACAGGTTCGCATTTCTGCTGCAGCAACATCACACTTGAAACATTATTTAATACAATTTTTTTTATTTTACTGGGTAAGTCCCCCCCACTGAGCTACAAAGCTCTATTCTTTCAGAAGCGACCTGGCTATCACAAATGATAGCTCAACGAAGTCGCTTGTCATCATATGCAAACTTATATCAACCAAACACTCTAAACGCACGTAGATTTTAAGTGTGGAGGGAAAAGTCGGAGGACCCGGAGAAAAATCCACGCGACCACGGGGAGAGAGACACCGCAAACTCCAAATATACAGCAGGCGTCAGAGTGGGGATCAAACCCATGACCTCCTGCATACCGGACGAGGGAGTTAACATCTTGCCATCATGGCGCCCGAATCAGCAACACGAGTAAATAAGAAATGCCGTTTGCGACTGCGATCACCGTACGTTTCTCTTTGGCTGTGGCCTCCGCCGGTGACCGTGTAGGTCTACTACAACCACAAGGGCTACCACAGCATGCCCACCTACTTGAACGTCATCAACAACGCCATCCTGCGCGCCAACCTGCCCAAGAGCAAGGGAAACCCTGCCGCTTACGGTGACCATTTTAACTCCCGTCCAGCCTAGGGTCGAAAGTCGTGACATGAATTGCGTCCGTCCATCTGTCCATAACGATGATTCTCGTAGAGATGTGTGTACGTGTGTGTGTTCAACTTTTTTCGCACCACTGTCCGTAGCCAACTGTGCTAATCGGAGATGATCTGCAATGAGGTCACTGATCGGTGGCTCGTGCGGTTTCCCCGTTGCAGGAATAACGCTCATCAACCACCCCATGAACAAGACCAGCGCGAGCCTCTCCCTGGACTACCTGTGAGTCACACTGCCCTCCCTGCAGGATAACAGAGTTGTAGGGGTGCCACGATGGCGAGATGCTATCTCCCTCTCCTGGTATGCAGGAGGTCGTGGGTTCAATCCAGTCGACCCTCACGCCTGCTGTATATTTGGAGTTTGCGTGTCTCTCCCCGTGGTCGCGTGGATTTTTCTTCGGGTTCTCCTGTTTTTTTTCTCTCCACGTTTAGAATCGATGTCACGCGTTTCGAGTATTTGGGTGCTATCAATTTTCACACGATAAGCCGCTTCATCGAGCTCTCGTTTGTGGCCAGGTCGCTTCTGAAAAGAGCAGTATAGCACTGTGGGCCTTACCTGGCAAAATACGAAGTAAATAAATTAACGGGCGTGGCTTGGGCTGGAGAAGAGATGGTTGATACAGGAGGATGTGAAGCTGGTTTTACTTGCCGATGATTAGTACCAGCTGTTTCAAGAACGGCCTCCGTGGAGGAGGTTTGTGAAGGGCGCCACCAGGCAATGTGAGACGAGGCGTACTTTGACGTTACTGGGCAGTCGGAGGCAGCCACCCTCCAACAACAACGAGGGCAGGGGAGGGACGCTCGCAACAACGAGCGGAGCGCCGGGTGGGAGTGGGGAGCACACGTGCTGTGGCAAACGGCGGCTGTTGTCGTTGTCGCTGCTGCTGTCGAGTCAGGCTGCAGGGCACGGACGTGGTGATCGCCATCTTCATCATCGTGGCCATGTCGTTCGTGCCGGCCAGCTTCGTGGTCTTCCTGGTGGCTGAGAAGTCCACGAAGGCCAAGCACCTGCAGTTCGTCAGCGGCTGCGACCCAGTCATCTACTGGCTTGCCAACTACGTGTGGGACATGGTCAGTGGCGTCTCGCATGCGGTGCGAAATCTCGCAGTGACTCGCTCGCTGATTGACTGACTGACCGACTGATTGGCCGACCAACTCGCTGCCTGACTAAATTACTGGTTCGCTGATTGACTTGACTGACTGACCGACACACTTATTGCCTGACTAAGGTACCAACTCGCTGATTGACTGACCGGCTGACTGACTGATCAATTAACTTATTGCCTGACTAACGTACCAACTCGCTGATTGACTGACCGGCTGACTGACTGATCAATGAACTTATTGCCTGGCTAACTTACCGAATCGCCGATCGACCAAGCAAGCGTGTGGTCGTGTGCCGCTTGTGCTGCAGCTGAACTACCTGGTGCCCGCCACGTTCTGCATCATCATCCTGTTTGTGTTCGATCTGCCGGCCTACACCTCGCCCACCAACTTCCCAGCCGTGCTCGCCCTCTTCCTGCTCTACGGGTGAGGAAGCACGATGCTACTCCCCCCACTCCCCCCACTTCCCCCACCCCGGCCGTCTCCACACAGGCACAAGACACGGCATGGCACGCACCATGGGACACGGAACGACGTACGCCCATATCACGGCGCCGGGGAGAAACTAAAAAAGTGATTTAAACAATTTTTGTATTTTACCAAATAAGGCCCACTGAGCTATTTAGATATTTTTCAGGAGCGATCTGGCCACAAATGATAGGTCAACGAAGTGGCTCATCGTCATCATCACGTGGACATTTATAGCAGCCAAATGCTTTAAGCGCATGTTTCTAAACGTGGAGGGGAAAACCAGAGGACCCAGCGAAAAAATCCATGTGACCACAGGAAGAGAGACATGCAAAATACAAATATACAGGCATCGGTGTCGGGATCGAACCCATGTACTCCTGTATACCAGGCGAGGTAGTTAACATCTACAGACAAAGGCAGCCAGGAGTGCTGCTGACCACACCACCCGCTCACGCGCCATGCCGGCCTCCATAGGCGCTCACTAACAGCACCTGCCCCAACAGCTTTGAAGGCTAGACGGGGCGATGTTTGTCTTCATATGTGCGCGTGTGTGTATACGTACCTGGTGCGACCTGTAAGTATCAGCGCTAGGGATACAAAGGCAGCTGGGCGTGGTGCTGGCCGCTACTCCCTCGTCTGCTGTGCTGCCCTTCACGGATTCTCTTTAACAGCACTTGCCCTGACGGTCTGTCAAGGCTACATGGGAGATCTTTGTGTGCGTGCACACAGCTGGTCCATCACCCCCATCATGTATCCGGCGTCGTTCTGGTTCGAGGTTCCCAGCACGGCCTATGTCTTCCTCATCGTCATCAACCTCTTCATCGGCATCACGGCCACCGTCGCCACCTTCATGCTGCAGCTCTTCGAGCACGACAAGGTGAGGGCGCCGCTGCCCCCCGCCGTTTCTCCCTCGCCTCTGCTGCGCCTACTGTCCAAGGCTCGCATACCCCAGCCATCCACGCCATCCATCCCTGCCCTTGTTGAAGCCCAGGATTGACAGTCATCCTCTTCTGCTCTGCTGTAGAGAGAGACAAGAAGGGAGAGGCAAGAGAGTGTTTGGAGGGGTGTAGAGTGAGATGAGAGGGGAGAGGTTGGAGAGTGCGTGGAGGAGAGTAGGGTGAGATGAGAGGGGAGAGATGTACTGCCTTCTCCTGGCAGAACATGGGTACAGCTCTTCCTCAACGCCTACCCACGGGAAGGGCTTCATTTGTGCGGTGATCCACCAACCCTCGCTGCTGCCTCCACGGTGCGGCATTCCAGGCCACGCCATGCTCAGCATTGTAGCCACCACCGCCTGTGTTCTGATGAACGGTCTCAAGTGTGCTGTTGCTGTTGTTGTTTTGTTGTGAGCAGGATGGGGAGCGGGTGTGTAGCGGAGAGCACGCTGCGCTACGAACCCGGCGTCCCGAGTTTGATTCCCGCTCATGGCCAACACCAGTGACGATTATTTGAACCGGTCCTGGCCCAACTCCTAGGTCGACTCAGCCTCAAATGTGTACCTGGCGCTGTGTGTAAACATCGCCGCTGGGGAGACAAAGATGGCCGGGCATTGGGTTGGCCACCCACCCCCTTGTGTGCCGTGTGCCAGCCTTCATAGATGCTGCTCGCTTTACAGCGCTTGACCCAAACAGTCCGTCACTGGCTACACGGGGGAAATCTTTGTCTTTTTGTTGTGAGCAGGACCTGAAGGCCGTGAACGAATACCTCAAGACCATCTTCCTCATCTTCCCCAACTACAACCTGGGCCACGGACTCATGGACCTGGCCTACAACGAGTACATCAACGAGTACTACATCAAGATCGGTGCGTGTGCCACCATTGGCGCCCCACGGGGGTTCAACAATGGCCGTGGCCGGAGACGAGAAACCCCCCCACCAACGCTCAAACCGATATTTCACCAGTGCTGGCACGGCGACAACGGCCATTGTGAACCACTGATCGATACACCCAGACCCATGTCTTGAACCCAAGAATCTCAGAGGTGTTGGCTCAGCGTCTCTGACCTGGCCATTATGCCCCCATCCCCTGTGAGAGAGAGAGAGGGAGAAAAAGCCAGACCCAGGGCTCGAACCCAGATTTTCATTGGTGCCGGCTCAATGTCTCTGACCCCTGTGTGTGTGTGTGCGCGACCCCTGTGTGTGTGCGTGCTCTCAGGTCAGGCCGACAAGGCCAAGTCCCCTTTCAAGTGGGACATCATCACCCGCAGCCTCGTCGCCATGGCGGTGGAGGGGGTCGTGGGCTTCTTCATCACCGTCATGTGCCAGTACAACTTCCTGCGCAAGCCCAGGTGAGGAGTCCATCACGCACGTTACCCGGGCAACGGGGCTGCATGTTACCCCAGGTAACCTGGGTCGTGAAGCCCGCATGCCCAGCCACCGCATGCCCAAGCGGATTTTGTTCGGCCGGACAGAATTTAGAAACATGCCTTTAGAGTATTTGGCTGCTGCTATAAATTTCCACGTGGTGGTGATAAGCAGCTTCGTTGAGTGATCATTTGTGGCCAGGTCGCTTCTGAAAAAAGCTACACAGCTCAGTGGGCCTTACGATTATTTGAACCGGTCTTGGACCTCCCTTAGGTCGGCTCTGCCTCAAATTAGTACCCGGTGCGACGTGTAAACATTGCCACTGGGGAGACGAAGGCGGCCCGGGGCGTGGCGCCGACCCCCCGCCCCCTTCTCGTGCGGCACACCGGATTTCATAAGGGCTGCAACTCCTCGCTGACGGCACTCGCACCAACGGTCCGTTGTCTTTGCAGGCGCGTGCCTGTGAGCAGCCAGCCCGTGGAGCGGGAGGACGTGGACGTCTCCGCGGAGAGGAGGCGCGTGCTGAGGGGCGACGCCGACTGCGACGTCCTCAAGGTGGACAACCTCACCAAGGTAGCTCCTCCTCAACGCGTCCCCCCCTCTCCGTGCGCAGCCTCCGGCCTCTCGCCTCGTGTGCCCCCCCACCCCGCCCCCCCCCCCTGACTGGCAGACCACAGAGCGCCGGCTTCGTCTGTCATGGCGTCTTGCCCCTAGTGAGCGGTGGTGGGACCGGTGGTTGGTTTGTGAAAACGTATTTCTTTAGGACTGCTTGTTGTTGTTGTTTATTAGTTTATTGTCCTTACCCCGCACCTCCGATTTTAGCACGGTTGGCTCCGTACGGTGCGAAAGAAGTTCTACATACATATACACACACACGTCCTGTCCATAGACTAACAGCCCGTAGGCTAACACTGTCCACAGACTAAACCCTGCACCTCTGATTAGCACGGTTGGCTACGTACGGTGTGAAAGAAGTTCAACATACCCACATACGTACGGTACCCCTGCCACGGTACCCCTGCCATTAAAGGAGCGACCCCTTCCAAGGAGAGGGGCGTCCTCGGGTGATGTAAGGAGGCGCTATCGAGATGCTCGGTGTTCATGCGGCGACTTTTTGTAAAATTATCGTCGTCGTCGTTGTTATGAATGCCGTGGACTACCGTCCAGGTGTACCACTCGCGCAAGATGGGCCGCATCCTGGCCGTGGACCGGCTATGCGTGGGCGTGCGGCCCGGAGAGTGCTTCGGCCTCCTGGGAGTGAACGGCGCCGGCAAAACGACCACGTTCAAGATGCTGACAGGAGATGCCAGCGTCACGGGGGGGGAGGCCTTCCTCAACGGCCACAGGTGGGGACCCTCCTCCACCGCATCGCCACGCCACACGATTAGATGTCTTCGTGAACCACCAACCCCATCACAGCGGAAGGTAGGGGAGGCCTTCCTCAACGGCCACAGATGGGGACCCTCCTCCACCGCACCGCCACGCCACACGATTAGATGTCTTCGTGAACCACCAACCCCATCACAGCGGAAGGTAGGGGAGGCCTTCCTCAACGGCCACAGGTGGGCCTCTCCTCCTCACTGTCGCCTCCTCCTCCCCACTGCCTCCACCGCACCACCTCGCCCCACGATCAGATCTCTCCGTGAGCCATCAACTTCGTCACAGCAGGAAGTAGGTTAGGAGGCCTTCTTCAATGGCCCTAGGTAGGCTCCTACTCCTCACTGCTTCCACCGCACTGATGGTAATGCAGCTACTGCTCTGTTTGCAACGATGAGCATCGGCTGATGATCATAACGATTTTGCCACTGCTGCTGTTGCTGATGATGAAGATACTGCTTGTTAACATTGCTGCTGCTGATAATGCTGCTGCTGCTGCTGTGCCCTATGTTCCCAGCGTGCTGCGCGACCAGCATAAGGTGCAGCAGACAATCGGCTATTGCCCGCAGTTCGACGCGCTCTTCGACGAGCTGACGGCACGCGAGCACCTTGAGCTGTACACGCGCCTGCGCGGCATCCCCTGGAGGGACGAGAAGAGGGTGAGACTGCGGCATCGTCGTCGTTATTGTCAACGTCGTTATCGTCGCTATCGTCAGCGTCATCATTGTCGTCGTCGTCGTCAACGTCACCACCATTGTCGTCAATGTCACCACCGTCATCGTCGTCGTCAAAGTCACCGAGATACGACGGATGTTTGAACTGTGTCGACCATCATCAGGACAAGATCCTGAAACAAATATAAAATATAAAAATGTGCCGCACCTCCGATTAGCACAGTTGCCTACGTACGGTGCCATGGAGGTGCTACATACATGCAAACACAAACGCGAGAGCACCACGTGGAAATTTTATTTGTTAGGCTGTGCTGGCTGGTGCAAGGCTTTGACACGAATTTTAGCCAGATCGTTAGGTAGTGGCCTAACCAAATAAACGATCGTAAATCAAATCCCCGTTTGTATTGTATCAACAAATGTATAGAGACCCGGCTATGCTGGGTGATGTGGGAGGCGCTATTGGAGGGGACGCTATGATCAGAGTCTATCAACAGAAGTTACGCGTAGCGTTTGTTGCAAAAATCTACTGTGTGGGTGAGACGATGTGCCGTGCTGGCCTTCAGAGGTGCTACTCGCTAACAGAACTTTCCCCAACAGTGTTAAGGCTCTACGGGTGATCTTGTCTGTGTGTGTGTGTGTGCAGGTAGTGTAGCAGTTAGCGCGCCACGTGACAAACCCAGTGACCAGTGTTCGATTCCTGCTAGCAGTCAACATCAGTGACGATTATTTGAACTAGTCCTGTGCCTCCCTAGGTTGACTTTGCCTCATGAGTATCTGGTGCGGTGTGTAAACATCGCCGGGCGGGGTGCTGGCCACCCACTCCCGTGCCGGCCTTCATAGGTGCTCGCTAACAGCACTTTCCCCAAAAGTTTGTGAAGGCTACACGGCGGATCTTTGTGTGTGTGTGAGTGTGCAGGTAGTGAACTGGGCCCTGCAGAAGCTGGGCTTGACGAGCTACGCGGACAAACCGGCCGGCACCTACAGCGGAGGCAACAAGCGGAAGCTGTCTACCGCCATCGCGCTCATCGGATACCCGCCCCTCATCTTCCTGGTGCCACAGCACTGCCGCCACCACCGCCACGGCCACAGCCAATGTTACCACGACTACCACCACTACCACCACCACCACCATCATCATGACTGCCCTCTTCAACAGCATCGACAGCATTAACCTGGCTCACACCCAGGATCTCAGCTGTGTCGGCTCAGTGGGCCACCTCGGTCGAATCCGATTTTAAAAGGAAATAAATTAATAAAACAAGCACCGTTGTGGCGAGATGTTAACTACCTGGCTGAGTACGCAGGAGGTCGTGGGTTCAATCCCCACCATGACCCCCGCTGTAGATTTGGAGTTTGCGTATCTATCTCCCCGTGGTCGCGTGGAATTTTATCCGGGTCCTCCGTTTTTTCCCCCCCACATGTAGAATCAACTTCATGCGTTCAGTGTATTTGGCTGCTATAAATTTCCACACGATGATGGTAAGCCAGTTTAACACGTAGGCTTACTAGTTTAACACGTAGGCTTACTACGTGTTAAACTAGTTGGCTGTGTCGGGTGGTGGTGGGTTTAACGACACATATATTTACGCGATCTAACTCTATGGATTATAAGCCATTTTAGTGGAGCTATCATTTGTGGCCAGGTCGCTTCTGAAAAAGAGCTACCTTAGCTGGTAAAATAAAAAAAATAGTAAAACAGTAGAAAGTGCTATCAGGTCCACTGACAGCTTCTGAAAACGATGACCTCTTTGCGGACGCAAACCACGAGACACCCGAGGGGAGCGACCCCCTCCCGGCTGAGATGCTCGCGAGACGATCTCCCGTGCCGTCTCGTGGCAGGATGAGCCGACGACGGGCATGGACCCGAAGGCACGGCGCTTCCTGTGGAACCTCATCCTGGACATCATCAAGACGGGGCGCTCCGTGGTGCTCACCTCCCACAGGTGCTCACCCTACCCCCCTGCCCTGTCTCTGTCTTGCGCACAGCGAAATCGCTCCCTCATATTTGCTCGCCCGCTCACTCACTCGCCCACTCACCGTCTCTGCACAGCGCTGACGTCAAATCTCCAGCTGAATCACTCGTTCACTCACCCTTTCACTCGCCCACTCACTCGCTCACTCATTTGCTCGCTCGCTGGCTCATTCGCCCACTCACTGTCTCCGTACAGCGCTGTCCTCAAATCCCCAGCTGAATCACTCGCTCACCCATTGGCTCGCTCGCTCACCCACTCGCTTGATCGCTCCCGTCTCTCCCCTGCCACCCCCTCTCCACGCAGCATGGAGGAGTGCGAGGCCCTCTGCACCAGGCTGGCCATCATGGTGAACGGTCACTTCAAGTGTCTGGGCAGTATCCAGCACCTGAAGAACAGGTGGGCAGCCCACCAAACCCCCCTCCCGGTTTTAACCAGGACACTCCACGGCGGCGGACGATGATGACGGCGATGACGACGATGATGGCGATGATGTTGTTGCGTGCCGTGTCTCCACCCCCCACGATGCAGGTTCGGCGACGGCTACATGATCACGATCCGCACGCGCTCCACGCTGCTTGTCAAGGAGGTGCTGCGATTCTTCAGTCGCAGCTTCCCCGACGCCGTGCTCAAGGTGACGGCGACTCATCGAGTAGAGCCGTAGACTCGCACGGAGACCCAATTGTTGGTAGCACCGGGTCCTCACTGGGTGGCGGCTGCTGCCTTCCCATGGCTCGGCTGATTTCCAACATCTGCTCATATTTCCATGCGTGTGCGGTATGTGTGCGGTGTGATACCTGCGCGTGTGCGGTGTGTGTGTGACACCCGTGCGTGTGCGGTGTGTGTGTGTGTGTGACACCCGCGTGTGTGCGGTGTGTGCGATACCCACGCGGGGTGCGTGCAGGAGAGGCACCACACCAAGGTGCAGTACCAGCTCAAGTCAGAGACTCTGTCGCTCGCCGCGGTCTTCACCAAGATGGAGCAGGTGCTGGACGTACTGGGCGTGGAGGACTACTCCGTCAGCCAGACCACGCTCGACAACGTGAGTGCGTGTGTGTGTGTCGCTCTCTGGGGGGGAGTTCACGACGGCCGTGTCAGAGACACTGAGGCCGTTTCGCTGAGATCCTGACAAAAGTCAGCGGAGGGCGGGGGAACTTGGAATGTCACTGTGTGGTACGGCTACGGCGCCGAAGCGGTCACTACGCCGGCGCGGTCACGGTGCCATCACGGTGCGGTCACGGTGCGGTCACGGTGCGGTCACGGTGCGGTCACGGTGCGGTGCGGTCACGGTGCCGGTACGGTTGCGACCCGCAGGTGTTCGTGAACTTCGCCAAGAAGCAGAGCGACAATCTCGAGCAGCAGGAGAGCGGCTCGGGCCCCGTCGCGCCGGGCCGCGGCGCCGCAGGCTGCCTACCCTGCTGCCCCCCCTGCTGCCCCCCGTGCTGCCCACCATTGTCGCCGGCCTGCCCGCCGCCGGCTCCGGCCTGGCTGTGCCGCGGTGCTGCCCGCTCAGCGGAGCTGCAGGCGCTCATCCGGGAAGCGCCACGGCGGCGGCGCGGCGATGACGAGGAGGAGGAGGAGGATGAAAGGGCCGGGCCGTGCGCCGGCGATGACGAGCAGCTGGTCAGCGGCGACGAGGACGGCCTCGTGAGCTTCGAGGAGGACAGGGTGAGCTGCTTATTATAATTATTATTACTATTTTACCAACGCTTTCCCGCTGAGGTTGACAGCCTTAATGAATTCTGAATCTTTTTGTAGACTGTAGGAGGAATTTGGACGTCCAGTAATGGGCGAGTTGGCAAGTTACAACAACCGTGTTCATCCCATTGGTTCTGTTCGTTCGTTTGTCCGTCCGTCCCCTGCGTAGCATGGGGGGTCGCGGTATCTCCCGTAGACTTGATCCAATTTGAGTGAGACTCGAGTGTAAAGTGGTGCTGTGCTGTTAGCGACTCACCCTGGAGAAAACCGGACTCGCTGCCCACAAGGGGTTATTAATAATGCCCAAAAGTTGGAGACTCAAACCAGAGCTCATTATATCATGGGACCTCCTTTGCCAGTAACAAAATATGGGAATAGGTTTTTCCCCTTTTTTCTGGCAACAAAGAGTATTTTTTTTTGCATTCTGACCACAAGTATTGTGGTTAATGCAGACATGATTCCTTGTAAAAGGTGTTTTTTTGTTGCCAGAAAAAATGGGAAAAAACTCATTATATTAACATTCGCAAAAAATATGCAAATGCATGTTGCCCTGATAACTACCTGCCAGCTTCCGTACCACTTGTTAACTAACTAAACTGTTTTAAATTTTACTAAGTGAGGCCCACTGAGCTATGTAGATATTTTTCTGAAGCGACCTGGCCACAAATGATAACTCAACAAAGTGGCTTATCACGTGTTAATTTATAGCGGCAGCCAAATACTCTAAACGTTGATTCTAATTGTGGAGGGAAAAACCAGAGGACCTGGAGAAAAATCTACATGACCACAGGGACCACATGCAAGCTCCAAATATTCAGCAGGCGTTTGGGTCGGGATCGGGCCCTCGACCTCCTGCATACCAGGCGAGGTAGTTAACATCTCCTAGCCACCGTGGCAAGATGTTCTCACCCTGGAGAAAATCGGACACATTTGACCACAAGAGGTTAATGCCCACAAACCAGTGCTCGGGTTAACATTCGCAACAAAAATATGCAAACGACCGTTGCCCTGACCAGCTACTCGCCAGACTCCGTACCGCCAGTTCAACACACAAGCGAGGGACCATCGCACGTCGGGGGCCTCAAGAGGGACCCCCACGGTTTTACTTCCCTCCTCATTCTCCCGCTGGCTTCCACCCCCCAAACCCCCCTCCGTCTCGCCGCAGGCTCAGCTCGCGTTCAACACGGACACCATCTGCTGAGGCCGACAGCCTCCGCAGCTCCCTCGCTGCCCTCCCTCGCCCGTCTCTTCTCCTCCCCCGGCGGTGTGGAGTCCGCGGGGGAGGAGCGCCGGCACGTCCGTGCGACGAAGGTCGAATGCGCGAGCACCTGGAATCTCGCGTCACGCCGCTGGTGGAAAGGAGCGGTGCCTCGCCCCTCGACTGCCGGAGGAGGGGAGCGCTCGGGAGGCGGACCCCCCGCCCCCCCCCCCCCACCCCACTTCCCTGGCTCGCCAGGAGAATTGTGGTAACGGCAGAAATGTGGCTGAATCTCCATGTGTTCCATCTCTGACGGGTGTGTTCCCCCACCCCTCGCACGCACGGGGTTTGTGTGGGTTTTTTTGTCCGACCGCTCCCGTTTCCTCCCATGTGTATAAACTCTCATTAATTGACCGAAACCACCTTCGTGCGTAGAGGATGGCAGAGCCTTGGCAATCGTCGGTAGTGCCGGCTCGGCACCGCGGCCGCTTTCCGCCTTTCCCGCTCCTCGTCTGCGTTGACTCCTCCCGGCCGGCATGCAGGCAGTACCCACGCTTTACCCCACCGTACACGACCTACCGCTTGACTATCCGCGAAGCCTCCGCTTTTGCTGCTGGGTGGTCCGAGGCAGTTGGGAGGGTACGGTACGGGGGGTTTAAGAAATGTGCGCCGTTGTTGTCTGCTGCCGGCGCTTGGGAGATTTAATCGAAGCGGTCACCTCTGAAATTCCGACTGCACTGCGCTGACCGGTACCCGTCCGTGTATCCAGGCGAGCGGCCACTGGGGTGTTGTGTGTGTCCAGTCACCCGCAACGCGTGCAGGCATGGCTGAGTGATGACCCCAACGCGTTCAGGCGTGACTGAGAGATGACCCCAACGCATTCGTGCGATGGGCGGCAGCGCTGCTCAATTCTTTGCACGCATTTGGTGGGATAGGCTCGTACGTGGGCCGTAAGCCGTGAGCTTGCAAGGCGCTCCGTGTGGTGCATGCCGTTTGACCGGCTGTGTCCCCGACCCAGAGTAATGCAACGTGTCCTCAAAATACCGGAGTAATTTAGTGGGGTGGGTGGAGGTGGGTTGCCCCCTTTATATCAATTTTTGTTCCCCTACAAACTCGCATTATTTCCTTTTAAGACCAAATTCTGCCTCATTTTACAGCTCGTACTATTCTTTACATTGCTCTGAATGTATACCGTGAAAGCAATCGCTGTGTGTGTGTATATATGTGTATATATATGTGTCGAGCAACACGTAGCACACGTTAAAAATGCGTCGCTAGAAACCCACTGGGAAAATCCCGCGCCAATTCTGGACCATCTGCAGCCATCGCCAAAGCGTCCGCTAGGGAGCTTGGGGCCCTGTCGGCGCGCGGTGGTCATCTTCGCCGGCGCCCGGGGGTCATCCCTGCCGGCACTAGGGGGCCATCCCCGCCGGCGCCCAAAAGCCGCCGGCACCGGGGGTCTTTGCCCCCCCCAGCGCAGCGGCGTGTGGAGGGGACGCGGCCCTTAATGACGAGGGCCAAGCAGCGCTCTGCTGCGCGCCCGTTGCGTTTGTGGGCTTTGGGGGTTTGCGCCTTCTACGCTTGGTTGCAGAGACACGACGCTGTGCGAGGGACGCTGTGCGGGGGACGCTGTGCGGGGGACGCTGTGCGGGGGACGCTGTGCGAGGGACGCGCCGTGGTTTGGCCGGGCGGCGGCAGGGGGATAGACGTTAGGCCGCAAGCGGCGTGCGCCGCACTGTCATCCAGAGATGTGGAGGCAGCGGCAGCGAGGGGTTGGTGGATCACCGCACACAGGTGGCTGTGTGAAACTCCCTTCCCCTTGGGTGTCAAGCCGGAGTTGTAACCTGGCTCTGCCAGGAGATGGCGGTACAGCAACGATGTGCGCTCAACCCCGTTCTGTCTGCATGGGATCGAGTGTTTACCCCCTCACACGCGTGGGTCTTTCTTGCGGGTGCTCTGGTTTCCTCCCACACGTATAAACGCTCCATTAATTGGCCGATAACACCGCATATAAAAGACCGCAGAGCTCGGGCAATTGTTGGCGCTGACTTATTGTGTGGCTGCTGCCTTCCTTCTTGTCTGTGGTTCCGCCTCGCACCTCCGAGTCGTCCTCTCGACGAGAGCGAGCGGATAACCGTGTGACAGTGGCGCATTGCTACGATCTGACGTCATGACTGCGGTATATCCACTCCCCTCATTTCGAGGGCACGCAGTATCACGCTACTAATATATACAGGGCCCACCCCGACCCTGAATTAACCCCCAGTATTTTGAGAGACAGGTGTGTTCTCTTGAGAGTGCCGAGCCCATCCTGGGATGCTGAGTGTTAGCAGCCGATGGGCTGGCCGTGTATCCGGGAAGCCACGTTACCGTGACTGAGCATTCGGAATAACTCTGTTAACGAATGATGTGGAATGACTTGCATGGCTTTGCACTCTGCTGCACGTTGCGTGGAATGCAAGCAAAGGTGGCGGTGACCGTTTGGTGGAGCCCTTTATGTAATAGGACGGTGGCGCTGTACGTGTGGTCTGCGATTAAGTGGCAGACATCAAAAGTGTGGACCGAGGGAAGATGCAATATTTATTATTCCTTGCGGTTGAACGACGACAGAACATTGGTGGATGTCACAAATGTGAAAGAAATCGCTTCCGCGCATTGCCCACCAAACGTGGAGTTGTATGGCAGCGCGTGGAGTCACACGGCATGGGTGAGGTCACAAGGTAGAATCACGTGGCATGGGTGAGGTCACAAGGTAGAATCACGCGGCATGGGTGACGTCACAAGGTAGAATCACGCGGCATGGGTGAGGTCACAAGGTAGAGTCACGCGGCATGGGTGACGTCACAAGGTAGAGTCACGCGGCATGGGTTACGTCACAAGGTAGAGTCACGCGGCATGGGTGAGGTCACAAGGTAGAGTCACGCGGCATGGGTGACGTCACAAGGTAGAGTCACGCGGCATGGGTGACGTCACAAGGTAGAGTCACGCGGCATGGGTGAGGTCACTGTTGGCACGAAGACGCTTCACGTTGTGGTAGGCGATGTGAACAACCCCTTGTGCATTTATAAAAAAAAACTGCGTCGTGAGTTCAAGAATCGATCGTCTTCGTGCAGCATGGTGTACAGCAAGCGGTTAATGGTGGAGTAACAGCTTGTGTCAGGCCTGCTAACTCAACAACAATAACAACCCACTCCACAATACAATAGACCTCGACAGCCTTCCTTGCTGGGGTGGGTGGGGGGGAGCATGTGGAGGTGAATCGTGTGACTAGCCGGGTGACTAGCCGTGTGACTAGCCGGGTGACTAGCGGTGTGACTAGCCGTGTGACTAGCCAGGTGACTAGCCGTGTGGCTAGCCGTGTGGCTAGCCGTGTGACGAGCCGTGTGACGAGCCGTGTGACTAGCCGTGTGACGAGCCGTGTCACGAGCCGTGTCACGAGCCTTGTGACGAGCCGTGTGACTAGCCTTGTGACGAGCCGTGTGACTAGCCGTGTGACGAGCCTTGTGACGAGCCGTGTGACGAGCCTTGTGACTAGCCGTGTCACGAGCCGTGTCACGAGCCTTGTGACGAGCCGTGTGACGAGCCGTGTGACTAGCCGTGTGACGAGCCGTGTGACGAGCCTTGTGACTAGCCTTGTGACGAGCCGTGTGACGAGCCTTGTGACTAGCCTTGTGACGAGCCGTGTGACTAGCCTTGTGACGAGCCGTGTGACGAGCCGTGTCACGAGCCTTGTGACGAGCCGTGTGACGAGCCTTGTGACTAGCCGTGTCACGAGCCGTGTCACGAGCCTTGTGACGAGCCGTGTGACGAGCCGTGTGACTAGCCGTGTGACGAGCCGTGTGACGAGCCTTGTGACCAGCCTTGTGACTAGCCGTGTGACGAGCCGTGTGACGAGCCTTGTGACGAGCCTTGTGACTAGCCGTGTCACGAGCCGTGTCACGAGCCTTGTGACGAGCCGTGTGACGAGCCTTGTGACTAGCCTTGTGACTAGCCGTGTGACGAGCCGTATGACGAGCCTTGTGACGAGCCGTGTGACTAGCTTGATGGCGGTGCTGCACGAGGCTGCCTAATCCAGCACGGTGGAGTACGGCAGCGGCAGCAGCAGCAGCAGCGAGGGTTGGTGAATTACAGGCCACGTATACGTGGCCTCGAGCCACCACCTCCGCCCCGATATTGAGGAGTCGTCGTCCAGCTCTCTCGACATGCGAGCAACGGTGGGCACGGAGACCGATCCTTACGCTCGCCACCGCGCCTCTGGCAGTGTAGGGGGAAAAAATCACTCCAGCGGCTCTGCTGCTGTGCTGCAAGGCTGCAGCTGCTGCTGTACCGCTCGGGGTGGGTAGGGGGGGAGAGATCTCCACGCAGATTGCTATTCCGCCGGTGTCTTTCGGGCATCGATCGATCCATTCATTCATTCGTCCATTGCTTCGCAAGCGATTGTGCGGGCTGGGTGGGGGGGGTCTGTAACATTTGCACTGCCTGCTGCTGTGATTGTGACTAGGGGGTGGGTTTGGGGTGGGGGGGTGCGCTGCCCCCCACCGCCCCCGCCGTGTCCGATCTGGAACGGTTCTCGTCTGTGTCTTGGCGGCCCGATGTGGTTTTTTTCCTAAGGCTGCAACTCGTCGCTTTGGGATGCCGCCGCCGCCGCTGCTGCTGTACCAGTGAAGTCCTTGCGCGTGCACGCGTGCGTGGATTTTATGAATAAAAAAATCAACTCGACTAGGGAATGTCTCTCTCGTCTTTACATTTGTGTGCCTGTTGTTAGACGAGTTTAGCACGGTGGGCTACGTGCGGTGCGAAATAAGTTCATACGTACATACTACCCATCGACTCAACACTGCCCATAGACTCAACACTACCCATCGACTCAACACTGCCCGTAGACTCAATACTGCCCGTAGACTCAACACTACCCATAGACTCAACACTGCCCATCGACTCAACACTGCCCATCGACTCAACACTGCCCATCGACTCAACACTGCCCATCGACTCAACACTGCCCATCGACTCAACACTGCGCATAGACTCAACACTGCCCGTAGACTCAACACTACCCATAGACTCAACACTGCCCATCGACTCAACACTGCCCATCGACTCAACACTGCCCATCGACTCAACACTGCCCATCGACTCAACACTGCCCATCGACTCAACACTGCCCATCGACTCAACACTGCCCATAGACTCAACACTACCCATAGACTCAACACTGCCCATAGACTCAACACTACCCATAGACTCAACACTACCCATAGACTCAACACTGCCCATAGACTCAACACTAACCATCGACTCAACACTGCCCATAGACTCAACACTGCCCATAGACTCAACACTGCCCACAGACTCAACACTGCCCATCGACTCAACACTGCCCATCGACTCAACACTTCCCATCGACTCAACACTGCCCATCGACTCAACACTGCCCATCGACTCAACACTGCCCATCGACTCAACACTGCCCATCGACTCAACACTGCCCATCGACTCAACACTGCCCACAGACTCAATACTGCCCACAGACTCAACACTGCCCATAGACTCAACACTGCCCATAGACTCAACACTGCCCGTAGACTCAACACTACCCATAGACTCAATACTGCCCATAGACTCAACACTACCCATAGACTCAACACTGCCCATAGACTCAACACTACCCATCGACTCAACACTGCCCATAGACTCAACACTGCCCATAGACTCAACACTACCCATAGACTAAACACTACCCATAGAATCAACACTGCCCATAGACTCAACACTACCCATAGACTCAACACTACCCATAGACTCAACACTGCCCATACACTCAACACTGCCCATAGACTAAACACTACCCATAGACTCAGCACTGCCCATAGACTCAACACTGCCCACAGACTCAACACTGCCCATAGACTCAACACTGCCCATAGACTCAACACTGCCCATAGACTCAACACTGCCCATAGACTCAACACTGCCCATAGACTCAACACTGCCCGTAGACTCAACACTACCCATAGACTCAATACTGCCCATAGACTCAACACTACCCATAGACTCAACACTGCCCATAGACTCAACACTGCCCATCGACTCAACACTGCCCATAGACTCAACACTGCCCATAGACTCAACACTACCCATAGACTCAACACTGCCCATACACTCAACACTGCCCATAGACTAAACACTACCCATAGACTCAACACTGCCCACAGACTCAACACTGCCCACAGACTCAACACTGCCCATAGACTCAACACTGCCCATAGACTCAACACTGCCCATAGACTCAACACTGCCCATAGACTCAACACTGCCCATAGACTCAACACTGCACCTCCGATGATCACGGTTGACTGAGTACGGTGCGAAAGAAGTTCAACGTACACACGAAATGGGCTTCAGCACCACCCGGGTGACCCACGGGGATAGACGTTCCGGCTCGCTGCCACCCCGTGCCTTTGATATAACAAGCACCGCGGGTCAGAGAAGCAAAGGCTGACCCGAGGTCACGATCACTCATCGAGGTTTTTGGGGAATTAGATCGCGTAAATATATAAATGTTGTGTCGTTAAACCCGCCACCACCCGACACAGCCAACTAGTAAGGGTTGTCACATAAACAGTACGTGGCCAATTTGTCACTAGTGCAGCACTAACCGGTGTGCTGGAGAGCCAAGCCACAACATTTACAATCCGAGTACGACGTTTCGCCAGTAATTACAACTAGCTTCATCAGGCGACAGCCAGATTTGTGGAGAAGTCCTCCTGTTTCGTTCCTTATATAGAGGCGTAGATGTGGTGACCACGCTTCTGCGCTCTTGAGTCGACGTACATGATGCATGCGCATTATGCGAGCACACCGATCTTTCCTGTCCGTTGTGTGTATTAAAATAGCCGTGCCAACGGTAATCCCTATTGAAGTATGGTGCCCTGTATAGGCATGCATTTAAACAACGTATTAGTTGATGCTTGATTGTGGGGGAGACGTCTAACGGCTGATTCCATTTCAGCAATTATCTCATCGATAGGGATTTGTACATGAGGGCATCAGCAAAGTTAGAGCCTTGAGACAGGACTGAAACAATATCGCTGGATCATTCAACGTTAAGGACTAACGTTGATAACTGTTTTGTTTATAAAATGTTCATTTTTAGTTGAGTTTTGTTAGTCTAGCAAATTTGTTCATTTCAGTAGTGTAAGTTTTGTTAAATATATTATTAGCTGATTGCTGTGTAATTGTGTCGATTATATTTCAGAGACACTGTTACTAATTTTTACGTGTAAGGATATTGGAGCTTTATAAATGTGACTTAGTTCACTTCTATTGCGCTGTATTCTCTCTCTCAGCAACAATTCGCTAGCTTTATGTAGTATTTGATTAGCTTTAAGTGACTTAATGTGATGAGTTACTTTAACTGCGTGGTATTTCCTTTGAATCTCTGCATCTTTTGAGGAGCGCCAGTGACGTTTACGTGACAACCCTTACTGGTTGGCTGTGTCGGGTGGTGGGGGGTTAAACGACACGTATATTTACGCTATCTAACCCCCACAAAAACCTCTTATGGATCATATTGGTCGCGAAAGCCGCCTACCACGTGTTAAACTGCTACCACGTGTTAAACTGCTACCGCAGTCACTCGTGGTGTGAGGGCGGAGAGAAAGGGGGGGTCACGTGACGCACGCGGGCTGCCCGTTTTTGAGTTGACGGTTGTGGAGTCGGGTCACGTGACAAGGGGTCAATTAGAGCCTGGGTCAGAGCAGTGGGCCCGCGTGCTCCGGAGTGGCCATGTACAGTATGCAGGGTTAGAGTGTTAGGGGTTAGCGGTTAGAGTTTAAGGGTTAGCGGTTAGTGGTTAGGGGGTGAGCGTTAGAGGGTTTAGGGTTCAGGGTGCGGGTTAGAAGGTTAGGATCGGGATTAATGGTTCGAGGGTTAGGGATGTGTTGGGGTTAGGGGTTGTCCCAATTACAATCCCTCCCAGGGTCCCACTCACACTCGCTCCGAGGGGTGTATGTTTGTACGTTTTGTACCGTGCGTAGCCCAGGCGTGGTCATCAAGAGGTGTCGGGGTCTCGAGTCATCACGTCGCACCCCCCCCTCTCTCTCACAAAGTCACGACAATGAATCACAAGATCCGTGGCGTGGTGCCCGTGAGGCCGAGTAAGGTTTTTTTTACTGGATCCAGTAGGGGCAGTCAGCGTGCAATGTGGCAAATTACCGTCGCTATCGGCATCGGTACGGTCTCATCGCCACGGAAACGCGAAATCTTTTAGTCTACACTCTTACCACCAGCGGGAACAAGTCACACAGCTAAGTCACTCGCAGCCACGCCGCCGCAGCAGGGACAGGGCAGGGTGTGGGCAGGGTGTGGGCAGGGTGTGGGCAGGGACAGGGCAGGGTGTGGGCAGGGACAGGGCAGGGTGTGGGCAGGGACTGGGCAGGGACTGGGCAGGGTGTGGGCAGGGTGTGGGCAGGGACAGGGCAGGGTGTGGGCAGGGAGTGGGCAGGGACAGGGCAGGGTGTGGGCAGGGACTGGGCAGGGACAGGGCAGGGTGTGGGCAGGGACAGGGCAGGGTGTGGGCAGGGACTGGGCAGGGTGTGGGCAGGGACTGGGCAGGGACAGGGCAGGGTGTGGGCAGGGACAGGGCAGGGTGTGGGCAGGGACTGGGCAGGGACAGGGCAGGGTGTGGGCAGGGACTGGGCAGGGTGTGGGCAGAGATAGGGCAGGGACTGGGCAGGGTGTGGGCAGGGTGTGGGCAGGGACTGGGCAGGGTGTGGGCAGGGTGTGGGCAGGGTGTGGGCAGGGACTGGGCAGGGACAGGGCAGGGTGTGGGCAGGGACTGGGCAGGGTGTGGGCAGAGATAGGGCAGGGACTGGGCAGGGTGTGGGCAGAGATAGGGCAGGGACTGGGCAGGGTGTGGGCAGGGTGTGGGCAGGGACAGGGCAGGGTGTGGGCAGGGTGTGGGCAGGGTGTGGGCAGGGACTGGGCAGGGTGTGGGCAGGGTGTGGGCAGGGACTGGGCAGGGACTGGGCAGGGTGTGGGCAGGGTGTGGGCAGGGACAGGGCAGGGTGTGGGCAGGGACAGGGCAGGGTGTGGGCAGGGACAGGGCAGGGTGTGGGCAGGGTGTGGGCAGGGTGTGGGCAGGGACTGGGCAGGGACAGGGCAGGGTGTGGGCAGGGACTGGGCAGGGTGTGGGCAGGGTGTGGGCTCAGGGCTATGGCTCTGCGTTGTATTGTGCCCTGGGTGTAGGGGGTCAGGGGTTGGAGTTTGTGGAGCTTCTGTCAGGGCTGGGAGTCGGGTCCAGGGGCCGGGTTTGACGTCGAGGCTGGCGTCAGAGCGAGGGTTGACGCTGTCTGGAGGGTCAGGGGGCCCGGACTCGAGGCGTTGGCTAGGAGATGTCAACTCCCTCGCGTGGTATGCAGGAGGTCGTGGGTTCGATCCCGACCCTGACAGCGCCTGTTGTATATTTGGAGTTTGCGTGTCTCTCTCCCTGGGTCCTCCGGTTTCCCCCTACCACTTTGAGAAACACCACACACACATTTAGAGTATTTGGCTGCTGTACATTGACACACGATTAGTCAATTCGTTGTGCTCTCATTTGTGGCCAGGTGTTTTTTGAAAAAGGGCGTTATAGCTCAAGTGGGCCTTACCTGGTAAAATAATAAAGTTTAGTTTTAGTATGGGTCTCTGTGGGTCTCTGTGGGTCTCTCTGGTTCGACACAAAGTCTCTGGATCTCTGTGCGTCTCCGCGAGTACGTAGAGCCATCGCGCATTCAGAGCATGGGGCTCCTTTTCGCAAGGTCGCCTGTGAGCGGTGTCGCTCACAGGCGCGGTCCCTGCCTGGGGACTCTCAACACAAAGTCGAACCCGTTGACGGCTTTTAGACGGCGGTGGCGGCGGTGACACAGACGGCACAGCAGGGCTCGTGCTGCATGCGCCCTGGCTCACCACGAGAAACACGAGGGGGCGACGGGGGACACGAAACACGACGACGATCACGACGATCACCACCACAACGACGACACGAGGCGACTCGCGCGTGCATAGCTCACGGGGGGGGGGGGGGGGGGGGGGGGGGTGAGGGCACGCGGGAGAGACCCCCGGCACCGCCTCGGCGCATGCAGCACGCGCACGTACACACACACGTACACACACACACACGTACACACACACGCGCACACACACACGCACACGTACACACGCACACACGTACACACGCACACACGTACACACACGTACACACACACGTACACACACACACGTACACACACACGTACACACACACACGTACACACACACGCACACACGTACACACACACGTACACACACACGCGCACACACACACGTACACACGTACACACGCACACACGTACACACGCACACACGTACACACGCACACACGTACACACACACGTACACACACACGTACGTACACACACACACACGTACACACGTACACACACACACGCGCACACACACACACACACGTACACACGCGCACACACACACACACAGACACACGCGCACACACACATGCCAACACGCGTACACGCACGTACAGACGCGCGTACACGCACGGGAACGTACACATACATACACACATGCTAACACGCGTACATAGGTACACGCATGTACAGACGCGCGTACACAAATACGCACGCACACGTTGGACACACATGCCAACACACGCGACACACACACGTGTGTACGCACGACACACACACGTGTGTACGCACGACACACACATGCCAACACATGCGACACACACACACGTGTGTACGCACGACACATTCATGCCGACACGCGCGCGCACACATACGCATGCAAAGGTGTACGCAAACACATAACGACAAATATCCCCCGTATAGCCTTTAACACAATTTCGGGGCAAGTGCTGTTAGCGAGCACCTATGAAGGCCAGCACTGCACACGAGGGGGTGGGTGGCCAGCACCACGCCCGGCCGCCTTTGTCTCCCCAGCGGCGATGTTTACACACCGCACCAGGTACTCATTTAAGGCTGAGTCGACCTAGGGGAGGCCCAGGACCGGTTCAGATAATCGTCACCGGTGTTGGACGTCGGGTTCGGAGCGCAGCGTAGCGCTAACTACTACGCCACCGCTCACACACTCGCACAGACGTGGGTACACACACACAGGCGTGTACACACACACACAGGCGTGTACACACACAGACGTGGGTACACACACACACAGGCGTATACACACACACACGTGTGTACACACACAGACGTGTACACACACACAGACGTGGGTACACACACAGGCGTGTGTACACACACACACGTGTGTGTACACACACAGGCGTGTACACACACAGGCGTGTACACACACAGACGTGGGTACACACACAGGCTTGTACACACACAGGCGTGTACACACACACACGTGTGTACACAGACAGACGTATACACACACAGACGTGGGTACACACACACTAACACGTGGGTACACACACACACAGACGTGTACACACATACACACACAGGCGTGGGTACACACAGACTCAGACTTGTACACAGACGTGTCCACACACAGACTTGTACACACACGTGTACACACACACACAGACACACACAGACACAAACGCCCTCGCTCACAGACACACACACACAGACACACACCTCATCGATGAACGAAAGACGGTGATGACCTCTACGATAATGATGGTGGTGATGATGATGATGGTGGTAGTAGTAATGATGATAGCGGTGGTGGTGATGGTGGTGATGGTGGCAGTAGTGATGATGGTGGTGGTGATGATGGTGGTGATGGTGGTAGTAGTAATGATGATGGTGGTGATGGTGGCAGTCGTGATGATGGTGGTTATGAGGATGATGATGGTGGTGATGGTGGTGATGGTGACAGTAGTGATGATGGTGGTAGTAGTGATGATGATGGTGGTGGTGATGAGGATGATGGTGATGATGGTGGTGGTAATGGTGATGGTGACAGTAGTGATGATGGTGGCAGTAGTGATGATGGTGGTGATGAGGGTGATGGTGGTGGTGGTAATGATGATGGTGGTGATGGCAGTAGTGATGATGGTGGTGGTAATGTTGATGATGGTGGTGGTGGTAATGTTGATGATGGTGGTGATGGTGTTAGTAGTGATGATGGTAGCAGTAGTAATGATGACGATGATGGCGGCGAGTACTAAACGCACGCTTTACGCAGCGTCTATAGCGGCGATGATGAATGAAGTCACAACAAAGACGCCGCCGACGACGTCACGATGACGACGTCACAATGACGATAATGACGACGTCACAATGACGATGACGACGTCACAATGACGATGACGGCGACGTCACAATGACTACGACGTCACGATGACGACGCCGACGATGACGACAACGGCTTTATTCTCACAACGTGTGTGTGGCGCGCACGGCTGCCGTGACGATGGCGGTGACGGTGACGACGGCGATGACGGTGACGATGGCGATGACGGTGACGACGGCGATGACGGTGACGACGGCGATGACGGTGACGACGGCGATGACGGTGACGACGGCGATGACGGTGACGACGGCGAGACCTCACTTCCACTCAACAGCGTGCGGTGCCGGGCGGCGCTCGGGATCACGCGGGGGGGTGTCGTGACACGGGGGAAGAGGTCAGGGGGTAGTGACGCGGGGGTCCTGGGGGGTGGTGTGTCTGGGTGTCTGGGTGTGTCGGGGAGGTGGCGGGGGAGGTGGTGGGGGGGGGGCGGTGTGGGTGGGGGCTTCAGCTGTCGGGGGCTCCGGCCCCGCCGAAGGAGACGCGCGACCCCTGGCGGAAGTCCGGGTGGCGGAGATCGGAGAGGAACCTCTGTGGAGTCAGCAGGTGAGTGGAGCCTGCAGGGGCACACGCACGGCGAGGGTCACGGCGAGGGTCACGGCGAGGGTCACGGCGAGGGTCACGGCAAGGGTCACGGCGGTGGTGAGGTCGGTGAAGACGGTGAGAGTGACGGTGAGTGGGGTGAGCGTGACGGTGAGTCTCGGTGAGTGTCGGTGAGTCCCGGCGAGTCGGCGAGTCGGTGAGTCTCGGCGAGTCGGCGAGTCTTTGGTGAGTGTCAGTGAGTGTCGGTGAGTCTTAGGTGAGTGTCGGTGAGTGTCGGTGAGTGTCGGTGAGTCCCGGCGAGTCGTGTCGGCGCGTCTCCCCGCTCACCGACGATGACCTCCCACTTGGTGCCGCCCTGGGACACCTCGAAGGCGCTCCGCGTCTCGCTGAGCCCCACGCCGCCCACAAAGAAGACGATGAGGCGAGGGCCGCTGCGGTACTCAGAGGCACCACGTGACTCGTGCCAGTGGCCGTAGCGCGAGCTGCGTGGACACAACCACGAACACCACCAACCACGAACACTACTACTACCAACCACTACTACCACTACCAACCACTACTACTACCAACCACTACTACTACCAACCACTACTACTACCAACCACTACTACTACCACGAACACCACCACTACCAACCACGAACACTACTACTACCAACCACTACTACCACTACCAACCACTACTACTACCAACCACTACTACTACCAACCACTACTACTACCAACCACTACTACTACCACGAACACCACCACTACCAACCACGAACACTACTACTACCAACCACTACTACTACCAACCACTACTACTACCAACCACTACTACTACCACGAACACCACCACTACTACTACCAACCACTACTACTACCAACCACTACTACTACCAACCACTACTACTACCAACCACTACTACTACCAACCACTACTACTACCACGAACACCACCACTACCAACCACGAACACTACCACTACCAACCACTACTACCACTACCAACCACTACTACTACCACAAACACTACTACTACCAACCACTACTACTACCAACCACTACTACTACCAACCACTACTACTACCAACCACTACTACTACCACGAACACCACCACTACCAACCACGAACACCACCACTACTACTACCAACCACTACTACTACCAACCACTACTACTACCAACCACGAACACCACCACTACTACTACCAACCACTACCAACCACTACTACTACTACCACCACTACTACTACCAACCACTACCAACCACTACCACTACCAACCACTACTACTACCACGAACACCACCACTACCAACCACGAACACCACCACTACTACTACCAACCACTACCAACCACGAACACTACCAACCACTACTACTACTACCAACCACTACCACGACCACTACCAACCACTACCACTACCAACCACGAACACTACCAACCACTACCAACCACTACCACTACCAACCACTACCACTACCAACCACTACTACTACCACTACCAACCACTACCACTACCAACCACTACCACTACCAACCACGACCACTACCAACCACTACCACTACCAACCACGAACACTACCACAACCAACCACTACCACTACCAACCACTACCACTACCAACCACTACCACTACCAACCACTACCACTACCAACCACTACCACTACCAACCACTACTACTACCAACCACTACTACTACCACTACCAACCACTACCACTACCAACCACTACCACTACCAACCACGACCACTACCAACCACTACCACTACCAACCACGAACACTACCACTACCAACCACTACTACTACCACTACTACTACCACTACCAACCACTACTACTACCACTACCAACTACTACCACTACCAACCACGACCACTACCACTACCAACCACTACCAACCACGACCAACCACTACCACTACCAACCACGACCACGACCACTACCAACCACTACCAACCACAACCAACCACTACCACTGCCAACCACGACCACTACCACTACCAACCACGACCACTACCAACCACGACCACTACCACTACCAACCACTACCAACCACGACCACTACCAACCACGAACACTACCACTACCATCCACTACCACTACCATCCACTACTACTACCAACCACTACCACTACCAACCACTACCAACCACTACCACTACCAACCACTACCACTACCAACAACGACCACTACCAACCACGACCACTACCAACCACGACCACTACCAACCACGAACAACCACTACCAACCACGACCACTACCAACCACTACCAACCACTACCACTACCAACCACTACAGACCACGATCAAGCACCACCACTACCAACCACTACCTACCACTACCGACAACGACCAACCACTACAGACCACTACCAACCACGACCAACACGTAATCACAACCATGCAACCAGTCAAGCATTCACGACCACACAGCCATGAGCATTCAACTGCAATGAACAACAACAACCACACACTCACGAAACACATTACAACCACGGTCACAGCCACCACCACACAGACAGTTACAGACTGTTGGGGCAAGTGCTGCTCGTGAGTAGCACCTACGAAGGCCGGCACGGCGCGCTTTCTCTCACAGGTACTCATTTGAGGCCGAGTCGACTTAGGGGAGGCACGGGACCGGTTCAGACAATCGTTACCGGTGTTGGCCATGAGTTGGAATCGAATTCGGGTCACCGGGTTGGTAGCTCAGCGTAACGCTAACCACTACACTACCGCTCCCAACCACCACACGCAACCACAACAACACAACCACAACAACACAACCACAACAACACAACAACACAACCACAACAACACAACCACAGCGAGACAACCACAGCGAGACAACCACAGCGAGACAACCACAACAACAACACAACCACAACAACAACACAACCACAACAACACAACCACAACAACACAACCACAACAACACAACCACAACAACACAACCACAACAACACAACCACAACAACACAACCACACAACCACAACAACACAACCACAACAACACAACCACAACAACACAACAACACAACCACAACAACCACAACAACACAACAACCACAACCACACAACAACACAACCACAACAACCACACAACCATGCCGAACTGGCGGCGATGGCCACGCTGGGGGCGGCGAGGGTGGTGGTCACCTGACGGCCCCGGAGCCGCCCGAGGTCATAGGTCGCGTAGAGATGTAGGGCCACAGCTTCACGTCCAGCTTGTCGTCGATGGCGTCCTGCTCGCTCCGCGCAGGGCGCACGCGGTACCGGTTAACTCGCCGGCTCGCTCGTTCGCTCGCCTGCTCGCTCGCTCGCTCGACTATTTACCCGCCTATTCACTCGCATAGTCACCCGTACGCCCATTTGTTCGCTCGCCTATCCACTCACTCGCTCGCCTATTCACTTTGTTGCTCTCTTGCTCACCTGTTCACCTACCTGCTCACTCGCTCAATCTCTCGCTAACTCACCTATGCATTCACTCGCTCACCTACTCCCTCCCTTCATCACATATTCACACCCTCACCTAATAATTCGCTTGCTCACCCACCTGTTCACTCAAATCGCTCGCTCGCACCCGTTCACTATCTCCATCACTCACCTACTCGCTCACCTGTTCACCCATTGAGTCAGCCGCTTGCCTATTCACTCAATCAGACAACAACAACAATAATATTGTGTATGTCACCCTGAACCGCTCGATCCCTCACTCACTCGCTCGAGAGGGTGAGTGAGCGAGCAGGAGGGTGAACGAACGAGCAGGAGAGTGAGCGAGCGAGAGGGCGAGAGAGAGAGCGAGCGAGCGAGAGGGCGGGCGAGCGGGCGAGCGAGCGAGAGGGCGAGTGAGCGAGAGAGAGGGCGAGCGAGAGAGAGGGCGAGCGAGCGAGAGGGCGGGCGAGCGGGTGAGCGAGAGGGCGAGAGGGCGAGCGGGCGAGCGGGCGAGCGGGCGAGCGAGAGGGCGAGCGAGCGGGCGAGCGGGCGAGTGGGCGAGCGAGAGGGCGAGCGGGCGAGAGGGCGAGCGGGCGAGCGGGCGAGCGAGAGGGCGAGCGGGCGAGCGGGCGGGCGAGCGGGCGAGCGAGAGGGCGAGCGAGCGGCGAGCGAGAGGGCGAGCGAGCGGGTGAGCGAGCGGGCGAGCGAGAGGGCGAGTGAGCGAGAGAGAGGGCGAGCGAGAGAGAGGGCGAGCGAGCGAGAGAGAGAGAGAGGGCGAGAGAGAGGGCGAGCGAGCGAGAGGGCAAGCGAGCGGGCGGGCGAGTGAGAGGGCGAGCAAGAGGGCGAGCGAGAGAGAGGGCGAGAGAGAGGGCGGGCGAGCGAGCGAGCGAGAGGGTGAGCTGCAGGGTGGGTCTCACGACCGTGCGATGGAGGTGGCGATCACCTCCATGATGTCCTTGATGACGGGCACCCAGCGAGACAGCTGGTACGTCTTCTCGCCCACGCGCTCCTTGCGGTCCGGCTGCTTCTTGCGGCGCGCGGACGTCTGCACACACGCCGGTGAGTACACAGGTGAGTACACAGGTGAGTACACAGGTGAGTGGAGTCACGGTGTAGTGGAGTCACGGTGTAGTGGAGTCACGGTGTAGTGGAGTCACGGTGTAGCGGTGTGGCGGTGTGGCGGTGGCACCTCGGCGATGACGGGCACGCCGTAGTGCGCCAAGGCGGTGATGATGTCGGCATCCTCCGAGGGGATCTTGGCGTGGTCGATCAACCTCTGCAGGTTCTCGTCGGTGATCCCTGCACGCGCCGGCACCGCACGCAAAGGTCCCCCGTGTAGCCTCGGCAGACCGCCGGGGCAAGTGCCGCCGGCGAGCGGCACCTGCCAAGGCCGGCGCGGCGGCGGCGCGCGCGGGGAGCGGCGGGTGGCCGGCGCCGCCGCGCCCGGCCGCCTTTGTCTCCCCGGTGGCGGCGTTTGCTCCGCACCGCACCGCCGGGTGCTCATTTGAGGCCGAGTCGACCTAGAGGAGGTCCGGGGCCCGGTCGAGATAATCGTCGCCGGCGTCGGTGGCCGTGAGCGGGCACCGACCTCGGGGCCCTGCCGGGTTCGTAGGGCGGCGTCGCGCCAACCGCTGAGCGGCACCGCGCACCACGTGGTCGGTGAATCGGTGAGCGAGTGAGCGGGTGGGTCAACGGGTGGGCGAGCGGGTAAATGAAATGGCCTCAAAGTGCACCTAGCATGGCACAAGCACCACGGTGACGTCATTGCCACTTAGTGGTGAACGGCGGTTGTTGTTGTTGTTGTTGAATGAATTAGTGAATGAGTGAGTAGCCAGTGGGTGAGTGAATTAGTTAATCAATGAGTAATTGAGTGGGTGATTGAGTGAGTGGGTGAGTGAGTGAATGAGTGAGCGAGCGAGCGGTCGAGCAGTTGGGTGAGTGAGTGTGTGAGTGAGCAAGTCGGCGACCATATGAACGAGTGGACGCACGTGCAAGTGCGTGAGCGAGTCAGTGAGCAAGCGAGCGGGCGAGTGAGTGGGTGAGTGAGCGAGCAGATGAGCGAGCGAATAAGTGAGTGAGTGAGCGAGCGGGTGAGCAAGCGGATGAGCGAGCGAGTAGGTGATTGAGTGGGCGAGCGGATGAGCAAACGGATGAGTGAGCGAGTAGGTGATTGAGCGAGTGAGCGAGTAGGTGATTGAGCGAGTGAGCGAGTAGGTGAGTGAGTAGGTGATTGAGTGATTGAGCGGGTGAGCGAGCGAGTAGGTGATTGAGCGAGTGAGTGAGTAGGTGATTGAGCGAGTGAGCGAGTAGGTGATTGAGCGAGTGAGCGAGTAGGTGATTGAGCGAGTGAGCGAGTAGGTGAGCGAGCGAGTGAGCGAGTAGGTGAGCGAGTAGGTGATTGAGCGAGTGAGCGAGTAGGTGAGTGAGTGGGCGAGCGAGCGGGCGGGCGTGCGGGCGGGTGGGCAGGTTGCACCGTTCTTGAGCAGCACGTAGAGGCAGATGACGCGAATCTTGTCCAGGGTGCTGACGTTCTCGTCCAGCAGGATGGGCACGGTGATGCGCATCGGATCCTTCACCTTCTCCCCCTCCGCGTCCAGCCCCGTCGCCAGGTCCTGCACTCGTACACACACACACACAGATAAAGGTCCCCCGTGTAGCGCTCGCACGCCGGCGGGGCAAGTGCTGTAGGCGAAGTGCGCCTGCGAAGGCCGTCACGGCACACCAGGGGGTGGGTGGCCGGCACCGCGCCCGGCCGCCTTTGTCTCCCCCAATGGCGAAGTTTGCTGCACACCGCCACCAGGTAGTCATTTGAGGCTGAGTCGACCTAGGGGAGGCCCATGACCGGTTGGAATATTTGTCACTGTTGTTGGCCGTGAGCGGGAATGGAACTCTGGTAGCACTAACCACTACGCCACCGCTCCCCACACCCACAGTGACACACACACACGGTGTATCACACACACACGGAGTGACACACACACACGGAGTGACACACACACACACGGTGTATCACACACACACGGAGTGACACACACACACACGGGGTGACACACACACACACGGTGTATCACACACACACACGGAGTGACACACACACACACGGAGTAACACACACACACGGTGTATCACACACACACGGAGGGACACACACACACGGAGTGACACACACACAGTGTATCACACACACACACACGGAGTGACACACACACACACGGAGTGACACACACACAGTGTATCACACACACACGGAGTGACACACACACACACACGGAGTGACACACACACACACACACGGAGTGACACACACACGGTGTATCACACACACACAGAGTGACACACACACACACACGGAGTGACACACACACGGTGTATCACACACACACACGGAGTGACACACACACGGAGTGACACACACACACACGGAGTAACACACACACACACGGTGTATCACACACACACACACGGAGTGACACACACACACGGAGTGACACACACACACACGGTGTATCACACACACGGTGTATCACACACACACACACACGGAGAGACACACACACACACACGGAGTGACACACACGGAGTGACACACACACGGAGTGACACACACACACACGGAGTAACACACACACACACACGGTGTATCACACACACACGGAGTGACACACACACACGGAGTGACACACACACACACGGTGTATCACACACACACGGAGTGACACACACACACACGGGGTGACACACACACACACGGTGTATCACACACACACACGGAGTGACACACACACACACACACGGAGTAACACACACACACGGTGTATCACACACACACGGAGTGACACACACACACGGAGTGACACACACACAGTGTATCACACACACACACGGAGTGACACACACACACACACGGAGTGACACACACACAGTGTATCACACACACACGGAGTGACACACACACACACACGGAGTGACACACACACACACGGAGTGACACACACACGGTGTATCACACACACACAGAGTGACACACACACACACGGAGTGACACACACACGGTGTATCACACACACACACACACGGAGTGACACACACACGGAGTGACACACACACACACACGGAGTAACACACACACACACGGTGTATCACACACACACACACGGAGTGACACACACACACGGAGTGACACACACACACACGGTGTATCACACACCCGGTGTATCACACACACACACACGGAGTGACACACACACACGGAGTGACACACACACACGGAGTGACACACACACGGAGTGACACACACACACACGGAGTAACACACACACACACGGTGTATCACACACACACGGAGTGACACACACACACGGAGTGACACACACACACGGTGTATCACACACACACACATGGAGTGACACACACACACACACGGGGTGACACACACACGGAGTGACACACACACACACGGAGTGACACACACGGACACGTGCGTGTGAGTGCGTGTGTGTGAGAGTGTGTGTGTGTTGCTGAGGAGATGGAGTCTGCCTCAGTGGCCCGCGATCACAAATCTCCATTTAACTCCATCAAAAAAGTAACCTGCAGCGCCACACCTATTACCATCATTAGGGGAAAAAACGGTGATCCAATCTCCGACCCCCAGGAACAGGTTTGCAGATTTGCTGAGCATTTCTGTGAGGTCCTGGGGGAGGGAAATCCCTCAGCCAGGAAAACATCGTGGCACAAAGTGAGGATGACCCTGCTGAGGCTGCGGTGCCTCAAATATTGGAAGAAGTTACCCCCTGTGAGTGGCTGGTTGAGGTGCCATCTGTTGAGGAAGTACTGAAGGCGATCCGGAGTCTGAAACCAAGAAAGGCACCGGGTAGAGATGATCTCCCAAACGAAATGCTGAGGGAGGGTGGCGTTTGTGCACAGACTGCCCTATATGACATCATAACAACAGTCTGGACCACTGGACGGGTTCCGCAGGATTGGAAGGATGCCCTGGTGGTTCCCCTCTTTAAGAAGGGGGACCGCACAGACTGTAACAACTACAGGGGCATTTCACTCCTCAGTGTGCCGGGAAAGGTCCTGGCAAGGATTATTCAGCATCGCCTTGCCAGGTACGCTGAGGAGAGGCTTGCGGAGCCCCAATGCGGTTTCAGGAAAGGGCGGTCCTGCACAGATGCCATATTTTCTGTCCGTCTGCTACAGCAGAGGTGTAGGGAATTCCAACAAGACCTACATCTCTGCTTTATTGACCTGGTCAAGGCCTATGATACCATCAGTAGGCCTGGGCTCTGGGTTGTTCTTCGTGCTTTTGGAGTCCCTAACCCTCTGCTCATGATCATTAAGGACCTTCATGATGGTGAGCGGGCCTGGGTAAAACTACGTGGTCGGGAGTCAGAGCCATTCCCTGTACACCTTGGAGCGCGACAGAGATGTCCTCTGGCTCCCACATTATGTAACATCTATTTTGACCACGTAGTTCGTGAAGCCTTCAATGGCTGTACCGGGGGAATCTCCATTTGGTACAGCTACAATGGGAGGCTGATCGATGCCCGGGTGCGGTCAAGGGATGGCTCCCTATTGCTCAACCACGTTATGTATGCCGATGATTTGGTAATAGCTGCTCATTCAGAGGAGGAGTTGGAGACGCTGCTGCTGAGACTGGAGCGTGCCACTAAGAGATGGGGCTTTACCATCAGCCCCACCAAAACTAAGCACCTGCCTGGGTATTTTGTACCATCGGACACTCCACCCCCACAACTCCCAATCGGTGATGGGGCAGTTGCGGAGAGAGTGGAAAGTTTCCCATATCTGGGCAGTGTGCTTACGACCGGCTCCAGTTTAACAGCAGAGGTCTCACTCCGAATCAGTCGAGTGGCAATATCTTTTCATCGGTTGCGTAACGCTGTGTGGAAGCTACCTGGTCTGTCGCTCCGCACTAAGCTTCAGGTCTTCTCGGCCACGGTCATTCCCTCCCTTCTCTACGCTTGCGAAACGTGGACCCCCCTAATGGAGCATCATCGCCGGTTAGAAACATTTAGGCTAGCCTGCCTACGATCCATCCTGGGTTTAACCAGGTTGGATTGTGTGAGGAGCTCACAAATCCTTGAAAGATCTGGGCATGGTCCCATCGGTGAGCTCCTCCGGCAGGCAAGGCTGCGTTGGCTGGGTCATGTAGCCCGCATTCCCAGCCACCGCATGCCAAAACAGCTTTTGTTCGGCCGGATCGAGGGGCAAGACGGGCGCGGCACGGGCTAGAGAAGAGATGGAGTGATGTGGTACAGGAGGACGTGGAGCTGAGTGGACTTGCCGATGACTGGTACCAGCGGTGTCAAGATCGGCCTCTGTGGAGGAGGCTCATGAAGGACGCTACTGGGCAGTTGGAGGCAGTCGCCCTCCAACAACAACGGAGGGCGGAGGAGCGACGCTCACAACAACGAGCGGAGCACCGGGTGGCTAAAGCACAGCAGGTTGGCAGGTTGGCACAGTAGGGGGCATCAGCCAGTCATCTCAGTCATCTCAGTCAGTCGACCTGTGGCACTTGGGTCTGCCCTGTGACCTGCCAGCGGGCGTTCGACACTTCACGTGGCCTCAAGGTGCACATGGCCTGGCACAAGCGTCGTGGTGACGTCACCGCCACTTAGTGGCGAATAGCGGTTGTTGTTGTTGTTGTTGTGTGTGAGTGTGTGTGAGTGTGTGTGTGTGAGTGTGTGTGTGTGTCACGGTGTGTGTGAGTGTGTGTCACTGTGAGTGTGTGAGTGTGTGTGAGTGTGTGAGTGTGTGTGAGTGTGTGTGTCACTGTGTGTGAGTGTGTGAGTGTGTGTGAGTGTGTGTGAGTGTGTGTGTCACTGTGTGTGTGTGAGTGTGTGAGAGTGTGAGTGAGTGTGTGTGTCACTGTGTGTGTGTGTGTCACCTGCTCCACGCGGCACAGCTTGTCGGCACCCTCCTGGTACATGCGCATGCAGTCCTCGGCCAGGTGCAGGTGCGTCGAGTACTGGGCACAAAGACAAAGGCCCCCGTGTAGCCCACACACACCGCCAGGGCAAGTGCCGTGAGCGGGCGGCAAGCGCCTACGGAGGCTGCCGCCGTGGCGCGCGGAGGGGTGGGGGGGGGGGGGGGTGGGGGGGGGTGGTGGGGTGGTGGGGGGGGTGGTGGGGTGGTGGGGGGGGTGGTGGGGGGGGGGGGGTGGTGGGGGGGGGTGGTGGGGTGGTGGGGGGGGGTGGTGGGGGGGGGGTGGTGGTGGGGGGGGTGGGGGGGTGGTGGGGGGGGTGGGGGGTGGGGGGGTGGGCAGCAGCATGCCTGGCCGCCTCCCCGCTGGCGATGTTTACGATGCACCACCACCCGCTACTCATTTGAGGCCGAGTAGACCTAGGGGAGTCCCGGGACCTGTCGAGATCATCGTCAGCGGTGTTGGTGGTCGTGAGCGGGAATCGAACCCCGGGTTGGCCGGGTCGGTAGCACGGGCGGTGGTAATGGTCACGTGGTGGTGCAGGTTGATGGTGGTGGTGGTCATGTAGTGGTGTTGGTTGCTGGTAGTGCAGGTCGTGGTTGTGGTGGTGGTCGTGGTGTTTGGTTGTGGTGGTTGTGGTGGCGGTCGTGGTGTTTGGTTGTGGTGGTTGTGGTGGTGGTTGTGGTGATGGTTGTGGTGGTAGTGGTGGTGGTGGGGATGGTTGTGGTGGTAGTGGTGGTGGTGGGGATGGTTGTGGTGGTGTAGGTGGTGGTTGTGGTGGTTGTGGTGGTGGTGGAGATAGTTGTGGTGATGTAGGTGGTGGTTGTGGTGGTGGGGATGGTTGTGGTGATGTAGGTGGTGGTTGTGGTGGTGGTGGGTATGGTTGTGGTGGTGTAGGTGGTGGTTGTGGTGGTTGTGGTGGTGGGGATGGTTGTGGTGGTGTAGGTGGTGGTTGTGGTGGTTGTGATGGTGGTGGGGATGGTTGTGGTGGTTGTGGTGGTGGTGGGGATGGTTGTGGTGGTTGTGGTAGTAGTGGTGGTGGTTGTGGTGGAGATGGTTGTGGTGGTGTAGGTGGTGGTTGTGGTGGTTGTGGTGGTGATGGTTGTGGTGGTCGTAGTGGTGGTGGGAATGGTTGTGGTGGTTGTGGTAGTAGTGGTGGTGGTTGTGGTCATTGTGGTTGTGGTGGGGATGGTTGTGGTGGTTGTAGTAGTGGTGGTGGTAGTGGTGGTGGTTGTGGTGGTTGTAGTGGTGGTGGTGGTTGTGGTGGGGATGGTTGTGTTGTTGTGGTGGGGATGATTGTGGTGGTTGTAGTAGTGGTGGTGGTTGTGGTGGTTGTAGTGGTGGTGGTAGTGGTGGTTGTAGTGGTGGTGGTGGTTGTGGTGGGGATGGTTGTGGTGGTTGTGGTGGTTGTAGTGGTGGTTGTGGTTGTGGTAATGGTGGTGGTTGTGGTGGTTGTAGTGGTGGTTGTGGTGGTTGTAGTGGTAGTGGTGGTAGTGGTGGTGGTGGTTGAGGTGGTGGTAGTGGTGGTTGTGGTGGTTGTAGTGGTGGTGGTGGTTGTAGTGGTGGTGGTGGTTGTGGTGGGGATGGTTGTGGTGGTGGTTGTGGTGGTTGCAGTGGTGGTTGTAGTGGTGGTTGTAGTGGTAGTGGTGGTGGTTGTGGTTGTGGTAGTGGTGGTGGTTGTGGTGGTTGTAGTGGTGGTGGTGGTTGTGGTGGTGGTGGTTGTGGTGGGGATGGTTGTGGTGGTTGGAGTGGTGGTTGTAGTGGTGGTGGTTGTGGTGGTGGTAGTGGTGGTGGTTGTAGTGGTGGTGGTAGTGGTGGTTGTGGTGGTTGTAGTGGTGGTGGTGGTTGTGGTGGTTGTAGTGGTGGTTGTGGTGGTTGTAGTGGTAGTGGTGGTAGTGGTGGTAGTGGTTGTGGTGGTGGTAGTGGTGGTGGTTGTGGTGGTTGTAGTGGTGGGGATGGTTGTGGTGGTGGTTGTGGTGGTTGTAGTGGTGGTTGTAGTGGTGGTGGTTGTGGTGGTGGTTGTAGTGGTGGTTGTGGTGGTGGTTGTGGTGGTTGTAGTGGTAGTGGTGGTTGTGGTGGTGGTTGTGGTGGTGGTTGTGGTGGTGGTGGTTGTGGTAGTGGTGGTGGTTGTGGTGGTTGGAGTGGTGGTGGTTGTGGTGGTGGTAGTAGTTGTAGTGGTTGTAGTGGTGGTGGTAGTGGTGGTTGTGGTGGTGGTTGTGGTGGTTGTAGTGGTAGTGTTGGTGGTTGTGGTGGTTGTAGTGGTGGTTGTGGTGGTTGTAGTGGTACTGGTGGTGGTGGTTGTGGTGGTGGTAGTGGTTGTGGAGGTTGTAGTGGTGGTGGTGGTTGTAGTGGTGGTGGTGGTTGTGGTGGGGATGGTTGTGGTGGTGGTTGTGGTGGTGGTTGTAGTGGTGGTTGTAGTGGTGGTGGTTGTGGTGGTGGTTGTAGTGGTGGTGGTGGTGGTTGTGGTGGTTGGAGTGGTGGTTGTAGTGGTGGTGGTTGTGGTGGTGGTGGTTGTAGTGGTTGTAGTGGTGGTGGTAGTGGTGGTTGTGGTGGTGGTTGTGGTTGTTGTAGTGGTAGTGGTTGTGGTGGTTGTAGTGGTGGTTGTGGTGGTTGTAGTGGTAGTGGTGGTAGTGGTGGTGGTGGTTGTGGTGGTGGTAGTGGTGGTGGTTGTGGTGGTTGTGGTGGTTGTAGTGGTGGTTGTGGTGGGGATGGTTGTGGTGGTGGTTGTGGTGGTTGTAGTGGTGGTTGTAGTGGTGGTGGTTGTGGTGGTGGTTGTAGTGGTGGTGGTTGTGGTGGTTGTAGTGGTAGTGGTGGTTGTGGTGGTGGTGGTTGTGGTGGTGGTGGTTGTGGTTGTGGTGGTTGTGGTGGTTGTAGTGGTGGTGGTGGTTGTGGTGGTGGTTGTGGTGGTTGTGGTGGGGATGGTTGTGTTGGTTGTGGTGGTTGGAGTGGTGGTTGTAGTGGTGGTGGTTGTGGTGGTGGTGGTGGTTGTAGTGGTTGTAGTGGTGGTGGTAGTGGTGGTTGTGGTGGTGGTTGTGGTGGTTGCAGTGGTGGTGGTGGGTGTGGTGGTTGTAGTGGTGGTGGTGGTTGTGGTGGTTGGAGCGGTGGGGATGGTTGTGGTGGTTGTGGTGGTTGGAGTGGTGGTTGTAGTGGTGGTGGTTGTGGTGGTGGTAGTGGTGGTGGTTGTAGTGGTTGTAGTGGTGGTGGTAGTGGTGGTTGCGGTGGTTGTGGTGGTGGTTGTGGTGGTTGTAGTGGTTGTGGTGGTTGTAGTGGTAGTGGTGGTGGTGGTTGTGGTCACCTTGCTCAGCTCCTTCTGGTACTGTGGCATCTTCTTGAGCATCTGAGACAGGTCGCGTATCGTGGTCTGTGGGGGGCACGGGGCGTGGGGGGCACGGGGCGTGGGGGGCACGGCCGTCAGTGGTGGCGGTGGTGACGACGGTGGTGGTCATGGTGGTGATGGTGGTGATGATGATGGTGGTGATTGTGATGATGGTGGTGAAGATGGCGGTGATGATGGTGATGGTGGTGATAGTGATGGTGATGGCGGTGATGATGCTGATGGTGGTGATAATGGCGGTGATGATGGTGGTGATAATGGCGGTGATGATGGTGGCGATAGTGGTGATGGTGGTTCTGGTGGTGGTGGTGGTGATGGCGGTGGTGATGGTGATGATGGCGGTGGTGATGGTGGTGATGGTGCTGCACACCTTTTCTCCGGATGAAGCCATCTTCTTGTTGGTGGAAAACTCCTTCAGTGAGCGAGTCACCTCCCTGGAGATAACATCATCACCACCATCATCACCATCATCACCATCACCACCATCATCACCACCATCATCACCACCATCATCACCACCATCATCATCACCAGACACCATCACCACCATCATCACCATCATTACCATCACCACCATCACCACCATCATCACCACCATCACCATCATCACCACCATCATCACCACCATCATCATCACCAGACACCATCACCACCATCATCACCATCACCACCATCATCACCACCATCATCACCACCATCAGCATCATCATCACCAGACACCATCACCATCATCATCACCAGACACCATCACCACCATCATCACCAGACACCATCACCATCACGACCACCATCACGACCACCATCACCAGACACCACCACCATCACGACCACCATCACGACCACCATCACCACCACCATCACCACCACCATCACCACCATCATCACCATCATCATCACCAAAAACACCATCATCACCACCACCATCACCATCACCTTCACCATCACGACCACCATCACCACCACCATCACCACCACCTTCACCATCACCACCACCATCATCACCATCACCATCACCAGACACCATCACGACCATCACGACCACCATCGCGACCACCATCACCACCACCATCATCATCACCATCATCACCAGACACCATCACCATCACCTTCACCATCACGACCACCATCACCACCACCATCACCACCACCTTCACCATCACCACCACCATCATCACCATCACCATCACCAGACACCATCACGACCATCACGACCACCATCGCGACCACAATCACCACCACCATCACCACCACCACCATTATCACCATCATCACTGCCATCACCACCACCATCATCACCGCCATCACCACCACCATCACCACCATCATCACTATCATCACAAGCAGAGGTGTCCCAGTGAGTACCATCACTATCAACACCATGGTGCTGATGGTGTTGGTGGTGGTGATGGTGTTGATGGTGTTGATGGTGGTGATGGTGTTGATGGTGGTGATGGTGTTGGTGGTGATGGTGTTGGTGGTGATGGTGTTGGTGGTGTTGATGGTGTTGATGGTGGTGATGGTGATGATGGTGTTGATGGTGATGGTGTTGATGGTGTTGATGGTGATGGTGTTGGTGGTGATGTTGTTGATGTTGATGGTGTTGATGGTGTTGATGGTGATGGTGTTGATGGTGTTGGTGGTGTTGATGGTGGTGTTGGTGGTGATGGTGTTGATGGTGTTGGTGGTGTTGATGGTGTTGATGGTGATGGTGTTGATGGTGATGGTGTTGGTGGTGATGTTGTTGATGTTGATGGTGTTGATGGTGTTGATGGTGGTGATGGTGTTGATGGTGATGGTGGTGTTGATGTTGTTGATGTTGATGGTGTTGATGGTACTCACTGCGACACTTCTGCGATGTGTTTGTGTCGGAGTGACGCCCACAGCTCATCGTCCTCGTCCAGGGGAACCTCCTTGGTCTTCGTCTCTCCCTGCCCCGTCGTCTCGTACCTGGAACACGACACACACACAGGTGAGATACACAGGTGAGACACACACACGGGTGAGACACACACACGGGTGAGACACACACACAGGTGAGACACAGGTGAGGCACACACACAGGTGAGACACACACAGGTGAGACACACAGGTGAGATACACACACAGGTGAGATACACAGGTGAGACACACACACAGGTGAGACACACACACAGGTGAGACACACACACAGGTGAGACACAGGTGAGGCACAGGTGAGGCACACACACAGGTGAGACACACACACAGGTGAGACACAGGTGAGGCACAGGTGAGACACACAGGTGAGGCACACACACACAGGTGAGACACACAGGTGAGACACACAGGTGAGGCACACACACAGGTGACACACAGGTGAGACACACACAGGTGAGACACACACAGGTGAGGCACAGGTGAGACACACACACAGGTGAGACACAGGTGAGGCAGAGGTGAGACACACACACAGGTGAGACACACACAGGTGAGACACAGGTGAGGCACAGGTGAGACACACACACAGGTGAGACACACAGGTGAGCCCCACACAGGTGAGACACACAGGTGACAAACACACACACAGGTGAGACACACACAGGTGATAACCCACACAGGTGAGACGCACACACAGGTGAGACACACAGGTGAGACACACACAGGTGAGACACACACAGGTGAGACACAGGTGAGACACACACAGGTGAGACACACACAGGTGAGACAGGTGAGACACACACAGGTGAGACACACACAGGTGAGCCCCACACAGGTGAGACACACAGGTGACAAACACACACACAGGTGAGACACACACAGGTGATAACCCACACAGGTGAGACGCACACACAGGTGAGACACACAGGTGAGACACACACAGGTGAGACACACACAGGTGAGACACAGGTGAGACAAGCAGGTGAGAGACACAGGTGAGACACACACAGGTGAGACACACACAGGTGAGACACACACACACAGGTGAGACAGGTGAGACACACACAGGTGAGACACAGGTGAGACACACACAGGTGAGACACACACAGGTGAGACACACACAGGTGAGACACAGGTGAGACACACAGAGGTGAGACAGGTGAGACACACACACAGGTGAGACACAGGTGAGACACACACAGGTGAGACACACACAGGTGAGACAGGTGAGACACACAGGTGAGACAGGTGAGACAGGTGAGACATACACAGGTGAGACACACACAGGTGAGACAGGTAAGACACACACACAGGTGAGACACACACACAGCTGAGACACAGGTGAGACACACAGGTGAGACACACACAGGTGAGACACACACAGGTGAGACAGGTGAGACACACACACAGGTGAGACACAGGTGAGACACACACAGGTGAGACACACACAGGTGAGACAGGTGAGACACACAGGTGAGACAGGTGAGACAGGTGAGACACACACACAGGTGAGACACAGGTGAGACACACACAGGTGAGACAGGTGAGACAGGTGAGACATACACAGGTGAGACAGGTAAGACACACACACAGGTGAGACACACACACAGCTGAGACACAGGTGAGACACACACAGGTGAGACAGGTGAGACAGGTGAGACATACACAGGTGAGACACACACAGGTGAGACAGGTAAGACACACACACAGGTGAGACACACACACAGCTGAGACACAGGTGAGACACACACAGGTGAGACAGGTGAGACACACACACAGGTGAGACACACACACAGGTGAGACACAGGTGAGACACACACAGGTGAGACAGGTGAGACACACACAGGTGAGACACACACAGGTGAGACAGGTGAGACACACACACACAGGTGAGACAGGTAAGACACACACACAGGTGAGACACACACACAGGTGAGACACAGGTGAGACACACACAGGTGAGACACACACAGGTGAGACACAGGTGAGACACACACAGGTGAGACACAGGTGAGACACACACAGGTGAGACAGGTAAGACACACACACAGGTGAGACACAGGTGAGACACAGGTGAGCCCCACACAGGTGAGACACACACAGGTGAGACACAGGTGAGACACACACAGGTGAGACACACACAGGTGAGACAGGTGAGACACACAGGTGAGACAGGTGAGACAGGTGAGACATACACAGGTGAGACACACACAGGTGAGACAGGTAAGACACACACACAGGTGAGACACAGGTGAGACACACACAGGTGAGACACACACAGGTGAGACACAGGTGAGACACACACAGGTGAGACAGGTAAGACACACACACAGGTGAGACACAGGTGAGACACAGGTGAGCCCCACACAGGTGAGACACACACAGGTGAGACACACACAGGTGAGACACAGGTGAGACACACACAGGTGAGACACACACAGGTGAGACAGGTGAGACACACAGGTGAGACAGGTGAGACATACACAGGTGAGACACACACAGGTGAGACAGGTAAGACACACACACAGGTGAGACACAGGTGAGACACAGGTGAGCCCCACACAGGTGAGACACACACAGGTGAGACACACACAGGTGAGACAACTGAACACGGACTGACAAACACAACCACCTTCCCCTAACCCTCTGATGTCTGCCCTTTAACCCTCCGCCCTCCCTGCCCTCTACCACCCCCTCACCCCCCGCCCCCCGCCCCCAGCCCCCCCGCCCCCCCGCCCCCCACTTGTAGACGTCGTTCTCGACGGGCAGCAGGTCGTAGGCCATGGCCTGGAAGGTCAGCTCGTGCACCAGCGGCGACACCAGGTCCACACCGCGGTCCACGATCAGCAGCTGCGAGCGAGCCTTGTCCGGGCCCTGGGGTCAGGCACGGGGGTCAGGCACGGGGGTCGCCGCGGGGTCACCGCGGGGTCACCGCGGGGTCGCCGCGGGGTTCGGCCGGTCGGCAGAGGCCAGCGGAGGGGTCGCGGTTCGAGGTGGCCGGGGCCTCGGGGGAGGGGAATTGGGGTTGGCGGGTCACGGTGAACGAGGGGGTCGTACAAGGTCACGGGGTCGTGCGGGGCTAAGCGTGGCCTAGTAGCGGTGGGTGCGCGGGTGGGTGAGTTGGTGAGCGGGTGAGTGGGCGAGTGGGTGAGCGGGTGGGTAGGTGAGTTGATGAGCGGGTGTGCAGGTAAGCGGGTGGGTGAGTGGGTGAGCGGGGGAGTTGGTGAGCGGGTGTGCAGGTAAGCGGGTGAGCGGGTGGGTGAGTGGGTGAGCATGTGAGCGGGTGAGTGGGTAAGCGGGTGGGTGAGTAAGCGTGCGGGTGGGTGAGTAAGCGTGCGAGTTGGTGAGCGGGCGTGCAGGTAAGCGGGTGGGTGGGCGCGTGAGTGGGTGTGCGGGTCAGTGGGTGAGCGGGTAAGCAGGTGTGTGGGTAAGCGTGTGAGTGGGTGAGTGGGTGAGCTGGTGAGCGGGTAAGTGGGTAAGCGGGTGTGTGGGTGAGCGTGTGAGTGGGTGAGTTGGTGAGCGGGTGAGTGGGTAAGCGGGTAAGCGGGTGTGTGGGTAAGCGTGTGAGTGGGTGAGCGGGTGAGTGGGTGAGCGGGTGAGTGGGTGAGCGGTGAGTGGGCGAGTTGGTGAGTCGGTGAGCAGGTGAGCGGGTGAGCGAGTTCACCTCGCCCATGGTGGGGTCGTCGGCCTTGTAGGCGTTGAGTTTGTCCTGAACCAGCTGAGCGAGCAGCCCATTGGGGGGGAACTCCCTGCGCACGCACAGCACGTACAGAGTACACGCAGAGTACACGCAGAGTACACGCAGAGTACACGCACAGCACGTACAGAGTACACGCAGAGTACACGCACAGCACGTACAGAGTACACGCAGAGTACACGCACAGTACACGCACAGCACGTACAGAGTACACGCAGAGTACACGCAGAGTACACGTACAGAGTACACGCAGAGTACACGCAGAGTACACGCACAGTACACGCACAGCACACACACAGCACGTACAGAGTACACGCAGAGTACACGCACAGTACACGCACAGCACGTACAGAGTACACGCAGAGTACACGCACAGCACGTACAGAGTACACGCACAGCACGTACAGAGTACACGCACAGTACACGCAGAGTACACGCACAGCACACGCACAGTAAACGCACAGCACGTACAGAGTACACGCACAGTACACGCACAGCACGTACAGAGTACACGCACAGTACATGCACAGTACACGCACAGCACACGCACAGTACAATCACAGTACACGCAGAGTACACGCACAGCACGTACAGAGTACACGCAGAGTACACGCAGAGTACACGCACAGCACGTACAGAGTACACGCAGAGTACACGCACAGCACGTACAGAGTACACGCACAGTACGTACAGAGTACATGCACAGTTCACGCAGAGTACACGCACAGCACACGCACAGTACACGCACAGTCGGTGAGTGGAGCGGTGAGTGGAGCGGTGAGTAGGTGAGCGAGTCGGTGAGTGAGTAGGTGAGTGAGTCGGTGAGGGGTCGGTGAGTGGGTCGGTGAGTGAGTCGGTGAGTGGAGCGGTGAGTGGAGTAGGTGAGTGAGTAGTTGATTGAGTCGGTGAGTGGAGCGGTGAACGAGTCGGTGAGTGGAGCGGTGAACGAGTCGGTGAGTGGAGCGGTGAGTGGAGCGGTGAGTGGAGCGGTGAGTGAGTCGGTGAGTGAGTCGGTGAGTGAGTCGGTGAGCGTAGCGGTGAGCGAGTCGGTGAGTGAGTCGGTGAGCGAGTAGGTGAGTGAGTCGGTGAGCGTAGCGGTGAGTGAGTCGGTGAGTGGGTCGGTGAGTGGAGTGGTGAGTGAGTCGGTGAGTAGAGCGGTGAGTGGAGTAGGTGAGTGAGTAGGTGAGTGAGTCGGTGAGCGTAGCGGTGAGTGAGTCGGTGAGCGAGTCGGTGAGCGAGTCGGTGAGTGAGTCGGTGAGTGGAGCGGTGAGTGGAGTAGGTGAGTGAGTCGGTGAGCGAGTCGGTGAGCGAGTCGGTGAGCGAGTCGGTGAGCGAGTCGGTGAGCGAGTCGGTGAGTGAGTCGGTGAGCGAGTCGGTGAGTGAGTCGGTGAGCGAGTTGGTGAGTGAGTTGGTGAGTGAGTCGGTGAGCGAGTCGGTGAGTGAGTCGGTGAGTGAGTCGGTGAGCGAGTCGGTGAGCGAGTCGGTGAGTGAGTCGGTGAGCGAGTTGGTGAGTGAGTTGGTGAGTGAGTCGGTGAGCGAGTCGGTGAGTGAGTCGGTGAGTGAGTCGGTGAGCGAGTCGGTGAGCGAGTCGGTGAGTGAGTCGGTGAGCGAGTCGGTGAGTGAGTCGGTGAGTGAGTCGGTGAGCGAGTCGGTGAGTGAGTTGGTGAGCGAGTCGGTGAGTGAGTCGGTGAGCGAGTTGGTGAGCGAGTCGGTGAGTGAGTTGGTGAGCGAGTCGGTGAGTGAGTCGGTGAGCGAGTCGGTGAGCGAGTCGGTGAGCGAGTCGGTGAGCGAGTCGGTGAGTACCCGCGGTAGCGGACGGCTGGGTACTCCTTGAGGGTGGTGCACAGTGTGGCGATCTGCTCCGCCATGCGCTCCATGGCGCGGTTGCGCTCGCTGGCGCGGTGCGGACTGTACACCACCTGCGTCGCCTCCACAAAGTCCAGCAGGAACACCTGGCACCAACAACAACAACAACCACAACCACAACAACAACCACAACGTCAACCACAACAAGTCCAGCAGGAACACATGGCCCCAACAACAACAACAACAACAACCACAACAACAACAACAACCACAACGTCAACCACAACAAGTCCAGCAGGAACACTTGGCACCAACAACAACAACCACAACAACCACAACAACAACAACCACAACAACAACAACCACAACAAGTCCAGCAGGAACACCTGGCACCAACAACAACAACCACAACAACAACAACAACCACAACGTCAACCACAACAAGTCCAGCAGGAACACTTGGCACCAACAACAACAACCACAACAACCACAACAACAACAACCACAACAACAACCACAACGTCAACCACAACAAGTCCAGCAGGAACACCTGGCACCAACAACAACAACCACAACAACAACAACAACAACCACAACAACAACAACAACCACAACAACCACAACGTCAACCACAACAAGTCCAGCAGGAACACCTGGCACCAACAACAACAACCACAACAACAACAACCACAACAACAACAACCACAACGTCAACCACAACGTCAACCACAACAAGTCCAGCAGGAACATCTGGCACCACCACCAACAACAACAACAACAACCACAACAACAACAACCACAACAAGAACCACAACGTCAACCACAACGTCAACCACAACAAGTCCAGCAGGAACATCTGGCACCACCACCAACAACAACAACAACCACAACAACAACCAAAACAACAACAACCACAACAACAACCACAACGTCAACCACAACAAGTCCAGCAGGAACATCTGGCACCACCACCACCACCACCAACAACAACAACAACCACAATAACCACAACGTCAACCACCACAACTGATGCAACCACAATCACAGCCACCACCAACCACAACCGCAACATCAACCACTACAACAACATCACAACAACCACCATGACATCAAACTACAAGTCCACAACCAGAGTGGCCGGAGTGACCGGTGAGAGGGTGGTGAGTGAGTGGGTGGTGAGTGAGAGAGTGGTGAGTGAGTGAGTGGTGAGTGAGAGGGTGGTGAGTGGGCGGTGAGTGAGTGAGTGGTGAGTGAGTGAGTGGTGAGTGAGTGAGTGGTGAGTGAGGGGGTGGTGAGTGAGTGGGTGGTGAGTGAGTGAGTGGTGAGTGAGTGGGTGGTGAGTGAGAGGGTGGTGAGTGAGAGGGTGGTGAGTGAGTGGTGAGTGAGTGGGTGGTGAGTGAGAGAGTGGTGAGTGAGTGAGTGAGTGGTGAGTGAGGGGGTGGTGAGTGAGAGGGGGGTGAGTGAGAGGGTGGTGAGTGAGTGGTGAGTGAGAGGGTGGTGAGTGAGAGAGTGGTGAGTGAGTGGGTGGTGAATGAGAGGATGGTGAGTGAGAGGGTGGTGAGTGAGAGGGTGGTGAGTGAGTGGTGAGTGAGTCAGTGGTGAGTGAGTGGGTGGTGAGTGAGAGAGTGGTGAGTGAGTGGGTGGTGAGTGAGTGGGTGGTGAGTGAGAGAGTGGTGAGTGAGAGGGTGGTGAGTGGGTGGTGAGTGAGTGAGTGGTGAGTGAGTGAGTGGTGAGTGAGTGAGTGGTGAGTGAGTGAGTGGTGAGTGAGTGAGTGGTGAGTGAGAGGGTGCTGAGTGAGTGGGTGGTGAGTGAGTGGGTGGTGAGTGAGAGAGTGGTGAGTGAGAGGGTGGTGAGTGAGAGGGTGGTGAGTGAGAGGGTGGTGAGTGAGAGGGTGGTGAGTGAGTGGTGAGTGAGTGAGTGGTGAGTGAGTGGGTGGTGAGTGAGTGGGTGGTGAGTGAGTGGGTGGTGAGTGAGAGAGTGGTGAGTGAGTGAGTGGTGAGTGAGAGGGTGGTGAGTGGGTGGTGAGTGAGTGAGTGAGTGGTGAGTGAGTGAGTGGTGAGTGAGAGAGTGGTGAGTGAGTGAGTGGTGAGTGAGTGAGTGGTGAGTGAGGGGGTGGTGAGTGAGTGGGTGGTGAGTGAGAGGGTGGTGAGTGAGTGAGTGAGTGGTGAGTGAGTGAGTGGTGAGTGAGTGGTGAGTGAGGAGGTGGTGAGTGAGAGAGTGGTGAGTGAGTGAGTGGTGAGTGAGAGAGTGGTGAGTGAGTGAGGGGTGCGTGAGTGAGTGAGTGGTGAGTGAGAGGGTGGTGAGTGAGAGGGTGGTGAGTGGTGAGTGAGAGGGTGGTGAGTGAGTGAGTGGTGAGTGAGTGAGTGGTGAGTGAGTGAGTGGTGAGTGAGTGAGTGGTGAGTGAGAGAGTGGTGAGTGAGTGAGTGGTGAGTGAGAGAGTGGTGAGTGAGTGAGGGGTGAGTGAGTGAGTGAGTGGTGAGTGAGAGGGTGGTGAGTGAGAGGGTGGTGAGTGAGTGGTGAGTGAGAGGGTGGTGAGTGAGTGAGTGGTGAGTGAGTGAGTGAGTGGTGAGTGAGAGGGTGGTGAGTGAGTGAGTGGTGAGTGAGTGAGTGGTGAGTGGGTGGTGAGTGAGAGAGTGGTGAGTGAGTGAGTGGTGAGTGAGTGAGTGGTGAGTGAGGGGGTGGTGAGTGAGTGGGTGGTGAGTGAGTGGGTGGTGAGTGAGAGGGTGGTGAGTGAGTGAGTGGTGAGTGAGTGAGTGGTGAGTGAGTGGTGAGTGAGGAGGTGGTGAGTGAGTGGTGAGTGAGAGAGTGGTGAGTGAGTGAGTGGTGAGTGAGAGAGTGGTGAGTGAGTGAGTGGTGAGTGAGTGAGTGGTGAGTGAGGGGGTGGTGAGTGAGTGGGTGGTGAGTGAGAGAGTGGTGAGTGAGTGAGTGGTGAGTGAGTGAGTGGTGAGTGAGTGGTGAGTGAGGGGGTGGTGAGTGAGTGGGTGGTGAGTGAGAGGGTGGTGAGTGAGTGAGTGGTGAGTGAGTGAGTGGTGAGTGGTGAGTGAGGAGGTGGTGAGTGAGTGGTGAGTGAGAGAGTGGTGAGTGAGTGAGTGGTGAGTGAGAGAGTGGTGAGTGAGTGAGGGGTGAGTGAGTGAGTGGTGAGTGAGAGGGTGGTGAGTGAGAGGGTGGTGAGTGAGTGGTGAGTGAGAGGGTGGTGAGTGAGTGGGTGGTGAGTGAGTGAGAGGGTGGTGAGTGAGTGAGTGGTGAGTGAGAGGGTGGTGAGTGAGTGCGTGGTGAGTGAGAGGGTGGTGAGTGAGAGGGTGGTGAGTGAGTGGTGAGTGAGAGGGTGGTGAGTGAGTGAGTGGTGAGTGAGAGGGTGGTGAGTGAGTGAGTGGTGAGTGAGAGGGTGGTGAGTGAGTGAGTGGTGAGTGAGAGAGTGGTGAGTGAGAGGGTGGTGAGTGAGTGCGTGGTGAGTGAGAGGGTGGTGAGTGAGAAGGTGGTGAGTGAGTGAGTGAGTGGTGAGTGAGAGGGTGGTGAGTGAGAGGGTGGTGAGTGAGTGAGTGGTGAGTGAGAGGGTGGTGAAAGGGTGAGTGGTGAGTGAGAGGGTGGTGAGTGAGAGGGTGGTGAGTGAGAGGGTGGTGAGTGAGTGAGTGAGTGGTGAGTGAGTGAGGGGTGAGTGAGAGGGTGGTGAGTGAGAGAGTGGTGAATGAGTGAGTGGTGAGTGAGTGATGATGGAGAGAGTGGTGAGTGAGTGGTGAGTGAGAGGGTGGTGAGTGAAAGAGTGGTGAGTGAGTGAGTGGTGAGTGAGAGAGTGGTGAGTGAGTGAGTAGTGAGTGAGGGAGTGGTAAGTGAGTGAGTGGTGAGTGAGTGGTGATTGAGAGGGTGGTGAGTGACAGGGTGGTGAGTGAGTGGGTGGTGAGTGAGTGAGTGGTGAGTGAGAGAGTGGTGAGTGAGTGAGTAGTGAGTGAGAGAGTGGTGAGTGAGTGAGTGGTGAGTGAGAGAGTGGTGAGTGAGAGGGTGGTGAGTGACAGGGTGGTGAGTGAGAGGGTGGTGAGTGAGTGGTGAGTGAGAGGGTGGTGAGTGAGAGGGTGGTGAGTGAGTGGTGAGTGAGAGGGTGGTGAGTGAGAGGGTGGTGAGTGAGTGAGTGGTGAGTGAGTGGTGAGTGAGAGAGTGGTGAGTTAGAGGGTGGTGAGTGAGTGGTGAGTGAGAGGATGGTGAGTGAGAGGGTGGTGATTGAGAGGGTGTTGAGTGAGTGAGAACGTGGTGAGTGAGAGAGTGGTGAGTGAGAAGGTGGTGAGTGAGTGAGTGGTGAGTGAGTGGTGAGAGAGTGAGTGGTGAGTGAGCGGGTGGTGAGTAAGAGGGTGGTGAGTGAGGAGGTGGTGAGCGAGGGGGTGGTGAGTGAGAGAGTGGTGAGTAAGAGGGTGGTGATTGAGATTGTGGTGAGTGAGAGGGTGGTGAGTGAGGGGGTGGTGAGTGAGAGGGGGGTGAGTGAGAGGGTGGTGAGTGAGTGGTGAGTGAGAGGGTGTTGAGTGAGAGGGTGTTGAGTGAGTGCGTGGTGAGTGATAGGGTGGTGAGTGAGAGGGTGGTGAGTGAGGGGGTGGTGAGTGAGAGGGTGGTGAGTGAGAGAGTGGTGAGTGAGAGGGTGGTGAGTGAGTGGTGAGTGAGAGGGTAGTGAGTGAGAGGGTGGTGAGTGAGTGAGTGGTGAGTGAGTGGTGAGAGAGTGAGTGGTGAGTTAGAGGGTGGTGAGTAAGAGGGTGGTGAGTAAGAGGGTGGTGAGTGAGGGGGTGGTGAGTGAGAGGGTGGTGAGCGAGGGGGTGGTGAGTGAGTGAGTGGTGAGTGAGTGGTGAGTGAATGAGTGGTGAGAGAGTGGTGAGTGAGAGGGTGGTGAGTGAGTGGTAAGTGAGTGAGTGGTGAGTGAGTGAGTGGTGAGAGGGTGGTGAGTGAGAGGGTGGTGAGTGAGTGGTGGGTGAGTGAGTGGTGAGTGAGTGAGTGGTGAGAGAGTGGTGAGTGAGACGGTGGTGAGTGAGTGGTGAGTGAGAGGGTGGTGAGTGAGAGGGTGGTGAGTGAGTGAGTGAGTGGTGAGTGAGAGGGTTGTGAGTGAGTGGTGAGTGAGAGGGTGGTGAGTGAGTGGTGAGTGAGGAGGTGGTGAGTGAGAGAGTGGTGAGTG